AAAACTTTGCCCTATACTTCGAGTTTTGCGGAGCGTTTACAAACATAATAAATAAAATACCAATTACCCACCAAATTCCAACCAAAGCATACTTAGTTTTTTTTTAATAAAATCGTTGCCCCACGATAGGATTACCTCCTGTGTCGTGGGTGCGGTTACAAACATACTATTTCACATACACATGACACCCAGACCCGGAACAACAATTTGTGGATCACACAAAGAGTTGTTCCGTGCGGGAATCGAACCCGCGACACGTTGTACGGCAGCCAGTTGCCCAGCCACCGCACCAACCGCGCAATAATATATACAGGTACTTTTGAATCGAAGAGTTAAGCACACATAAAGTTATATCGTGCGGAAAACGAATATGCAACACCGAGTCTGTGGAGCCGTAGCATGAGTCCGGTCGAGCCAGCCTATCCATGAAGAAGCATGGCGCATTCAAACTTAAAATATGACATATTTGTAGCTACTGCCGATAGACTACAAGACAGTTACAGTGTTGTGTTCCGCTGTGTGAGTGAAGTTACTACAAGCTCAGGCCTTCCCCTCTCCCCATACCTACCCAATCGTTAATTATCCGATACCCTAACCCCCAAAAGGCTGGAAACGCACTCGTAACTCTACTTACCATCAGGTAATACGTGTCCTAATATGCCCATTTCATTAAAAAAAACATGAAAAATTCTCTTCTTCTCTACCAGCTTTTTGCTTGAAATAAAAAGTTAACGATACTCAAATGTGTCTATTCAACTAAAACAAACCACATCCATTATAAGTTTAGGTTTCCCAAACAAACCTAGGCCCCATATCACCCAGTGTCCAAATGCATCACCAGTGACGTCACATAGTGTCATAATATTTCACCATGCTGGGCAATATATCACCAAGTTCTTTCTGTTCACCAGAATTGTGTGAGCTCCTATAAATCATAAGAGTTGCGTGATAAACGAAACTCAACGTTATTTCTATGAACTATGACTATGCGTGGCAATCAGTGGATAGATTTAAGCATGCATTCGAATATTTTTGTGTGTATGTTGTCCTTTTGCAGTGGTCCTTTTAGGCCTTTAATAGTCATCACATCACATCATCAGCCAATAACTGCTAATCGCTGAGTTTATTGCCTTAATATATAACCACGTTTGCTCAAGGTGGATTGGCGGTTTCAAAGTTATAATTATAAATTATTATAAGTACAAGTTTACTCACAATATTTTCCTTCAACGTATGTCAGTGTTGTCTAAATAATCATAGAAAGTATAATATACTTATAACTCGGTAAAAGTCACATTGGTACTTGTTAGATTTCAAACCCGCACAACAGTTGTTCCATTATCCCCACCTTTTTAAGTGTGGACGTAGGTAGATGAAAAATGACCATTTAAATGTGGGATAACCATGCTTTGGAACGAATGGACCGGCTTGACCGAAGTGATACCACGGTCTTACAGAAAACTGACGTGAAACAATGCTTAGGTAGGTTATGTTTTTTTTTTGTGAGGGGAAAATCATCAAATGACTTCTCCCGCCCAGGGCCGGGCAGGAGGGAGTGTCAGACTCTTACTGACTAAAAACCCCCCTGTTCCTTCTCCTGCTCTGTGCCGAGGTCGCGGTACCTCATTGCGCTTACCCCGCAACCCCGGCTGAACATCAGCCCTTTAGGGCCCCGTCTGTGGTGGTCGAATGGCTCTTTGAGGCGCGCGCGGAATGTTGAGCGGTTATGTTGGGAGTCTGCTTAGGTACTATCAGGAAATCTGTATGAAGTTTATCGAATAAGTATAGTACTACACTATTACAAGTCTAAAACGTATACTTTATTTGCATCAATAAACCAAAAGGTCCTAATCATACAATATTTACCCTGAAAAAATTACTTGATTAAAAATAACTGACTATAAAACATATCTTAAATTCAGATCAACGCGTAACAAAAAGTTTTATGAAGCCAATTCGTATTCACTACTGTTTATAGAGGTTTTTAAATGATCGTAAAAATAAACAATAAAAAATTGTAAACATTTTCCACAAAAAATGGCCGTTTATGCCTATTGTGTACTGTTAAAAATAATTTATAGTTTCTCTTGTGGATAATGAAAAATAAAATAATGTTTTGTTAGATCGACGTGTAACGAACTGTGTAATCTATATATATAAAAATTTCGTGTCACGTGTTTGTCCGCGATGGACTCCTAAACTACTAAACCAATTTAAATTAAATTTGATTTGCATTTCGTGTGCATTTTGATCCAAATTGAAAAATAGCATAGCTTACATCTCAATTTATAGTCACAATATTATTTACCTTAGCCACAGCAACTACTAGGTCGGTTAGTTAAAACCTAAAATCCTAATTTACATTAATTTATCATGAAACTTCGAAATTAAATTTAAACCAAAATATGAACATTTAAATGTGGGATAACCATGTTTCGGCACTAATGGGTCAGTTCGGTCGGAGTGTTACCACGACCTTACAGAACACCAGCGTTAAACAATCACAGCGTTGTGTTTCGCCATGTTAGTCAGGTTACCGGAGGCCCAGTCCTTCCCCTGTGCCCATCTCACTCTAAACCCTTATTTCCAAAATGTCGGCAATGAAAACCTGGTTAATTCCTCGATGGTTGGTGTGCATGAGCGCACCGATTGCTTACCATCAGGTAATCCGTCTGCGCGTTTGCCGACCCAACACGATGATGGAATTGGATGATATAACCAGGGGCTGTATACTAGTGAACACATCGATTGTGAGCTCTTTAGATATATCCATTTCTCCTGAAGATAAAGTCATTGTATAATTTATAGGTTTGCCTATTATACATACGTCTATAAAATAAAATAAATCAACTCAGGTCTAATTGAAGAGCTTTTAAAAAACAAACAGGCAATATTAAGTTAAATACTCTTAACAAGGCCTTTGGAACATACCTAATCTCCTTTAAAAAAATAAGTTAGCTAAATAAATTAAATTTAAATTTAATTTCGCAAAACCCTCCAATTTTAACTCTCTATTTAAGGGTAAGACAAAAACTTCATTAGTATTCCGATTGGTTCAGGTGGTGCGTTTATTTGTGGTCCAAGGTACAGAAGTTTTGGGTAGATACTCTATTCGACGATGATGAGATTATCACCATCACAGATCCTTTATTATACTTGCTTGTGTAGCACATGCCTTCTGGGTCGTGAATAGGTTTACAAACATACAATTTTATAAACATATCACACCCAGTCCCGGAATAACAATTTGGGGTTGCTTAGAGAGAGATCATCTATTCTGGATCCGGTCCCGGAATGGTAAATTATGAATTCGTTCCTCGCTTACATTTTTCCTATCAAAGGGTTGTAAGAAAAAATTCCAATCACCAGTATCCAGTAGCTACGTATTATGTACCTCTGTTTCTGTATTTGTTTTCCTTTCTACTGTAACGACGTGTGTTGTGCTTATATAATAAATAAACCCGATACTTCTTGGTCTAACTCCCCAAAATACGATATTTGAAGGCTAGCCGTGAGGCCAACCAAAGATTTTTTTTTGTTGTGATGTGAAAATCATCTAATGGCTTCTCTCACACAGGGTGAGGCAAGAGCTCCCTATCGCCTCACAGTCTGACAGGAGTGTCAGATAGACCTAGGACAATGCCACAGTACATTATTGCCCCGCAACCCCGGCTGATCAAAAACCAATCAGCATTTCAAAAACGCTGCAACTCCTGCCTTACACCGAACAACCCGACTTGACACGACACAACACTTGACAGAGGTCCAAACCGAATCGACACATTTTGACAGGTGACCGGACACATGTCACGTAAGAAGAGGGCCCACTTTGACAGCGTAATCTAAATGGATTGTGTGTATTGTCGGCTTTATTTACCTAACCATGTACTTTTTTAACAAGTTAATTAAAGGATTTTTCATTCAAATGGAAACATGTTCAAATTTGGCTAAAAATATTTATTGACTAAAACAATTTCAAGGTCAGCAACACGCCTATGACTCCTCTGAAGGTGTTGCAGGTATCCATGGGCGGCGCTGATTACTTAACATCAGGTGATCCGTCTGCACATTTGATTATCTACCACACAAAAAAGGGTAAAGACAGAAACCTTATTATTAGGACTTGTCCACACTGTTTGTCACCAGGCGAAACCTTGATATTTCTGTTTTTGATTAAAACTCTAAAAAAGGAACAGATCATAATACACTCTAACAGTCAGTTTACACCAATTAGACCATAGGCCCAATGATTTATCCCCAGCGAACATCTTCTTTGTCGTCACGTTCGATTGTGGTCACGTGGAAGATGGCCACGTAATTATGTGTGTGGGACGCAACCTTACTCACAATCTCCCGCCATCTCTCTTAATTTTTTGGATGACTGCCGCAGTCTGACACAGAGTTTTCTATAACCGATTTAACCAAATCATCCGTCGCATAGGTGATGTGATTCGCTCGACTTTTATATGCTCGACCAGAGCCTCTATAGACTTATTATCACGCCTGAAGACAAGGCTATGTCTAATATTTCTATAGTATGGTTGACGGACGCTTTATGTTGCCAAGTATGGATGTATCGGTACTCGATGGCAAACACGTTCTGAAGAAGGTCTCAATTTATGTATAGTATTGAACCACCTCGCAGCTCGTAATTTCAGTTAGTTCTGGTAGGTTATCATTGACTCTGTCCACAACCATTACTTTGGCCTTAAACCATTCCCATTTTTAGGGCAGTTTCTGCGTGAGATTTGCATTGCCATGAGGTGCGTGAGTGGCGGATAAAAATATAATTGCAAAATCAACTGTAACTAAAAGAGTAGACGAAGCACTTATAATAAAACCTAATAGTGCTGTACCTGATCCAAAATATCACACAAACTACGACCCGATTCAACAATCGAGAGCCCAGAAGGGTGAGTAACAAAAAACTACTCGATCAGATAATATGAATTTATGCAACGTTCTAAACGAGTATCTACAAAAGTCATCGAGTTATTGATTCTTAATATCTTAATCACCAATTAAAAAGTTATCTAATCACAATTATTGTGAGTTATCAAAATCATTTTGATAGAAACGTTTCATCAAAGTCAGTTAGGAATTAATTAAATTAAATTTATTTTATAACAATGAAGCTGTTTGTAGTTTTTGTTCTTTCGTGTTTTGGTTTTACTTTGTGCGGCGCTCAAGTTAGTAAGTATTTTCATTTCTTTTTTGTCTTTTAATCCTGTGCTGAACTGAGAGCCTTAAAATATAAAAGGGCCTGGTTCAAGCTTAGAAAGCACGTCAGATATCACAATGTGAAGGGAAGGACAAGACCTGCTGCCTGGTTTCATCCAAATATTTTTAGCACTAAACCTTTAAATGGTAGAAATGTAATTTAACTACGGAGGTCATAAAGTAGAATACTCTTAGATCTGCTTAGATTCATGCGTGCAAGCGCAACATGACAATTTTAGCAATCATAGTTTTTTTTTTTTTATGTAATAGGTCGGCAAACGAGCAGACGGATTACCTGATGGTAAGCAATCAGCGCCGCCCATGGACACTCGCAACGGTGGAGTTACGAGTGCGTTGCCGACCTTTCAGGGATTAGGGATTTGGAGATATAGGGATTGAGGAGGGATTGGGGAAGGGGAAGGATTGGGCCTCCGGTAACCTCACTCACACGGCGAAACACAACGCAGTGGTTATTTCACGCCGGTTTTCTGTGAGGCCGTGGTATCACTCCGGTCGAGCCGACCCATTCGTGCCGAAGCATGGCTCTCCCACACTTTATTTACAGTATTTATAGTTACAGTAAAATAGTGGTTATTGGATAAAGTCACAACTCCTATCAAAATTAGACCTTTAATGGGCATGTTGCACGACCTGGTTTGAAACAGCAGAAGTAACGAGGTAGTTTTCAGATAGAAATAGTTTGACAGTCCCTTTCGCCCCATTCAGGACGGCAGCAGTCAATTGATAATATAGTTTGCATCGCTTCATAAAATAATAGGGCAAGAAATAAGATAATCTATAACTTTTGCAGTCAATCGTGTCCGCCTGGTGGACCACACATCCTATGTGATAAATTTTATAACCAAGACAGTGAACACTGTAGAAGACAAAGGATGGTACAGCTTCAAGCTACCTGATTATGTGCAATATGTTAAGTAAGTATACTAATTCCTGTCACCATTATCACCAGTTACTTATGGTCTTATTTTTCCACTTTCCCTTACGTAATAACTTTTGTCTCTTTCAAGCTATTCTTCAATCTCACTTGTTCACATGACACTTTACATCATTAGCCTATAAGTGCCCACTGCTGAGCAAAGGCCTCTTCTCACACGTTTAGCACACACGAGAAATTTTGAGCATTAATCACCTCGCTTGCTCAAGGTGGATTGGCGATTTCAAACTTAAAATTAGAAATATGTCTGAAATCGCTTCATGCACGAGAAGTGGACGTTTTAAACTCCCCGGAGTTTAACGCGTCTGCCACATAGACACTTACTGCTTTTCTCAGTTCTTACTTCCATCCTGACCTTCTTCTTCTTCACCACCTACTTTCATTTCTTCTTATTCTCATTAAATCATTGTTTGAAGGTTTAATAAAGTAACCTATTATTCTTCTGTCGTGTCTCGAATTACAATTATTGAAAGGAGTACGCTCGATTCGTGTGTGTGGGAATGTATAAGTTGCATCACTTCATCCCCTTACACCCTTTGCTCAAGACTTATCTGTACTTACATCAATTATTTTGCAGCGAATCCCTCCTAACTTCTCCTGTGGTTGGAAAGTTGACGTACCACAATGGTTTCGTGGTTTCAGTCCAGCATGTGGATATCCAACAGTCGACTGTACAACAAGTGTGGGGATATAACTCCGCTTCGGGCGACACAACAGTGTCCGTCCGAGGAACGCTAAGGATGCATGAAGTGGCTATCGGCTATGACGTCATTGCTGAACTTGACGATGACGATGAACCATATCATTACACTATGACGTTCGTCCATCCGATGATTACTTACGCGTTTTCTGTAAGTTTTATTCTTTTTGTAAGTTAGGTACCTCTAAATGAGCCATTTTTGGACTTCAATATATTTATTTGCAGGATCTAGGCAACGTTGCCTTCGTGGTGTAACATTTTACATGAAAAATATTATGTCAAAATAATCGCTGGTAGTCATATTAAAATTTAATAAGTAGGTATGGTTCATATTAGATCTCAAAACATTGCTGATACTTTTTTACAGGTAATCCACGATGCGTACAGAGGAAACCTTTCGGTTACAGTGCTAGGGACGGTCTCAAGAGTGACCAACCGATTACCATCATTCATACCCCAAGATAGCGTGACTGACATTATAACATACGTGGTAAGGATTTCGAAATATCTGCTGATATTTTTTTATGTGATAGATCGGCAAACATACAGACGGATTACCTGATGGTAAGCAATCGGCGACGCCTATGGAAACCCGCAACAATAGAGGAGTAACAAGTGCGTTGCCGACCTTTTGTCTTAGGGATTTGGAAATTTAGGTATTGGGGGAGGGGAAGGATTGGGCCAACGGTAACCTCACTCACACGGCGAAACACAACGCTGTGGTTGTTTTACGCCAGTTTTCTGTGAGGCCGTGGTATCACTCTGGTTGAGCCGACACATTCGTGCCGAAGCATGGCTCTCCCACACCTGAATTTGTTGGCCCGGCGGTTAAGGCCCCTGTTTGTCATGCTTATGCTGATGATTAGTGCTTACTGCTGAGCAAAGGCCTCTTCTCACACGAAGACCGATTGGCGATTTCGAACTTCTAAGATTACAATTTCAGGTTTCGTCACGATGTTTGCCTTCGCCGTTTGTCAATAGTTTTTAAATACACTTAGAAAGTGAATATAACTTAGAGAAAGGCCTCATTGATAAATGCCAAGTTTTAAACCCCACCCTCATGCGGGACCCTGAACCTCGGAGCCACTACGCCTTAAATTGGTTCGCCATAACCAAATAAAAAGAGACAGTTTATTGAACTTAATCTGTACCAACTTCATTTTAACAATGGTCTCTAGAAAGCCATTTCAAAACTTTTACTACTTTTCTTCATAAAGGCGTCATAAGCGGCGCTGATCACTTACCGTCTTTTGGTTGGCCTCCTATTATTTAGGAAAAATAGTGAAACAGAAATACCTTTTCCATAGTAACTAATGTGTTTTATTAAAGACTGTCTGCATGTTGAAATTTTGTTAGAGTATCATCAACTGAGAAAAAGCCAAGAGGTTCTTTCGAATCATTTAAGCTAATTTTTTTTTTCAGTTTGATCCCAACGCGGAACTTCCTGCAGGAATGGCTGCGTGGGGTCCTGAAGTGTTTCAACCGATCACATATGAGCTGGTCACAAAAGAAATTCCTTTTCCACAGTTCTGTTATAATTGTGCCACATAAACACGAAATCACAGCAAGACAGCATCAAGTTAGAAAAATGAATAAAGTTTTTTTTTTTATGTAACATGCGCTTTTATTAACCTATCAAATAGTCATCTAGTCTGCTATAAATCTATGAAGAACCTTGTAATGAACAAAAAAGCATGTCATGAAGAGGCATTTTCTCCATGAAGAACCATAAACGAATGCCTATTAACAATAGGATCGTGTTTTGTGCAAACTTAATTTATTGAAAAAGACGACACTTATCAGCGCGACATAGTTGGGCTTCGCCCCGTGAAGGCCCCGCTCTTACTTGAAACTAGTAGAGCGTTTCTCTGTTCGTTCAAATGAAAAAACGACTAACAATGGATAAAATAGACAATATTTCTAATGCGTATAAATACTAAAAACTCTCGTGCGGTTTTACTCGCTAGTTGGATCCCTTTGATTTATAGCCTATACTCGTAGCACCCTGAAACCTAGTAGCTATGAATTAATGAAAGAATTTTCGAAATCTGACCAGCGATTCCAAAGGTTACCCCCTACATACAAACTTACAAATTGCAATATGTAAATATTAATATGTAGCATCCTAAAATGCTTTTTGAAGTACTGGAACATGACCGATAAGTGAACATGCATCTACATGATGTTAAAATACTCAGACGTAATTGTTAATTGGCAATGATAAGATCTGGATAATCAATGTCAAAAGGGTAGATTGGATACATTGTAACTATAATACCTAAAGGAATAATAATTATTAATTTTGATAATGTAATGTATCGGTGATTATCATTAATAATGGATTACTTGATTAATTTGTAGACTCTATTAACTTTCTGATTGTTGGCTATTCGGTTTCTTTTCTTTTTATTATTTATTTCGATTTCATCGATCTTTTTGAAAATGGAAAGAGTTTTTATATTTTTAGTTTTGTGTATAGCTTTTGCTTCTGGACAGACTTTGTGTGAGTACGTTTGTGACAAGTTTCTATTTGTGTGTGTGTAGTTTTATATACTGTTAGTTTTTTAGCTTTTTTTATTTATTTGGTTTCGTTGAATTATTGTTGGAATTACTTAATTGTTTAGGTATTTAGACCTCTTCTTTAATCCATTTTCAAAATTGACAGTTTTGTTCTCAAATGATCAGTTTCACTGCACAATTATTATTGATTAATTCATCATGATTTGATGTCTGGTTAGAAACACGATATTATTTGGAGTAAGCTCTTCTTTATGTATCTAGTTGGCTTTTTTTTAACCTTTCGCTAGATAAGTATTTGACTACACGGTTGGCGCGGTGGCTGGCTGCCGTACGACGTGTCGCGGGTTCAATTCCCGCACGGAACAACTCTTTGTGTGATCCACAAATTGTTGTTCCGGGTCTGGGTGTGATGTGTATGTGACTTTGTATGTTTTTAAACGCACCCACGACACAGGAAAAAACCCTAGGGTGGCGCAACGTTTAAAAAACATCGTTATTATGATAAACACTAAAGAGAGAGAGAGTCCACTAGATAGGTGACCGACCAAATTGATCTACGATGTTTTATTAATAAAATCTTAACAAATAAGTATTTTTTTGGAGAGTGAATATCATGTAGGTATTTTCTGGAAGCCACTAGAATTCACTAGATGGCATTAACACTCAGGGTGTGTCAGACACTTACTGACTAAAAATCATCCCATTCCTTTACCTGCTCTAGACCGGGTTCATTATTGCACTTGAACGGCAACCACTTCCAAACATCATGATGATGAGAATGACAAAAAGATTTTTTTTATGTGATTGTTCGGCAAACGAGCAGACCGATCACCTGATGGTAAGCAATCAGCGCCGCTCATGGGGTGTCCATGGGCGGCGCTGATTGCTTACCGACGGTAAATCTCTTTGCAACGACGGAGGAGTTACGATTACGTTGCCGACCTTTTAAGGGTTAGGAATTTGGAGATTTTGGGTATGAAGAGGGATTGGGGGAGACGAAGGAAACGGGCCTCCGATAACCCTACTCACACGGCGACCACAACGCTGTGGTTGTTTCACGCCGGTTTTTTGTGAGGCCGTGGCCGTTACTCCGAACCGTTCGTGCCGAACCCTGGCTCTCCAGCACAGATGAAAGATTCTAATACTCGCACATCAAATATTTACATTAGAAAAAATAGTAATCAAATTTGTCTTTACTTTTACAGCGCAAAGGGCACGTGTCAAAGACCACGACAAATTTTTTACACAAGTGATACAAGAAACTGTTTACGAAATAGAACGAAGAGGATTTAGTACTCTAAAATTGACAAATATCACCCAAAATGTCAAGTAAGTTCTTATAAAGTAAACCTAACAGTTAGGCAGTTAGGCTAGGCCCTTCATAAAATTCTAACTGTAAACTCCCAAAGCCCCAAGCCCAGGTTAAAGTTCAAAATCTGGACCGCCTAAACGCGAAAAAACGAGTTAAAAATCATCCATCAGCCATCTTTGAGATATTTAAAACTACAAACGAAATTACATGCGAAATATTCTTATTCTTAATAAACTAGTGCGCCTTACGATCAACGATTGCATCACTGCTTACCATCAGGTGAGATCGCAGTCAAGCACTAGTTTATTTCAAGTAAAAAAAAATTCTTTAAACTAGTTTTTATAGGTACTACCTACACAACATTTCAATCCTCTCATTCCAAACTTTTTTCAAAAATATGCTTAAGTTCTTATGCCTTAAATTTAATTCTTATCCTTCGGTAATCGGTAAAAAATCGGTACTTTGCATCTTGTAACTAAATCCACATAGAAAACCAGCGTTAAGCAACGCTTTAGTTGTGTTTTGGCGTGTGAAGTTACCGGAGGCCCAGGCCAACCTAGCCCATTCGCAATCCTTAAACTCTTAATCCTCAAAAGCCCGTCAACGAATTTGACCATTGGTGATCCATCAGCTAGCTTGCGGGCCTATCCCATTAAAATAAGAAAGAGAAAGCAAATGCTAATCTACCAATGACGGCACAACATCTTCGAATTCCATTTTCAAACTTTTATTTAATCAACTTCCATTAAATTTCAGCACAACGATGTACAGATTTCATGCATTAGGAACAGTCCGTTACTACAACGGCTTTTTGGTCTCAGTTCAGCATATCAGCGTCACGAATATGAGGCAAACAGTCGGAACAAACACTGTGGATGGGGTTCGTGTATCAACAGCGTCAGTGCAGGGGACTTTGAATCTTATTGACTCGAAACTTGGTTACGATGTGCTTTACACGCCTGTTGAAGGAGAACCACAGCATTTTACTGGGGACTTCAACCATTCAACCATCAGATGGATAATAAATGTGAGTTGGAAATAGTGCAAATGTACCTATTAAAGTGAAAAGGCGGCTAGACAGCACACATTAAATCGATGTTTCTTTTTATGATACGGATAGGTCGGTAGACGAGCAGACGGATTACCTGATGGTAAGCAATCACCGCTAACACCAAAGGAGTTACTAGTGCGTTGCCGGCCTTTTGCAAGGGATGGGGAGCGGAGAAGGGATTGGGCGTCCGGTGACCTCACTCACACTGCGAAACAAAACGCTGTGGTTGTTTCACGCCGGGTTTCTGTGAGGCCGTGGTATCACTCCGGTCGAACCGATCGATTCGTGCCGAAGCTTGAATCTCCCACACTGAAAAATAACAAGATGTTCCTTTAGAACAACAACAAATCAGTCAATCAGTCAAAAGTCAACTAAGAAATCAGCTTATTTCAAATTATTTTTAATAAATGCATTTCAGATCTTCAAGAACTTGAACACTCGCGAGGTGTCCATTTCCTTGACGTCGGAAGTATCGGGGGGTCTTGTTTATATGTCGTTCAGGCCTGACACAAACATATCTCAAGTTCTATCGAGACAAGTAAGTTGTTTTTAAAACATCGAAGTAATGTATTACACCGGAGTTTATATTCGGCTTTTATTTTCTGTATTTGCACATTTGCATGTGTCAAAATGAAATTCGAAGACAAACCATGTAAGTTTGTGTACCTAAGCAATCAGCGCCGCTCATGGACACCCGCAGTAGGTACCATAGGAGTTACGAGTGCGTTGCCGGCCTTTTAGGGTTAAGGGTTTCGGATATTTATGGATTGGGAAGGGATGGGGGAAGGGGAGGGGTTGAGCCTCCTGTAACCTCTCTCACACGGCTAAATACAACGCTGTGGTTGTTTCAAGCCGCTATTCTGTGAGGTCTTCGTATAAGTCCTGTCGAGCCTGCCCATTCACACCGAAGAATTAAATAAAAGCAGGAGCCTACAAAGTCCAAAAGCTGGTCTATTTATTTTAGAATTATCTGTGTGGTTTTTACTTGGAAAATTAAAATAATAGGTAGATAGGTATATTTTTAATCTGTTTCAGTTCTTTCCCTACAATAACTCTGATGGTGTTCGATCATGGGAGGAGATTATATTACCTATCATGTTAGATGTCATTGCAAACAAGATTCCGTTTCCAGAGGTGTGCTACAGCCATTGTTAATACATATATTGTTGACGTGAAGGCATTTAAAATCGAAATTGTATGAACACCATTAAATAAATATCAGTCTTAAGTATATATTTATTTTTTGTTTTTATTTGTAAACTACCCAATCAACTGACGGATTCCCACCGAGTTTTTTTACTTATTAGTAAGCAATCGGCATCGCCCAAGGTCACCTGCAAGTGACTAACTTACTAAGGAGTTATAAGTGCGTAGCCGGCGTATTCTGCTTAGCGAACGAGGGGCTGAAGACTACGCCTCCTATAAGTAAACTCACTCACATGCCAAACGACACAAACGTTGTTTCACGCCTTGTAGCCATGTAAACCACTCACTCTGGTTATGCCTCTCAGGCATAAACTAGATAATTAGGTACTAAATATTATTATGGGGGTTTCTTTCAACTTGCTAACTTTATGGACATCGTTCCATCTCAAAATTAGCTTATGTATTCTAACCCTTTCAACCTTATCTCGATTTCAATAAATATTTTAAGATCAAAATAAACTATGTCGGTAAAGCCTATTTCGAGTTTTAGCGAGAGTAACGAACAGCAATTCATTTCTATATTATTATACCTATTAGAAGGTTCTTATGTCAATTCATAGATAGGTACTTCATAATTTACAATTTACTACTTAATTTTATTATTTAAATCTTAATTTTTTAAGTATGTTGTAAAACCATGCATTAGGTGCTACAAAACGTATTATTTCTGAACGAACACTATCTGTCAATGTCAGTTTTGACAGTGGCAATGTCAATGTTATAGGCTAATTTGTTTTGTTAGCGGTTTGTTTCCCATTCTAGCCAGACTATTGCGGTTGCGGATAATTTTTGTTGGTAAAGCACTTTATTTTACACGTTTTCGTGTTATCGGCCAGTGAGTGCTACACACTTTTCCCATTATCATGTACATATTGTGATGACAAAATGAGTGACGAAACCAACGAGGAACGGCAGGACAACGAATTCGAAGCTTTACAGGTTATTATTATATTATTATTTTTGTAAATAAAACACTAACCGATGATGCAAATAATTAAAAGTTTACAGAAGTCACCTATAAGTTTTTTTTTTAACTTTGAACCATATTGCTTTCCATAAAGTTTACGTGTTTTCTTTTTTCGTGGCGGGAATAGCAATTAGGCCAGGGAAACTATTTTTATACCTACAGACTATGTTTGTTTTTTTTTTAATTTATAGCCTTATGGCTAACATTACAGCTTTGATGCTTGTACAATAAAAATAGCTGTAACGATTTAATTTAACAAGCAGTCTTTTAAGATTTTATTTTATTGATATTTACAATAAAATTGGCAAATTTACTTTGTATGTAGCATGATTATAATGGACACAGCCACATAAAATACTTGATCAAGTTAAATACTCCCAAATTCTAAAATAAAGTGGGTAGGTAGGGTAATATTAATTTTTGCACATTATTGTTGTTACCGCAAAAAATAATAATAAAAAAACACTTTGTTTTAAATAATAATTTTCATTGCAATTTCTAAAATGCTATATTACAATGTCTAAAACCAATAAAGTTTCTGTTAGATTAACTGCATGGGAAATATTTTCATTTATCTGTCAGTTAAAAAAGGAATAATTCAAGCATTCAGATTGGTTCAATTCATAATCTCTCCCATAACGGGCCTGCTGGAAGAGATTTCTGAAGAAATAAGCTGTGCCTTTGTAACCTAATTGTTGTATTATTTTTCTTGTCCAACTTACTGTGTGTACAAAAAATATTAAATAAATAAATAAATAAAATCATTTGTATATTTAATTATAGTTAAATATTTAGTAAATAATGAATGTCATAGTAGCTGAAGAAAGTTGCCTCTCTTTTAGTCCATGAGAGCATGGTAAATTGTCAAAGACTAATGTAACTTTTTTGAGTTTTTTAAATATGTTCTTTCTAAAGTTTATTTAGCCACTTCTGACAAATGGTTATTGAAAATATTGTAAGGAAACCTGATATAAGTCCAGATTTTCACGTTCTCAACTGTGAATATGTGCAATAATATGTACATAAAACCAAAATCACTTAATTCTTGTATTTTTATTTCATAAAGTTTGGTATGTATATTGTTTGTAATTGTGTATATATTTTAAATAAAGATGACAATTTGTTATAGGTTAAAATAAAATGGTAATTGGAAGCCCCTAAGATGACCTACTGACGGAATACTTATATCATTATCTAAATTCATTTCTGCTACCGGCTTAACTCTCAGTGGCAGAGTAAAAATATGAACTTATGGGCCAGTTAGACATACTTTATACTTTCTATAATTATTAGGACACCACTGACATACAGTGAAGGAAAACATTGTGAGGAAACCTGGAGTTAAAATGTTTAATTATAAATTTGAAATTCCCAATCCACCTTGAGCAAGCATGGTGATTAATGCTCAAGACTTCTCTGTGTGATTGGAGAACTTTGCTCAGCATGAAATAGGTTTTATGTGAAAGAATAGGGATTATACCTCCTTACAAACTTGCTTGTTTCTAATTAAATATTACTAGGATTTTATCATCAAATTTTCACCTGATTTAAACCTTGGTACAGTTAAAAAGTACAACCAAGTATATTTGCGTATTTATATGAAAATATTTTGATAAACTTTACAGGCTATTTACGGTGATGCGGTTGTGGACAACCGTGAAGTTGTAGCTTGGAAAATATGGAGACCTATAGATCTGATGCTTACGTTGAATCCATTACACAATTCAGACATCAAAGGCATACACTGCTCGGTTACACTGCACTTCAAATGCTGTCCGAATTATCCAGATAAGTATGTACCAACTTACTTTGCGCAATGTAAATTAATCATTTAATTTTTAAAGGTCTTGACTGCATGGTTGGTGCAGTGGTTTAGTTAGCAAGTGCTTCTCAATATATATTTTTTTTAATGTAATAGGTCGGCAAACGTCCAAACGGATTACCTGATGGTAAGCAATCAGCGCCGCCCATGGACACTCGCAACGGAGGAGTTACGAGTGCGTTGCCGACCTTTTAGGGATTAGGGATTTGGAGATTTAGAGATTTAGAGATTGAGGAGGGATTGGGGAAGGGGAAGGATTGGGCCTCCGGTAACCCCACTCACACGGCGAAACTCAACGCTGTGGTTATTTCACGCCGGTTTTCTGTGAGGCCGGCGTATCACCCCAGTCGAGCCGACCCGTTCATGCTGAAGTATGGCTCTCCCTCACTTGCGCAATGTAAACGAATCATTTAATTTCAAAAGGTCTTGACTGCATTGTTGGCGCAGTGGTTTAATTAGTAAGTGCTTCTCAATATGTTGTAAGTTTAATTTTATCTCAAAATAACCATATTGTGGAGCCATGACATCTGTATGGCTTAAAGCAGAAGTAAAGTAGTTAGATTGTTTTAAGTTGATCATAAACCATTGTAAAACATATAAAATTGTTGATTTCTCAATGTCACTAAATATAATCTGTCTCAATCGCGTTTATAGAAATTGTTTTACTAATCTACCTACTTTAGATTGAGTGAACTATTAATACATATATGTGGGAGAGCTTTGCTTCCGCACGAATGGGTCTGCTCGACCAGGAGTGATACCACGTCCTCGTAGAAAACCGGCGTGAAACCGTGAAACAACCACAGCGTTGTGTTTCGCCTTGTGAGTGGGGTTGCTGGAGTTTCAATCTCTCCCTCCAATTAATGTTTGTAAATGCACACACGAGACAACAAAATTCTAATATAGGGCAACGTTTTTATAAAGAAAAAGGACTTCACTAGCTTACTCTGTACATTTTAATTTATTTACGATTATTATTTCAGGCCCCTCAGCATAGCTATTCACAAGATGCGAGGCCTATCCACCGAGAATGGTACGCAGTTGTTGTCTGAACTAGAAACATTAGCTATTGAACTCACTGGAGAAGTATGCATATTTCAACTGGCTCAACATGCGCAGGTAATTTAATAAATAAACTATTAGTAGAATATAAGTAGTAAGCGGGTGGTCATCCTATTGGACTTTTTTTTTATTTTATAAGTCGGCAAACGAGCAGACGGATTACCTGATGGTAAGCAATCGGTGCCGCCCATGGACACCCGCAACACCAAATGAGTTACGAGTGCGTTGCCGGCCTTTTGGGGATATGGGTTGCGGATAAAAGAATCGGGAAGGGATAGGGGAAGGGGAGGGATTGGGCCCCGGTAACCTCACTCACACGGCGAAACACAACGCTGGGTTGTTTCACGCCGGTATTCTGTGACGCCGTGGTATCACTCCGGCCGAGCCGACCCATTCGTGCCGAAGCTTGGCTCTCCCACATTTAATTACTACATTTAGGACTAAGAACTATGAGGAATACATTTCTCATTAGGTACTTTTCAGCATGTGGGTTTTTTCTTACAAGCGAATGTCCTTAAACAACCACACCGTGTTAGCGTGAAACAACCGCACCGTTGTATTTCGCAATGTTAGTGAGGTTACCGCAATCCCAATCCCTCCTCCGACCCCCAGCCCTCTCCAATCCTCAAATATCCGACACACTTATCCCTAAAGGCGGGGAACGCACTCGTAACTCCTTTGGTGTTGCGGATGTGTCCATGGGCGGCGCCGATGGCTGACCATCAGGTAATACGTCCTTTGTTACTTCATAGAAAATAATTTTGGAAAAATAATTTTGGTATCTCAATAATTAATTTGGAATGGTTGGAAAGTACTATGTATGGTAGATAGTGATATTATTACAACAATAATTTGATAAATTAATCAGATTCTTAGATTTTCTTAAAAAATAAAATGAATTTGCACATAAAAGCACTTATGACAATCACAAAAAAATTTAAAATAAACATTACCTTTTGTTACCTTTTCAGAAGGTACAAATTACACTAAACGAAATTTAGTAAAAAATTTAATATTTCAGCAATTTCTTCACGACCACAACAAGCCTACGTTGTCGTTCTACGATGAAATGCTACAGCAAAAGACTGAACAAGAACAACTGAAACTACATGATCTGAAAGTTAAGGAGGATGAAGAGGTATGTATGTACTATGAAAAATGTCTGTTCAAACGAATAACTTTAAGAATGTTGATTAGCTCGTAACTGGCTAATGTATAAGACTACCTATAACGAATACTTCTAACTGCTTTGTATACATAAGCTGTGAACCTACCTTATCATAATAAATAAATAAATGAAAACTCTACCCTTTTGAGCCCTGTTGACCTACGCTAGCGGAGGATTTCCCTACAAGTTAGAAGTCTTAAAGAAATGATTTTTGCCCTGTCACATCTGTAGGTAGTGATCGCTGGGTGTTTTTTTTTAAAGAAGTCAGTTTCGTCGAATGGCTTCTTCCGTCTTGGGCGAGATCTCCAGTTGTGTAAATAAGTCTTTCCGGTCAGGCTTTTTTTCAGCCGGGGGGGGGGGGGGGGAACGGGGGGGGGTGGAAATGGGCACTAGTACAGAGCGAGGTACAATACCAAATGACTTAGACCTTAGACCAAGAAAGTAAAGTTGTATAAAAGTGTCAGACTTTTATTGACTAAAAACACTCCGTTTCTGTTATTTCTTCTGCTTCGAGACGGGCCGAGTTATATTATTGCCTTCGGTCCCGCAACCCGGACTGAACCTTTTTTTTATAAGGGTAAAAATCTAAGCGTCGGTTTTCGCACGGAACAATTCATAGTGTGTATAAAAAAATGTTGTTCCGGGTAATACACATCAAACATATTTTATTTATTAGAACTGCTTTGATATGTTGACAAACTGAAACTGTGACTCATTGATTAACTACGATACGGGTGTATGTAATATTGCTGGAAATCAATACATCTTTGGTATATCTCAGTAACTACTGATTTCTTTGAATATTCTACTATGCTACTCATGATAACATACTTCAGTAGGTAGGTAGGTACCTATATATTTTTATGCAATTACCGAGATTCCCAATTTTATAAATAAGTCTATCCATTTAATCTTTCTTTTTGAGGGGGTAACATCACCAAGTGATTTCTCTATTCCCCTAGGCAATAGAGAGTGCCAGACTCCTACTGACTAAAAACCACTCATTCCTATTCAGGCGAAGGCCGCGGCATTATCGCGCTTGACCTACATCCGTGATACAGCTTGTAATCACTTCCACTAAATAGTTTTCAAATCATCCTATAACTAATTTCTTTTTCAAATATTTTACCTTTATTTTTTAAGGGTAACAGTTATAAAGGTAAACCGCTATGATGGATCGCGGCTCCGGCTCAGAACAGAAGAAGATCTTCTCTCGCCTTATCCAGGGCGAGTGAAATTCATTGTAGGATTGCCTTCCCTAAAAAAAAAAAACAATAACAATAGCTTTTTCTCTTTCCAGCGCCAAAAAATGAAAGATGAAATCCAAAAGAGACAGGAGATATTACGTGGCGCGGGCCGGCAGCGTGTACATAGATCTAGCATTAGTCAAGACAATGACAGCGTAGATGGACAAGGGGATGCTCCTGAACTTGTATAGTAAGTATTATTTAAAGTTATTTAGTGTAATGTGACGTCACACTTTTTATTTTATACGGTGTCAAACATGTAGAGTTTACAAGCGCGTTTCCAGCCTTTTGGGGATAAGATTTTTTATGGAATGCGCGGCAAACTATCTCGTCCTAGGACAACTGTCACCAGCGGAGTCACAGGCGCGTTGCAGGCCTTGTTTACATGTTTATGAGGGCGTACCATTCTTGAAGGGTTTGAAGGTCTTATCGATTTGGATAGACCAGTTTTGGGGATTTACAGATTAAGATGGAGATGGGGAGAAGGGTAGATTTGGGCCTCCGGGTACTTCACTCACACGGCAAAATAAAATGCTGTTGGTTTTTTTTTTGTGGGGCAAATCATCAAATGGCTTCTTCCGCCCAGGGTAGGGCGGGAGAGAGTGTCAGACTCTTGCGGACTAAAAACCGTTCCTTCTCCTGTTTTGGACCGAGGTCGCGGTGCCTCATTGCGCTCACCACACAACCAGCTGTTGGTTTGACGCCGGTTTTCTGTGAGGCTTTTTTTTTTGTGAGGGGAAAATCATCAAATGACTTCTCCCGCCCAGGGCCGGGCAGGAGGGAGTGTCAGACTCTTACTGACTAAAAACCCCCCTGTTCCTTCTCCTGCTCTGTGCTGAGGTCGCGGTACCTCATTGCGCTTACCCCGCATTTCTGTGAGGCTGTGGTATCATTCTGGTCGAGCTGACCCATTCTTCGAACTCATTTGTCGAGGCATGGTTCTCCCACACCTAATGATAATATGCAGTTTTTTATATTGATATTATAATTTTCCAGCTACGCCGACGACAAGATGTCTCCAGTTAAGAAAATAGTTCGGACTAAAACAGTCGACATACCATGCACCTGCAAGAATAGAGGCGTACAAGTCATTAGGATTACTCAAAGAAATAATAGAAAAGTTTATATTGGAAACTGTTTAGGTATGTATTTAAAAATAAGGTTTTGTTTATTTGCCAATGAAACATAATTATGAGATTAATGAAGCGCCAATTTTGTTTTAATACTAAATCGAGAGTTTATCCTTTTTTTAAATTTTTATTGGTAATCCAGACTATACTTAAGACCTCAAAATCATTAATTGCTATTTGAAATGTAATAATGAATTATGTTCGATTTTGCAAACAAGAAATTATAACAGCACGTCCTTTTTAAAAAAAAAATAACGAAGGATCACTCCAACTCACAAAGACATTTTCATCACCTAACCTTGAGAAATCACTCAGTAAAAACAAAACAAATTAAGTGTAAACACGAAATAATTCTATCTACAGGTCATTCCTCAAACGGCGCAACAACATACTTAGCGATCGACGACGAAGGCGAGCGATTAATCGCAAAAAAATGGATCGCGCCGCCTGCCAACGACTTCCAAACGCGATCCCGACAGCTGACCTCAATACAACAAGATCTGAAAGCCATGTCTCGGCTGAACCACCCGTCTATAATACCCTACATAGCAATGGAAACAATAAAAGACGCGAACAAACGGACAGCAAAACAATACATATATTTATTTAGAAAATTCGTTTTAGGTAGTGCTTTAAAAAGTGTAAAGTCTAGACTCAGTGTTTTCAGTGATCGTTATGAAGGATTAAAATTGCTAAGGCATGTTGGTTTGGGGGTCTTAGGTGCGTTAAAAGAGCTCCATAGTGTTGGGATCGTGCATAAAGATGTTAGGGGTCAAAATGTGTACTTGGACGACTTTGGAGGGGTCAAGTTGGTGGGGATTGGTCTCGATGTAAGACTCGCTGAGATGCTCGACGGTGATTTCTTTTGTGACAGGTAAGATGAAGGTATGGTCATTTTCTTTCTTCCTTCGTTTCCTGAAGATTTTAAAATATAAGTAGTTTCAATTAACTTAGTGACACAAAGCAGCAAAAATTCTTCATTAAATACAATCTGTACCCCTCGGTCAATAGTTTATGTTCAACAGAGATAGTGTAGTTTCCCAACAGTGAAGGATGTTTACAAATCGGTTAAGTAGTTTCGTAGCTTATCTAATTCAAACAAACAATAAAATTTTTCCTCTTATTTTTTACATTATACCATTTCTCACAACATCGAAAAGGAAAGGATAATTACTAAGCATCTTTTTTTTTTGTGTGGGGAAAAACAGCAAATAACTTCTCCCGCCTTTAGTGTCAGACTGACTACAAACATATTTAATTTAATTGAGTATTTGGCTATTAGTCAAACAACATAGTTAATTCATTGAATATTTCCGCTCCAAATATGTCACAAACATCTGATCTATTGCTTAAAACACTTGATGTTGTATATTTATTTTTGTTATTGACTAAAGAAATCACCCAATTCTTTAATTGATCTCTGTTGATTTCAAGGCATACAGCAGCGCAAGATATATACGCAACTGGACTGTTATTACTGTCAATAGTATCACAAGAGCGAACTTACATGGAAATACCGCCCGACCTGCCTAGTTCTGCTAAGGATTTCTTTGCCAGGTAAAATTTTACACAGTTATATATAAGCCTAGAACAATCAGGGTTGTTGTTGAAATTTAGATCGGAATCGAAAAAAGGCATGCGCAACTAGTATTTAGATTGCGCAACTGGTTGCGCTAAAGAACTTTTGCGCAGAAAAAGTTGCGCATAGAATTCTTATCTTGTTACAATTAAAAATACAATGAGCTTATGTATTTTTTTATTTTTATGCTATATTAGTAGAAGGCCATATAACATAACATCATCAACCTATAAGTGCCCACTTCTGAGCAAAGGCCTCTTCTCATGCGGAGAAGGTTTGATTATTAATCAATACGCTGTGTCAAGGAGGAGTGGCGATTTCGAACTTGTTATTAAAAATTATTTATATTATAAGTATTTTTTTCCTTCACCATAAGTCAGTGATGTCTAAATAAACTTAGAAAGTGCTTCTAAATACCTCACAAAAAAATACAGTGGAATTTGTCATTATTCTACAGATGTTTAACGGAAGACGAACAATCTCAATGGTCGGCTGAACAGCTTCTCAATCACGCGTTCATGGTCGATGCCCCTTCCAAACTGCCTAGCAGAAAGGAAGAAAATCAAGAAGGGAGCGGCTCTGAGGTATCATACTATCATTGTAATTTGAATCTTATTCACCATGTTGTTAAGGTATAAAATGGTTTTGATGAATTACGCGTTCATGGTCGACGTTCCTGAATTGCCGAGCAGTAAAGAACAAAATCATAAGGCAAGGGGCTCTGAGGTATTGTAGTTATCATTGTAACTTCGACCTTATTCTCGTGTTGTTAGGGTATAAAATAATTTTGGTGAACCATCAACGTTTCCATATTCGTTGCCCTTTTTAAATTCCCAAACAGTTAAGATTGGCTCTCTTAGAAGAAGAAGGTAGCAGTTCTGAAGTATTGTATTAGGTAATCATTGTAATTTCAACCTTGTCGGTAATTTTAAAAGGTATAAAATTGAGTGTGTTTGAATTATTTTCTTAAATATTATAAAATTAGGGTATACCTCAATAAATTTAGTCAAAATGTATTTTTTCTAACATTTTCAGGATGATGAAGCTGTAAAGAAAATCCAGCACACCAGTCCAATGACGAACGGACATTCGCGTCTTCACGCCGAGTTTGAAGTTCTTACGTGGCTAGGCAGCGGTGCTTTTGGCGATGTACTGAAGGTACACATGCTTTGACTACTCCCTGTATAGAGTTTAAATTCTCTTGTCGATTCTATTCTCTTTTGTAACCTATTTAACGCAAACAAAGTTTCAAACTAATTTTGAGTATGGAAAAGCCAAGCTTCGCTACGAATGGGTCGGCTCGACCCGAGTGATACCACGGCCTCACAAAAAACCGACAAGAAACAACCACAGCGTTGTATTTCGCCGTGTGAGTGAGGTTACCGGAGGCCCAATCCTTCCGCGCCCCCAATCCCTCCTCAATTCCTAAATCTCCAAATCCTAATCCCTAAAATGTCGGCAACGCGATCGTAACTCCTCCTCCGTTGCGGGTGTCCATGGGCGGCGCTGATTGCTTACCATCAGGCAATCCGTCTGCTCGTTTGCCGACCAATTACATAAAAAAAACCAGGGTGAAACAACCACAGCGTTGTGTTTCGCCGTGTGAGTAAGGTTACCGGACGCCCAATGCAAAGGTGTGCTTTTAAGTTTATTACAAGAATCAAAATCCGTAGCGTAGTTTTATAGATTTAAGCGTAAATATGAATATAGCCCGTATGTGTGCTTTAGAAAGAGAGATTCAATCACTCATCTAATCTTCATGAGACTTTTAATTTCGCATCTTCGGTTTAGGAAACTGTAACAATTTAATTTCTTACCTGAAGTGGGGCGCCGATAACTGCGACACAGTTTTATACTATTGCTGTTATCATCGTTTCAAATTGTTGGTTTTTTCTTGTTCCAAATAAATTATTTATATTTTTAGATTAGAGAGATTTAATCAACAGAGAGTGCGAATTTGTTTTTATGCTATGTAGTGATGTATAAATGTATTCTACCAACATTATAAACACCAACAATCAGTTTTCAAATATTAACAGACGTTTACAGGTTAAAAACAAACTTGACGGCGGTTTCTACGCGATCAAACGCATCAAACTTAACCCTGAGAGCGTTCAGTTAAATAAAAAGATAACTAGAGAAGTTAAACTCTTGTCTAGACTCAACCATGAGAATGTTGTTAGATATTTTAACGCCTGGATCGAGTCCAGTGTTGAGTTAGAAGAGGACGACAATAGTGAAGAGATAGAGATAGAAGATGTGAAGAAACGCGTTGATAGTTTACAAGGTAAGTTTTTGATGTGTTTATTTTAGGGTTGGGGATGTAAATTTGTTAGAATTACTATCTGTGGTCCTTGAAGCAAGAATTGGTCTCTTGAAGTCCAGAGAAAATAGGTTGCTTACGTAGGCGAGCTCCATCGCTGCATTATTGCTTATCACTAAGAGTGTTAGGAGCCAAACCCTGGTGCATTGCAAAAATGTTCTTAGAGTGATTCATGTTTCTGGCGGTCTTGTGATTGATACATTGATATGGAGTCTCGCTGGATTTATTTCGCTATGAGAATTTCCCATGGGGAAAAAAACGTCAATCAATTCGTATTGCTTTTCCATTCTCAAAAAATAACACATTTCGGTTGCTACAATATTTTTCATTTTGATTCATATAATGATGTACCTGATAAGCAACTTTTTTTATTAAAATCAGCTCTTTTCTATATGCAGGTCTTACCCTAAATCGGAATTTAGGTAAAATACTCTGAAGTCACTTAACTTACATACATAAAATAGTTATTAATAGTCAGTATGTTTCATCAAAAGTAGACATTCATGTTGAAATAAACAAGCGCAAAATTACCAACAATAATAATTTATAAATTTCATTTGCGCAGAATTTTGGCGCAAATACCGACTTCAAATAATGTTTGCGCAACACTACAAATCTTTTTATTAAACCTTCCAGGTATTGTAGCCAAACTTGGCCAAGATGTGAAGGTGGAATGGTCGATGTCGGAGGCCCCAGTACAGAACACGAACACATCATCGGACACTGAGGATGAGGACGATGATGATGATGATGAACCGGATCCCTGGTTCAAAATCATGAGGTGAGAGGTTCTTTATATTATATTTTGTGCAGTTGGGATAAAGTATATTAGGTACGGTAAAATTATAGTAGTGAACTTTTGTATTTATTGTAATAATTGGCACGATGATTCGTTTAAAAGGTTTCCACTAATCTGCTTCTTCAGTAAGGGGAAAATCAATACAATGAAACAATGAATTTATTTTTGCAAATAGGCCATAAAACGGCACTTTTACACGTCAATTATATGTGAACATCTAGATGAAGCCGGAATCAAATTACTTCCCTCGCCCAAGGTGAGGCGATATCCTCTCACCTTGGGCGTCAGTGTCAGATTCATACTCGGACTAAACCCGTTCCTTCTCCAGCTTTAAGCTGAGGGCCGGGGTATGCGCCTGTGTCTGCTAAGGAATCAAAAACGTCAAGTCTCATAAATTCATTTAATTTTAAGCATTGGCATTTTTCTAGCTGGCTTGAGAAAGAATTTGGTAATTTAAAAGAAAAATTGTATGCTATAACTAGGCTATTGCTGACTAAAAACTACAGCATTCCGTTTAATTTGTTCAAGCTGTGAAGTCTAATTCCGATTACGGAGAATTATTTTTTATGTTAAATGAATATCATTCTCTTATCTACTTGAATAATGTAAATGAAATATCAGAATATCTCATCCTAAAATTACATTATGTAAATTAAATATCAGGACATCTAATATTTTACTAAAAAATCAACACATGTATTATGGGTACTCAAGTAAAGATATCAAAGAAATAATACCATAATGGTTCTTTTAAAAAAATACCATATGCTACCGTTTTCAGGTAAAATAATGATATATTTGTGGTCCCATTTTGTGCCCAGAAGTTATAAGAAGCTTATATCCCTAAACAATAATGTAGGCCGACAAATGACATTGTTAGGAACAATAAAATAGAAATACACAATAACACAAACAAAAGAGGTTTTTTTGCAGTCGGTTGAAAACTAATCTATTATTTATTAAAAGCTTCGAAAACAATCGATGCATTGTTTATGGAATTTGAAGTGTGAGCGAAATGCGATGGGTAGGTCAGTTGTCGTCCAGTTTTGGTACCGTGAGGTTGGGTTTCGAAGTATTGGAGAGCGCTCTTCAAATACAGAGAATTTATAAGAAACGTGTTAATAGAATCATTTGTGTGATTTTTAGTTTAATTTTGTTGTTAGTGTGATTAAATATGAGTGTCCACGGATTTTATGAGTGAGTATTTTATGTGTCGTATACCGTATTTAATTTTGCATGTAACTTTTACGAGTAAAAGAAAAAAAATCGCAATCGACGGGACGTAGAAAAATATTTGCATGTCTTCAGTAATTGAGTACTTAAATTTTGTTTATATTATAGTCTAAAAAGGCCAAATTACTTTTTGTCCACCATGAATATTACGATGTTTTCATAAAATACATTGCAGTTAAAAAAATACATTTTACTCGAAAGTCTACGACTATTAAATTTGGCGGCAAAACACTACGAGAGAAGAATACCACAGTGACAATGGCAACCGCTTGTGACACAAAAATGTTGCCCAAAGAAGTCAATTAATATGCTTGCCATATCATATAACGTCATTATAAGATTTGACTTGCTTAAACCGCACTTATAAATAATGTTTTATATTTCTAAAATACCACAATTTATGTTTCGATAATAATAATAAATTTCAAATAAATACGTTAAAGAAACGGTTTCTAGTCGCATTTTTATTTAGTTAATAGCCAATTATACAATATAATAGTTCACTATGTCGTTATGCTATCAATCAGGACCAGGGTTACCGATTTGTTGTCTTTTTTAGTCTCTTGTTAACAAAATATCCAATTTGTTCCGTATAAAGCTCTTAGAAGAGCCACTAAGCATTTTTACCAATATTTACAGTTTTTTTTTTGTTAGTGAAACTCAATAAACATCAAAATAAACGCAAAATTTATATCCATACGAACATAGTTCAACTACCCTAAAAGGCACTAAAAGCCAACGCAAAATCAACCCAAAAACCTCAATATTTACGTATCAAAATCCCACAACTTCCAGGCCAGACGACGGATCGAGTAGCGGGGTGGAATTCGAAGAGGAATCCAATCAGTCACAGACTATAGAATCTGAGGATGAGGTAGACGCACCACGGCCGGCGTCTGAACGTGTGAAACAAGTTTTGTATATACAAATGGAGTTCTGTGAGAAACATACTCTGCGGCAAGCCATCGATAATGGACTTTATCAGGAGCATTTTAGACCATGGAGGTTGTTTAGGTAAGGCATTTTTGTTAGTATTTAAAAGAGGTTTTATTTATTAGAATACGTTTAAGTTTGTGAGAGCTGTGCTTAGGCATTAATGGGCCCGGCTTAGCAGAAAACTGCCGTGGAAATACCATTGTGTTTCTCCGTGTAAGTGAGGTTGCCGGAGGCCCGATCCCCAAACCTCCAAATCCCTAAACCCAAAAAGGTCGGCCCGTCGGTTCTTCCTCCCATTGGCGGCGCTGATTGCTTACCATCAGGTAATCCTTTAGCTCGTTTGACGACCAATAGCATAGAAAAAAGAATGAGGTTACCGAAGGTCTTCCGTTCCCCAATCTATATTTCTCCGAAACACAAATTCTCGGTAAACTCACTCATACGGTGAAATACAATATAAGTTTTGCGTCATGCTGGTTTTCTGTGATGCCGTGGTGTCTTTGCGGTCAAGCCGGCCTATTCGCGCAGGGGCGTGGCTTTCTCACACCAAGTCTAATTAAAATCAGCAAATCTTCCCTAAAAATCAGTGCCGCTGCATATGCTGAGCGAGGGCCATTTCGTGTGCTTGTGACGCATATTTTTCCTTATTTTATATTGTATTACCATGTTTTTGTTTTGTTTTTGTGTTTATACACTTGTTTGTTTGTCTTATGTGCCTCCTAGACGCGAATAAATACTTTTTCTTTCTTTCTTCTTTCTGAACAAAGAACAAATGATGGGATCTACAGCACTACGTTTACCTGATAAGCTTCAATGATATTCTCTTCAACATTCCAGGGAGATAGTGGAAGGTTTAGCCCATGTCCACCAAAGAGGAATGATCCACAGAGATCTGAAGCCAGTCAACATATTCTTGGATTCCAACGACCATGTCAAGATTGGTGACTTTGGCTTAGCAACCAAAGCTTTCTCTGTTTTACCTGTGGATGGTAAGTTGTACTAAATAAAAATAATAATTTATTTATTAGAAATTGAAATTAAATTAAAATTTAATCCGCATAATATTACATTTGACGTTATCATTCGCTTCAAACTAGGCAAAAATTTATAATAAATATGAATTCATTAATATATATTTTTTCTCATATATATATCTATGTAGTCAAAATGTATGATGTTCTTTTACAGAAAAAGCTAAACAAGAAGAAATTGGCGGTTCTCTTACAGGCCAGGTAAGAACACAATATAAATAGTTAGAAACCATTTTGTGACGGGAAATGGAAGAATACATATACTTACAGCATAAATGGCCTTTAAAGTTGTTTGTTGAAGGTTTGAGTGAAAAAAGTCACTGGAGACAACAATTTGAAATAACAATGATAATAAAAACTCAATAATGCAGATCTACAGAGAGAAATTCCTTTAGAATGAATTATATTGTGAATATGCAGTGTATATTCTATATAATTCTATTCTATTCTATATAAATCCTATAACCATTGCCAATTAAGATTAAGAATTTATTTTAGGATAAATAGATAAATGAATAAAAATAAATAAATCCTTCTCTAAACACGCGACGAATCATCGCCTTGATTCGTAGGCTTGAAACCATCCAAACAGCAAACCTCAGATAAAACATTAACCAACTAGTCAAATTTAATACTTTTATCCAAATGTCAAAAACTATACTTTTCTATGAAATTCGTATGAAACTTAAAATTATGACGTAACAGTAATTTCGCGAGAAATAACTTAGCTTAACTTATTTCTTAAAAATTTGCTAAAAAAATATCAAAAGTGTATCGACAGATCGATGATTAAAAGCATAGTTAATTTTCAATATTTTATTGTATAAAGGGCTTATTTTTCAATAGTCGGATAAATGTTATCTGAGGAATAAAATTGTTGCTGTCACTGTCTTATACAAACATTCTGACGTAACAGCATCATAATTATTGCCCTTGTAACTTTTATCTAACCATTGAAAAATCCGCCCTAAAATGTCTAATTAAATTATTTTTGACCTAGGAAAATACCTAATAATATATTTTTCTCAATTCCCAGATTGGTACAGCTCTGTACGTGGCCCCGGAACTCCTCCAATCCAGCTCCAAAGTTATATACAACCAAAAAGTAGATATATACTCCTTGGGCATCATCCTCTTTGAGATGTTTCATCCACCACTCGACACTGGGATGGAGAGGATGTTGGTCCTCACTAATTTGAGGAACAAGGACATTATAATGCCTAAGGGGTTTGAAAAAGAAGAAAATGCCAGGCAGATCCATGTTATCAGGTTAGTTATTTAGAGCTTTTCTTAATATATATGTATTTTTTTACATACTGTTAACTAGTTATTTTCAACGGCTTCGCTCTTTGTATGCAAAGAATAAGGTATCCTCTTTGGTTAATAGACACAAAATTCATACTAATGTTATAAATGCGAAAGTAAGTAAGGGTGTTAATCACTTTAAAACTACTCAACGGATCCGAACGAAATGGGCTAGCCCATGATGTATAGTTTGGCAACACGTAACACGTGATTCCATTATCATGCTGAACAAATTGATTAAGTACTGCTTTCATATTCAAACTATTTTTAAAACCGTGTTAATAGTGCAATCAGTATTTGCTTTAAAACATAACATTTTTTATAAGTGTTCCGGACACAGACGCAAAGACGCCAGTTAAATACATAAAGCTACCCCAGATTACCTATATTCAGCTGAGTTTAAACTTTAAAAAACTAAAATTAGACTGTAATTCAATTACACATTGGGTACAATTTAGGACATACCCTTATATATATAGCTGAAACCTTTATAAACATCGATCTCAAATCCGCCTAGGATTTTAGGTTAGCGTGGAGATTGTAATGGTAGGTACAATCTCCTCACTAAGCAGGTGGGTTTAGGTAGAGCCTGGAATCTGTACGTGTGTGGTAACATGTAGGCTTTTCACCCAGTCACTGTAAACGAATCAGATGTGTAGAAGATAGTGATACAATGAATTGGCAATACCATCCTTTTTTCTAAAAGTAAGAACAAACTACAAAACTGGTCACAAACTTGATCCTATTATATCAATTTATTTTAATAATACATATAAATAATACGCACATAAATTTATTAATACTTATATGCATTTTTACATATTACCATTTTTTCCACCCATCACAATAAATATATATTAAAATATTCCAGATGGCTACTAAATCACGAACCAAGTTTGCGACCAACTTGCGCAGAACTATTGGGCAGTTCGCACGTGCCTCGTGCGGTACCTGAAGGCGCTTTAGCTGGGCTATTATCCCATGCATTAAGCGATAGAGGCGCTCGAGGCTATACAAGACTAGTCGCCGCTTGCCTAGACCAAAGACCGTCGGCGGCCGAAGATTATACATATCATAATGACATGAAAACAAAACCACATGAGTTACTATTACAAATTAAAGATGCTGTTATCAAGGTATGTACTATTTTAAGACATTTATTTCTATCCGTACTCACATCATTATACTACACTGTCAACAGTTTGATAAATATAGAAATTTCGACGCTACTATTATGTCTGAAAATAAAAATATTAAAACAATGATTGCATGGTTGGCACGGTGTCATGGGCTCGATTCCCGCAAGCAACGACTCTGTGTGTGATCCTCAAATTGTTGTTCCGGGTCTGGGTGTAATGTGTAAGTGAAATTGTATGTTCGTAAACGCACTTACGACACATGGGAAAATCCTTAAAAACAAAACTAATAGGCCATAATAGCACTTACCCGTTAAAATTATAGATAAAAACTAGATAAAGCATTAATTCCTATCTAACAATAAAATTCTGAGAGGAAATGCCGAAACAAACTCCGCCTAAGTCAAGACAATAAAAAAAATTGTTTGAATTTTAATCTTAGTGTCAATATCAAAATAATTAGTGAGAGATTATATGTATGTATGTCTGTTATCACTACGTCAGTAGGTACAGCAAAATTAAATTTTTAATACAACCGATTGTTTCTCAAGAAACTTGCTTCTTTTTTTACGATTACTGCTAGTACTTTTTGCAATTTACGCAATTACATGTTCATTGAAATTCAAACTACCTACATGAAATTCAGAAATTGAATCCTGGAAAATATTTATAAAACATTAAAAAATAGTTAAGAACTAAAAATTTACAAAAATTTTGAATTTAAAATAATGTATTATTCGTCTAGAATTTAGTCCTTAATTTCGCCGTCCATTAGACATGACGAGGTGGCCGAGTGGTTAAGGCGTTGGACTGCTAATCCAATGTGCTCTGCACGCGTGGGTTCGAATCCCATCCTCGTCGATTCTTTTTCCCAATTTATATATTTTGTTTTTAACTTTTTTTATTGATAGGTATGTTTTATTGTCCATTACTTTAAGATTATATTGTTTTATAACTTTATTTTATTATGATTATATTTGTTTTAATTAAATATTTTTTTCTAATTAAAAAGTTATAACACGTAAGTTTAGTAATAATTATTTGATAAGTTTATATAAAAAAGATAACAGCGTGATACATAATCGGGACTTGAGCGATTGGTTTTGTTTTCATATTCGGTTAGTTTGAAGTATTATTAGGTTTTTCAATCCAAACGTCTTAAAAATTAAGAAAATTTATTTTATAATTTTATATGCTGTGAAATGTGAATTGATCAAATGTTTGGTGATATGTTCATTTATTCTTTATATTTCCTTTTTTTTTAATTGATAGTATTTTATAAATTTTGTCTAGGATGGTGTGTTGTGTTGTGATGCCATTTCGATACGGATACGAACGTTGTTCAGGATGATCTTTTCTATAAATAAAGAATAGTTTTGGCACACGGCTTTCATTATCATATTAGGTACACGGAGCCCTACAAGTACTGCGGTCCCTGGTTGACTAGATCAGGAGGAGGAACAGGTGTGTTTTGTTAGTAAGACTCTGACACACCCTCTCGCCTCACCCTTGGCTAGAGAAGTCATTAGATGAGTTTCCTCTCTCAAAAATTAGCTACAAGTCTTTTAAGCCTGAATGTAAAACTCGAACTCTTCCATTGTTCATTCAAATCTCCGGACGTTTATATTGACCGGCTGGAAAGAACGAGCTTAAACTTTGGCGTTTCTTATTACAACATGTAACTACGCCTGTATTAACGCGAAAAGTATTTATTGAAATACCTTGGTAGCCGTTTCGACAGCCTGCTTGTGACCACGACCTGTGCAACCAGGGCCTTGAGTCTGCTATTACAATAGTGTAAGAATAGTAGATCATTGGTTTCAAAATTGTTGATTTTGACAAGTTTGGTAATCTACTAACACGATAGCGTCATTATGACTTTCCAATGCCAGTTCATTGAAATAATTCTTTAGAACGGTAATCTCGTACATAATGACAAATAAATATTTGACACAATGCGGTAAATTAATAAAAAAAGAACAGTTCCTTTATTCAATGATTTACGTTTAGAATATTAATGTGCAGTTATTGTTTATAATTCGTTACAAGACATCTCGTACTATAATTATATTACGACATCACCGAACGCCAATGATCAGCCATTTTGATTTAACAGATTACGAACTTTTAGCAAAATGACAAAGGAATCGTGTAGGAATGACAACACTTTGAAAATAGTAGACTCGGGCCCCAGGTCGAATCATGAAGCCTGCTAAGGTATTTCAATAAATACTTTTGCGCTAATACCCGCGTTATTACATGTTGTAAACGAGCATACAGGCAAAGACTCAAAAACCTGTAGGTACTAACAAAGAAAATCTATTGTTTATAGGTGTTCCGTAATCACGGTGCCACAGAATTCTCTCCTCCTCTCTTAATTCCTCGAGCTTCAGCCTGGGATCAACACCCCAATGCTGTGAAAGTGATGACGTCATCCGGATCCGTTGTACATCTACCTCATGACCTGAGATTGCCGTTTGCTAGGTAAGTCTTCATTGTGTGGCAATTTCAACTTTATGAAGAAGGTGATTTGGATCATTTTTCATTGAAAAGAAAACACTCAATATGGTCCAATTTGTCATTTTTAACTGGAATTTCGACTTTGTTACAAAACTATAAAGTTTAAAATCGTTTATACATCTGCCACTTCTATTAATGTAAGTTAAAGGATCTTTATGTTTTGGTATTAGTAAGTCCAACAAGGTAAATCCAGATCCACTTTCCTTAGGTCTCAAGTACATAATATATTAATGCTAATATAACCCTTATTCCACAGGCATGTAGCATATAATGGCACAAAATACATGCGGCGTTATGTCGTCGATCGCGTGTATAGAGAGAAACATGTGCAAGGGTTTCATCCAAGGGAAATCACTGAGTGTGCCTTCGATATCGTCTCGCCGAAGACTGGTGAGTCAATATTAAACGAACTACAAAAGTAATTCAATGCATTGTTTAAGTTTAAAACGACAATTTCTTATGAATTTTGTTCAGGGGTCATGTGTTTGGATTGCGACGTTATAATTTATAGGTATATTGCATAATTATTTCTATTAAAATATCTAGAAAATTTATCTTGGAACTTTTGCTATGTGATTCGGCAGCGAATAAGCAGACTGATTATGTGATGGTAAACAATCTGCGCGGCTCATGGACACCTGCGATATTAGAGGAGACCCTAATGCGATGCCGGTCTTTTGGTAATAAAGGAAGGTTTTAGCGACGGACGAATTGAAAAGATTGATCCTTTGGCAACCTCACTCACATGGTTAAACACAACTCTGTAATTTTTGTCACGCAGTTTATAGCTGTGACGGCATTCATAACTTCGATCTAGCCGCCTCATTCGCGCATATGCATCGCTCTCCTACTTTGTCATTCTTCTAAGTACCAATTAACGCAAATTTCATTCATTCTGGATACTTCTAACAAAATATCACATATTGTAGATTCCCTATGGCCGGACGCAGAGCTCCTAGTAGTAGCTAGTCGGGCAGCCTCAGAGAGTTGCCTCAAAGTCTCGCTACAGTTGAACCATACGGAGTTACTGCGCACTCTGCTTCTCTCCTGCGGAGTACCGCTGGATAAACACGCTGACATCTATCCCGTACTTGTCGACGTTAGTTTTGGTAAGTATCATCACCATTTAGAACATATTATTACGCGGGTATTAACTTGAAAAATAATTATTTAAATACCTTCCGTAGGCTTGACATTTCGACCGGCTTAACAGGACGTGGTCGCAACCAGACTCTTTTTTTTAATTTTTCGTGTTAATACCCGCGTAAAAGTTCGTTATCATCATCATTAGCCTATTACACTTTAAACTTTCGCGTTGTATATTACCGTAAAATGGTGTGAATTCAAGGGGTGAATAGACACAGCAGAGGGGTGAATAGATACTGGAACATTGGCCAATATCTATTTACCCCTTTCGTGTATCGATTAACCCCTCAAATTTACCGTAAGTAACACTTTACTGTTTTACGGAATTTCACACGCAAAAATCAAATAAAAGGTATGTAGTTGGTTGAGTGGCGTGCGGTGTAAGCAGGTGTGTAGCAGTGCAAGCGGAGGTGAAATATGTCCAAGCAGATAATTTACAGTGAAAGTTATATTTGCACAAATTACACATTAGAAACAGTTCACACAGCACAATAGGAAAAGTCAATACAACTAAATAAAAAAAAAAAAACTAAAGCAGAAGGCGTAGGATAAGAAAAGCGACAGAAATACAGTTCATATGCAATTACGCGCGATAAATAGCGGTGAGCGCAGGGTAAGCAAGCGACACGGGCTTCGCGGCGAAAGATCGTTTTTCGACTGGAGTGGAACGGTGGGTGCCTGTAAAATAAGTAGGTTTAGTTAGGTAATAAGATTTTCATGTATATATTGTAAATAACTATATAATAGGAATAAACAAATAGATATATATAAATATTAAGTTATACACATAATTATATGATAATTATTGTTTGTGTGTGACTGGGTAGGCTACAGGTACTTAGATGCTCGTTAAATCCCGTAAAACAGTAAAGTATCATTAGCGCATAAGTGTCCACTGCTGAGCAAAGGCCTCTTTTCTCACGGAGAAGATTTGAGCATTCATCACCAAGATTTCGGCTTGTTCAATTCAATTTTTCGGCGGATTGGAGATTTGAAACTTATAATTTGAAATCGCCAAATATGACAGCACGGTTGGCGCGACGGCTGGGTTACTGGCTGCCTTGCAACTTATCGCAGGTTCGATTCCCCCACAGAACAATTCTTTGTGTGATCCACATAATGTTGTTCTGGGGTCTGGGTGTGATTTTTTTTGTGAGGGGAAAATCATCAAACGTTTTGTTGTCAGAGAGACAGAGTGTCAGACTTTTACTGACTAAAACACCCTGCTCCTCGTCCCTTCTTCTACTCAACTCTGAACCGAGGCCGCGGTGCCTCAATGCGCTTGCCTCGCAACCCCGGGTCTGGGTGTGATGTGTATGTGAATTTATGTGTTCTTAAACGCACCCACGTCATAGGAAAAATATTCGTGTAAGACAATGTTTTACATAATAATAATATATTTATCTTCTCCAACAGGTCGCATAACAAGCCTACAACTGCAAACCCATCTAACATCCCTCTGTATAACAAACAAAGACATTTCGAACCTCCTCCGTCTAATGGAGACTGATGTACCCATACACGAAGTGAGGGAACTAGTCATACCATACGTGAAACAAGCTAAATGGAGTAAAGTCGTGTCTCAAGCCGTACATGACTTGGAAGCCGTCTACAGAAATGCCAAGGCTTTAGGATGCGAGGTTTGTATCTTGTTTATTTTACTTTCTTACAATTTACGAGGTGGACTGATTAATTTCGAGCTGTACTGGGGCTCTTAGTTTATTTGTTTCGTAAATGGAGTTGTCTTTTTTTGTGTGTTATTTCTTTATTGGTTTTGGTTTTTTTTTCTATGTGATAAGGCGACGGACATACTAATTGCCTTATGGAAATTGATTTGATGTCTCTTACTATAATATTGTTTTTTTTACAGTGCCCAATGACGGTAGCCCCCTTCCTAGCTTACAACGCGACGCAGCATTCGGGAATATTCTGGCAAATGTCCGTCATAAGGAATACGGAAACAAAGCCCGTAACTGCCAAACATCGGGCGGGGGATCTCATTGCTGCGGGAGGGAGGTGAGTTGAGGAATACCTCAGATTAATTTGACTGACTGGACTGGACTGCATTTCAGTTCAAACGGTTATTTTTTTTTCCTTTTGAACATGGTCTCTGGCAGGCAGGCAGCTAGAACAACTGTTAATGCCTGTATTCTGTTTTTTCTAATGATTTGTTTATATAATGGAGTCGAGTCACTTTTTTAGATTGGTTTACTATGTGTCCTTAAACCTATTTTGATTTTGAGTGCTTATCCCATTTCCTGACTATCCTTATGCTCAGAAAATGTCTTTTTTTACCTCTAAATATACATATATATGTACTCTGTTTTAAATCGCCTAGATAGTCGATTTAAAACGACACTAGCGCCATCATTAATTGCAAAAATTGAGATTGTTTTTTTTTCTTTATAGATACGATGCCTTAGTAGCTGAATTCTGGAAAGTAGCCTCGACGGAGAAGGATCATGATAGTACTGAGTTAAATTCTAGTTCAGTCGGTTTCTCTATGTCCTTGGAAAGAATGGCCGCCATATTGAAAAAGTTGGACGCTGAGACACCGGTTCAACAGCCTAATGTCGAGGTATGTATTGAGAAGTTCCGTTTCAAAAGTACTTGTTTAAATGAAATAAATGATTTCGACATTGTCTTTGAATTTCGTCATTTAATTCTTATGTTATTTATTGGTATTGTATATATGTCGTCAAATTAGACTGACAATCTAACAAAAAGTTTCTAACTTAATATTAAAAGTTTAGGACTGAAACCGTACTTCATCCAAATATTGTCTATGTGATAAATATGATTTTGAGTTAATCAACCATAGTTTCACTGATGGATTTAGAATTCTTACTCATTCAAAAAGTTATTGAAAGATTTTTCCCTCTAAAATCCATTGTTTTTTAAGTAAACAGACTCAATTATACAGCGAAATAACTACTTTATTATCAAACATTTGAAAAATACAAAAATTACATTCTTAATAAACCTTTAACTTCATAGTAACACAGTACTCATTAATCACTAACGGATTTTGAATTATTACTCATTCAATTAGAATAATCATTTATGTTTTACAATGACTTTATACATTACTAGCTACTGTCGCGCGGTTTCTTCTCTGCTCAGGTCCATTTGATCGTAGCGATGTTTTATAGCCTATAGCACTCAGGAACATTTGTAGCTAACTATCAGTGAAATAATTTTGGCAATCCGAATCCGTGGTTCCAAAGATTATCCCCTATATACAAACTTACAAACATACAAATTTTACCTCTTTATAATATTAGTATAGATTCCCATCCCATATTCATTATCATCAACCATAATTTATTCCCAGTCGAGCCTGATATGCGTTTGCGTATGGGGCACTGCGGGCAGCGGTCGCGACGGCCAGGGCGCCGGCCGGCGGGCGGGGCTGGCGCGCGACCTGTGGGCGGGCGGGCAGCGCGCCGCGCTGTGGGCGGGCGCGCCGCGCGACGCGCACGACCTGGCGCGCCCCGCGCTGCTCATACTGCACGACGACGCCGACGTCAGGCTCGCCTGCTGGGATGGACTCAGGTTACCATACTACTACTCATGTCTTTTTTCGCCGGCAAACGAGCTTATGGATTACCTCATGGTAAGCAACACCAAGGGTTGCGAGAACGTTGCCTTATGGGATATTGGCCGATTACTTTCCGACAGATAATAAGAAAGCTAAAATAAAGTCTTATACAAAAAAAAAAAATTTTTTTAAATACACATTGGTACATGTTTATTAAACCTTTTTGTTAATAATAATTGATGTGATAGGTATACTTATTATAAGTTGAAAATATTCCATTTATAAGAAAATATCCTTTAACTTTCAATTAAGATAACATTTTACAATTATTGGTCTCTTAAATAAGTAAAAGATAAATTAATATTTCTTAATAAATAAAAATGAATACGTATTTGTTAATCTCGCTAAAAGTTTGGTCTTGGAATATTCGTGGAAGTCCGGGAAAACGCTTAAACGATGAGAAAAACGCCAGTAAAATACTAAAAAAAATACAAATATATTTCCTTTACAAAATACTCTAAGTAACATTAGATATTGGGAACAAGACTGCCAACAATAAACTATGAAATTAATGTCTTATAACTTACTATTGATCGATTTATATAGTTCACCGGTTCACCTAGTTTCTAAATAAAAATTTTTAGAAGTCAGCTACAGAATACTTACGTCTTTTAAATAATTAATAATAATTATTATTTTTCAGATTAAGAGAATACAAAGTGCCATACATAGACGTATTGGATTTCATCAAACAAAAGCTGTATCCTGATACTGCTAGGAGTTCTGAACGTGAGTTTTTATTTATCTATCTATATGTATATTTAATATAGATTACCATGTTTTTCTTTTTTATGTTTATACACTTCTTTATTTTGTGTCTTATATGCGTCCTAGACGCGAATAAATACTTTTGTTTTGTTTGTTTGTTATTATAAATACATAAAACTTATTGGTATTATTTTACAGCTGGTACAGGCACGAATCGGGCGCTAAGCTGGTCGGAATGTGAGAAGTCATATTGTGGTTTCACGATTTCGGTGAACTTCTGCATCGCTTCCAAAGACAGGATGAACAAGAACTCTAGAAGACATTGCGAGAATCAGGTCAGTTACACTTTATATTTAAACATACTTGTATATTTCTGTGTATTCACACAACACCTTTGGGAATAGGGGTTTAAAAGGGGAGGGAGAAATATTGGGCTTTCGGTAACATCATTCAAACGGCAAAACGCTATGGTTGTTTCACGCTGGTATTCTGTGAGGCCATAGTATCACTCCGGTCGAGCCGGCCCATTCGTGCCGAAGCATTGCTCTCACACATTTAGCATGTTGTTGTTTTACTAATTAAAATATAATAATAACATTTAATTCATTAATTTCCCGCAGATAAACACCCAAATAACATCAATGCTAGTCTCATTAGGGCTGCAAGCAGGCATAAGTCGTGTCCGAGTCCATGTACTAGCGATGTCGGTGGAAGCGGCAGCCCTGCGCGCGTTAGCCGCGTCACTGTCCGCGCCGCTCGATGCAGGAGAACTGAATCTTGCATTCATGTCTGTTATAGATGCGTGAGTATTTTTTTATATTCGTATATTATTATCTATACTAATAATAGGTCTTTACATATGATTACCGTTTTGCATGAAACAAATTAAACGAATTTTTGATTTATAATGCGATGAAAATGTAACTCTAATCAATAAACAATTGACTACTTTCGGAAGAAGAATCCCATGTTTTTAAAACAAAATTAATTAGCCTTAGCCTAACAAAAACTATTTTGATTTGAAATGGCCAGTACTGCATAACAGCAATTTCATAGGTAAATCCCTATTATTATAAAGAGGTAAAATTTGTAAGTTTGTATGTAAGGGGTAATCTTTGAAACCGCTAGTCGCTACAATGTTCCGGAGTGCTATAGGCTAAAACATCACGCTACGACAAAAAGAAGCCGAGTAGCGGGTGGAACCGCTCGGCAGTAGCTAGTTAAAATATAAATGATTAGTAATTAATTTATTTTTAACCTAGGAAACCAACCAATTAATCCAACAGTTTGTTCTTCAGTGAATCTAAGTGTAGTTTTGTATGGATAAGACCGTGCAAGCAACTTTATCGTCGTCCATAAATATATCACCGTCATTGAAAAGTTAAGATGTACTTAGTTATATTGCAAAAGTACGATATCAATAAAAACAGACGCTATCAAGACATGCAATGACCTTAAACCCTATTAAATGCAAACAAACAAGTACTATCTTATCGCCTCGTGGTTCTTGAACCTATGGTTATAAGGAACTTTACAGTTGACTTAGTTATAGGGCATAACAACTCTAATATAATGACTTTTCTAAATGAAACGGACAGGTAATCTTTGATCTGAATGCATGTAAACAACGAATGTCGCATTATATGCGGCATGATGGCAAGCAAGCGCCATCTATGAACTCTTGTAGTTAAACCAAAAGATTTACTACAAGTGTGTTGCCGGCCTATTGTGGGTTATTAAGGATTTGGAGATTGAGGATCAGAGGGGAAAAAGAATTGAGCCTCTGGTAACCCCACAACGCAAGCGTGTTTCGCGCCGGCTTTCTGCAGGTCATGGCTCTTGATGACTATACACCTTTGATAATTCCATTAGATTTTTATGTATTTTCTTTTTGTTTTCAGGTACCCAAAACGTCGAGATGTTTTAGACGATGCCCTTCATGAATTAACAACACTAGTTAAACAAAACTCTCAGTCTAGAGCAACGGATGAAACGCAACTCTATGCTCTATACTCTATACCCGATTCTCTATGCCGACTGATCACGTGACCATACTTTATAGTATTTTTTTTATTAGAAGTAGACGTCGGTTTGTCCGTACTTTTTTTTCGTTTTATTGTAATTATTGTGTGTATTTTGTTACTTCAAAAATGAAGTTTTCTTTTTGTACATAGGCTACTTTAACTTGTACTTTATCTCAGGCGCTTAAAGTAGATAGGTAATTTTTCCTTTGATTTATTACCACAGTCTCGTGGCCAAAGTATGTATTATGTTTAACAGCTAATTGTAATAATAAATAATATACAAAGCCTAAGAAGCCTACCTAGGTTACTTTTTTACTTAGTATTTTTTATTCGACCCCGAAAGTGCAATTAATAGTTCTACACTCTAGTAACAGATGGCGTTATTATGCTAATTTAGCATAGCAACAAAAATACATACGTTTCACTTGCCACGTGCTAAAAACTTGGTAAAGAAATTAACTGGTTGTTCTGATTGATCTGAATAATTATAATCAGTAACCTTATTCTATAGAATATCCATACTTACAATGCATTTAAAGAAATATTGACATTTATATAACACTACGTACCTACATACTTTATTAATTATTAATTTCTTCATTATGTTGTTTATAATCTACGTTAGTTGTGGGCAAACATCGCGAAATAAATTGTGCGATGAGTATTTAATCCATAATCTGGCCCCCAAAGAGATTTAACCCAACTCGAAGTGGGATTTAATCCGTAACCTAAAAGGATTTAACTCAACCCGTAACAGGATTTAATCCGAATCCCAAAAGATTTAAATCGATCCCCAAAGGGATTTAATCAGACCCCAAAGTGGATTTAACCAGACCCCAAAAGGAATAAACCCTGGCACCAAAAGGATTAAATCCCGAATGCGGAACGTATAATTATATTTCAATATAACAGAAGCTCTTTACACTTTTTGACTCAACTAAATTTGCCCACCACTTCTTTATACAATAAATGACGTAAAATTAATAAATTAACTTTAACGATAAGAATTTGTGATGTTATATTACTCGTATTACAACCTTTGTAAATATAATATGTATAATTTAGTACAGATGCCAGTTGATACAAAAGTAGAAGAAATTTTATTTGTTTAAACACGTGTATTATAAATAAGTTCTGCGATGAGTAATTAATACATAATCTGGCCCTTAACTATCTAACAGTCTCGCCAGGTATAATCCTTATAACATTGTGGTAGTCCAAGGAATAAAAAAATACTGCACGGTTGTCGCATTGGCTAAGAAATCGGCTGCCGTGCAACGTGTCGCAGGCTCAGGCAGGATTCCCGCACAGAACAATTCTTTGAATGGTCCACAAATTTTTGTTCCGGGTCTGGGTGTGGAGTGTATATGAAATCGTGTGTTTGTAAACGCACCCACGGCACAGGCGAAAATCCTAAAGGGATTAACTTTTTTAATTAATTAAAATAAAATAATAAAATCACTTCTAAATTAGGTTATAAGCTCGTTAGGGCGTCTTTTGTTTGGATTTTCCCACCGTAATGGCGCCCATTTGCGATTCGGATCGCTCGAAAAGACCAGCCTTGTCTCACCGACCGGCTACTATAATCTAATTACAAACCTATAAATATTCTTCTGTTAAATTATCAACTTGACGTATGTAAGAACACGATTTTGATAATTATTCTCAACTTTTTTATATAAAGTCTAGTAATATGTCAAGTTTTTAATTTTTAACTACAGCTGTTTTGTTTATAAATTGCCATTAGGAGGTCGATTCGCCACACTTCTCCGGCTAGACCCTTTCAGTAAGGCTTTAAACCTAATTGTATTGTAATAAAGTTTAATATTAAAGTTCTTTAGAATGTTTAGTTGTTTTTATCAACTGGCGTCTGCACTGATACTCGGTATGCTGTGTTACTTACTATTTGTATGTGATTTTAATATAAGTATTAAATAGTTTGTATGTAAACCAATTTATTACAAAAGCCATACATTTAAAGTCTAAAAATGTCTTCATTTATACAAACACAGTTTGTAAAATAGAATACGAAATTAAAATGTTATATTTTTTAATAAAATACAATTACATTATGTGCTTTAAGTTAAAATGTAATGGTTTAAAATTTTGATAATAAAAGGTACAATTTGAAATTTGTTATTTTATTTATTTACATAATGTATTCAGTCTTAAAAAACAAGTAAGGTAAAGTATATTGTTACCTAAATTAATATAAAAACATAAGATTATAATTAAATACTCAGAAACGGCTGAGCAGATTTCAATTAAATGTGAAACAAAAATACTAGTAGAGCCGCTGGCAAAATCTATAAAGAAATATATAGTATGAAATGACCAGACAGATATCTCAATGGTAAGCAACCGGCGCCGTTGGCAATTTTTTGTTAATTGATTTGACACCAAATGGATGTCAAGGTTTAAGTTCTTAAACAAATAATCAACATCTTATCACTGAGTACATTGAAAAGTAACGTAATATTTAATTGATTAATTATAATATTATTGAACTTGACTTATTTTTGGATATACACGTAAATACCAGCTGACCATGTGAACTTCGTATCATCTTAAAAACATTGATATTACATAAAAATATGATATAATAAATACCCAATTCATTACTTTGTAAGCAGATGGCGCCACCATAATTTTAAAGTACCTAATAATTTTTAAATTTAATTTAATTATATTCTCTTAGCACAAAACTAACAGTCTATACCTATAAATCATAAAGATCTCTCTTTTAGAAGTCAAAGAAGGATTCTTAATAACTCTTACTGATTCCGAATATAGAAATTATTTTTTCGATTCTAACTAATGTAAACCAATATCGCTTACTCACGTGAACCTTTTCAAAAATCATTTGCTTGTTTCAAGTAACACAGGGACAAGCCATAGGTACTTTTGAATTAATTTACCTAACTAATTTAATATTGGGAGGCTCAAACACTTCTCAATCTTAAGATGCTCTCAAAAATATTCTGTCACTACAACGACTTCTTCATGATAACGATAGACTGATATTTAAATACACTCAAAAGATGAGCACCATATTTGTAATCAGGTCTTAAGTACTAACCAATCTCATTACAAAGTATAAACATTATCTTCTTTCATTCTATAAATCAGTGGTGCAAAGGTCATATGGACTGGTGGCACCGCTGGTAGATTCCCTGCAGCATCATAAGTGTTGCACCTTGGAGCCCTCACCAAGATACACGTGATGATGGACAGGAACATGGCTATTAACGCCCAGAACATGAGGACGAGGAAGAAGCGGGTTCTTCGCCAGGTGATCTCCTGGCGTGCTGTTTGGACTTCATCCTGAGTTAAAGGTCTGCAAGAAAAGAAAATAATGTTATTTAAATATTTCCCGGTCTTTTCAAACGTAGTTCTTCTGACTAGGCTAATTAAGGTATGAAAATATAGTAAAGATAATGGATATCTGCCCTCCAAAAACTACTTTTAAAGTGAAGTTTTGGTCTGCTAACGGTACACAGTGACGGCTTAACGTGATCTCCGTGAACTACGGTAAAACGGGGTGAATAGATACACGAAAGGGGTGAATAGATGTTGGCGAATTTTCCTAGTATCTATTCACCCCTCTTCCGTGTCTATTTACCCCTCGAATTCTATTCACCCCGTTTTACGGTTATATTTGCTTATACCTACTACCTATTACGTGACCTCCGAATTACTGGGCTGTAAAAAAATATTAAAATAGAAATCAGTCTATCCCTTCCCCTATCCAAGTTTATTATCGATAATCGTTATCGCTTTAGTAACGAAATTCTTTGACAATGTTTTTATCAATGACTGTCAGAAATATCTATTTTTTTAGGTCGGCCAACGAGTCGATGGAATTTGCAAGTACGTTGCCGGCCTTTTAGGGATTAGGGTTTCGAATATTTAAGGATTGGGGAGGGATAGCGAAGGGAAGGATTGGGCGTCGGGTAATTTCATACACACGGCGAAACACAACGTTGTCGTTGTTTCACCCCCGTTTTCTATGAGGCCGTGGTATTACTCCGGTCGAGTAAAAAAAATACTGCACGGTTGATGCGGTGGCTGGGAAATCGGCTGCCGTAGTTAATAGAATAAGCAGTAGCCAGTCACCTATCTTTTTAACAAGTCAATGACGTATTACAACTCAATCGACGAGTAAAATAATTATATTCTTATTGACCCGAAATCTCGACTGCTAATAATTAGATAAACAATGATAAAGAAGGCTAATTTTAGAACGTGTAGCCTCGAAGTTTCCTGGAACTAATTGTAGTTTATCAGCTAACTTGTTAGTTCTCACTTAAAGGTTAAAAGTTCACAATTAAATTAATCGTGTATACTGTTACTAAGAGAACATTTTTTTTGAAGTTTATTTTTGTTTGTTTTTGTAATTTAATTTAAATTTTATTTACTAATAAAACCATAATATATCTGAGAGGGGACAACTAGAAACCCGTAGCATATATGTTTCAAAGCTTACTTACTTTTTAAGACCACCTACTTTGGACCTATAAATTATAGGTAACATTACTAGCGACACGGTGTAATGCTGATATAAAATTTCTCCACTATTTAATTGGTGTTATTAGGAATACATATGAAATAGTGGCGTGCAATTGGGGAGGTCTATGTCCAGCTGTGGGCGAAATCAGGCTTACATATGAAGTTTCCTTCAATCAATTACTCTATCTATTAAAAAAGCCGTATCAAAAGCTGTTAGGTAGTTGTAGGGACCTAAGCATACATAGGTATACAAAGATAGCGAGCGATAGCTTTTTATTCTATAGTAGTGAAGTGCTACCAAGGGATCAGAAATGTAGAACTTAGCATACCTTTAGTTAGTTCATGGATCATTTTTTTTTAAATAGAATAGCAATGATTCGCTAGGTCTTTGAACAATGAAACAATGAATAAAATTTATTTTTGCAAATAGGCCATAAAACGGCACTTTTACACGTCAAATTATATGTGAAAAACTAGATGAAGCCGGCATATCCTATCTGACTACTCTCAGAAGAAATGCCGAAACTAACTCAGAGGTCAGTCTCTTTTCAAGTCCACACAATGTAAAATAACATAATGTGAGAGAACCGTGCAAGTTCATTCTGTAGTGGTCTTTTGAGGAAAGAAACACACCAGTTTAAGTGGACCCGTTCTGAAGACAGGCACGCAAGTGTCAGTTTGCAACCAGTATAGCTAGTGCTGCTGAGTTGTCCGACGAACAATACCGATCAAAAGAACATTTGGGTGGGTCGCGCAAGTACTCAAACTGTCAGAACGCAGATAACTGGTAATCAAAAAGCACGGCAAGTCTCACACGGTCGAACTTTGTGAGCATGATAGTTGTGACAAGGTTGTGCGTTGTCTGTAAGTCTTTAAGTAGCAGTATATAATTATGTAATTCTTTATATTGAATTCATATTATAATAATAAATATTATAATATAATTATTTGATTTAATAAATATTATTTGATAATAAATATTATAAATAAATTATAATATTTATTATCAAATAATGATATTCTCAATTAAAAATAAATAAAATAACGTTTAATTCTATTTGTGACAGAGATACATAGGTAAGGTTATAATGGTTTTCTCAATTGATTATTGATCGAATTGATATAGCGATAATAATTTTATGACAATGAAAAAAAAATCGGATGTATTATGTATACAGCACAACATGTATTATGTGTACCTATTCTAAAAATACTATTGGCGAATGGTATAAGTTGTATTGGAATTACATTACTTATAGGAGAGTATCTTAGACTACTGTAGATGTGCAAATTGTCTCATTATAAGCGTGCAACTTAGCTTATTGTAAACGTGCATCTAAACCTATTGTAAGCGTGCAACAGCTAATGTGCAACAACTAATTTTGTGTTTTTGGCACCGAGTTGTCGTTTCTAACATACCGCTGTTAAACCCTCGATGGTTTTTGTTGGTATGTATATACAGGTTAATATGATTGTATCAATGTTATAGGCAAAAAGGCCATTGTAGGAGTGAAACTTATGGTAGAAGTGCAACTTTGCTTAATAAGCCCACATTTCTATAGTAATCTTAGGCCTTCTACCTAATTACACCTAAAGAACTTAAACCAGATCCGTGCTTATTACTGTTAAATTAATGAAAATGTCAAAATTATGGTTTTCGCTGGACCCGGAAAACGCACAATTACGTCTAGTATGTTAGTCTTATACGTACTACGCCTTCGAAGCGCAATATAGACTAGGAGTTAATTTATTATCATAGAAAAATCTTACATTAGATTTTCTTCTAAGCCGTTGATATATACATATATATACTATACATACAAATTTACATACCTACACAAACCGCCAAGACCAGAAACAACAATTTGTGGATCACATAATGTGTTGTTTCATGCAGGAATCGAACCCGCGACACGTTGGCCAGTAGCCAGTTATCCAGCTGCTACGCCAACTCTACAGTCAAATTATGTTATTAATTCTTACACTTAGAAGTATAATAATTATTATACTCTACATACCCAAATCTTCTGCATCTTAAATCAGAGCCCTGAGAAAGCAGAGGTTGTCTTTCGGGGTCCATATCGATCGAATATACTTCTCCAAGACAAAATAACACTCTTTATTATTTTCAAACCACTCAAGTATCTCCGAATAAACTTTAAAACTATTTTATTAATATTATTATTTACCAAACTACTTTTAATGGTCTTCTATCACTTTTTTCCACCACATAAAACTCTTTCGAACAATATAAATTGAACCGTCTGAATTAAGTTCATATCTATATTTATTTATTTTTATTTTAATGAAATAAATTCAAATGACCGTTTCCATCGTATAACACCAACAAACTGATAGGTGACATCTTAATTGACACTGATACGTTAATTATTGGTTTGTTGTTGTGTCAATTAACTTGCCCTTATCAAATACATGTCATTTGTTAGATTCTCCACAGGCGATCCATTTTACGGTCGGCGATTGAAGATTTTAATTTTACCTTGACCTTATATTTTAATTTGACTGCACGGTTGGCGCGGTGGCCGGGCAACTGGCTGCCGTGCAACGTGTCGCGGCTTCGATTCCCTCACGGAACAACTCTTTCTTTGATCCACAAATTGTTGCTCCGGGTCTGGGTGTTATGTGTATGTGAAATTGTATGTTTGTAACCCCACCCACGACTCAGGAGAAAATCATAATGTGGGGCAAAGTTTAAAAAAAAAAACCGTGAGAGTTTATTGGTCTTGTCAGGTCTCGGGTCGGAGTTTCGGGTTAGTCCAAGCGCTAGTCTAGTGTTTCCGAACACCAGCAACGCTCAATAGGTTTCTTTTTTTTTTTAATTTTAGATTTCCTGATGGTAGTAGTGATCAGCGCCACCCATAGACATCCGCAATGACAGAGGAGTTGCGTTGCCGGCCTTTTTGGGGATGGGGGTTGCGAATAAAAAGAACGGGAAGGGATAGGGGAAGGGGAGGGATTGGGCCTCCGGTAACCTCACTCACACGGCGAAACACAACGCTGGGTTGTTTCACGCCGGTATTCTGTGAGGCCGTGGTATCACTCCGGTCTAGCCGACCCATTCGAATTCTATAATTTTGAAATCGCCATTCAGCCCTGAGCAAGAGTTATGCTCAGTACTTCACCATGTGAGAAGAGACCTTTGTTCAGCAGTGGCCAATTATAAGCTAGTGCTGGCTGCAGCATAAGGTCATCATCATCTTATGACCTAGAAATCTTCTACTACTGAATATAAGCCCCTCTCATTTCAAACCGCGTTTCTGCCACGCTAAATCGCTGCGCGCTAGACTGTCTGATAGTTTCTTACTGCAACTACTCTTTCTGAAGAACGTCAGCGTCTTTGATTCGTTGGCTCTTCTCTTTAGTGTAATACTAAAGTGAGAATGCCACATTTTTTTTATGTTAAAGTATTGCAAACGACCTGACGCGTTACCTGATGGTAAGCAATCAGCGCCACTCATGGACACCAGCTATAATAATGGAGTTACGAATGCTTTACCGACCATTTAGTGATTAGTGTTTTGGAGATTTAAAGATCAGGGGAGGATGAGACCTCCTGTAACCTCACTCACACGGCGACACACAAGATCGTATTCACTCAGCCTGGAGGTAGAATGTAGGTGGTTTTATAGAAATTCGTTGTCATTTTAATTGATTACATGGCACATATCAAATAATTAAAAGGACAAGACTATTATTTTCCTTTATGCTCTTTGAGCATCATGAGTATTCATGACTGGTACACAAATTATACGCAGGTATCTATAATAGCATTAAAGGTAGGAATATAGATATCTATTTATAATGCACTTAAAATTTTATCAGATAGTTTCTATAACCTCTTAACTTAATTATTGAATATTATTATTACATTACTTATCAAAACAGATTGTTTGTCTGTTACATAAAATCCATCCTTTTTTGAGACGAGAAAATTATCAAATGACTTTCTTCTGCTCTGGTACGGCAAGAAATGTGTGTGGAAGAGCCATGTTTCGGCATGAATGGGTCGGCTTGACCGGAATGATACTACGGCCTCACAGAAAACGGCATGAAACAACCACAGCGTTGTGTTTCGCCGTAAGAGTGAGGTTACCGGAGGCTCAATTCTTCCCCACCCCCAATCCCATCTTAATCCCTAAATCTCCAAATCCCTAATCCCAAAAAAGTTGGCAACGCACTCGTTACTCCTCCGTTGCGGGCGTCCATGGGCGGCGCTGTTTACTTATCATCAGGTAAACCGTCTCTTCGTTTGCCGATCTATTACATAAAAAAAGAAGGAGTGTCTTTCTGACTAAAACCACCCCATACCTTCTTCTGTTCGGAACCGGGGCCACGGTTCATTATAACCCCGACTAGATAACGACCACAATGGGCCATAATTGTTACTGGTGTTCTAATAGGTAGCTATTTGAGGCAGTCTAAGTACTACCGGAGACCCACGTTTTCGTTGGCTAGAGAACGATCGCGTTACAACAAACTGCCTAGACTTTAAAACTAGTCTAAATAAATGAATATAAAATCATGATATTAATAGAACCACGCTTTAAATCATAATTCTCCTTACCTGTAGAAGAATTGGACATGTCTAAACTCAAAAAATTTACAAGCCAATAGCCACCTTCGCAAAGTCAACGTCAAAGTCAAAAATCATTTATTTCAATTAGACCCTTACAGGCACTTTTGAACGTCAAACAAAATTTTAAAGATATAAAGTGTCAGTACCTATGTCGGTCAGTCCTCTTAGTGAAGCTATTTGCTCCTTCCGAAGTGCAAATTCCGATGGAGAAGAACGAGCAAGAAACTCCACATATATCCAACTCGCTCCTAGTTCCCAGAGAACGTTATTAAGGGTATGAAACTCCCTATCGCTGGCGAAAGAAGTCATTTGATTATTAATCCCCTTAATACAAACTAAACTTTCATTGCGTTGTGGATGGATATGGTTATTTTGTGACTGAGGTTACCAGAGGCCCAATACCGCCCCTTCCCCTATCCATTCCTAAACCTTATATCCGCAACCCCCTATCTCCAAAAGGCTGGCAACGCACTCGCAACTCGACGATTGCTTACCATCAAGTAATCCGTAAGCTCGTTGGCCGACTTATATCATAAAAAAAAATATAATTGTATACTGGAAATTCCTAGCAGAATAGACGCCTTCGGATAAATTTATATTACTTGAAATAACTAGGCACTCGAGATTAAGTATAGTACTTCATAATACCATTTCCTTAGATTGTAGAATCTCTTGAAGAAGCAAATCATTATAATGTATTAAGTAATATATATTATTAGACATTCCTCTTTGCATTTTCAATCAGGAAAGTCCAAGTTGAAAATATATAGTTTTTTTCATGCACAATGTTAAAATTGTTGTGTTGTCTATTACTTTCGCTATGGAGTGGTGTTGCTTTCTCCTTCGTACATCCTTGGGATGAAATTGAGGAAATTAAATTTGAAAGTTTACTAAAACGTCTAGTTTATACGAAACGTGGTTATATCACTACTGGATTGGTTTCTGACGGCTATAAGAGATATATGGGAGTGCCTTATGGATTGGTGAATACAAGCAATCCCTTTGGGGTGAGTTGTTTCTATTTATTGGTATTAAGTGAGAGAGTCTGAGAACCATGGTTGATTTTTAGAAAGAAATAAGAAAAATAAAACAACTGTTTTTATTCGAAATTTTTCGATAGGTTAAGATGCTTTAGTTAGAACGATAAGGTAGACAAGAACTGTAGAAAGATATTAAAAGACTTTAAATGTGAGAGAGCCATGCTTTAGCGCGAATTAGTCAAAGAGAAATGATACCACGGCATCAGAGAATACCGGCGTGAAACTACGCTTGGGTTAAGTTTCGCCATGAAAGTGAGGTTAATGGAAACCTAAATGTTCTACCCCAATCCCCAAATCCCTAATCCTTAAATGCCTAATAACTTACAGAAAGCCTGAAATTTTTTGTATTATTTCCTCAATATTTTCGCCATACAATTATCTCAAATTTTTGTATTCAAAATGATAACAAACCTACATTCATCTCTCTCATTCGATTAGTTAAGAATACTTTATTCGTAAAAAATATATAACTGACTGCTCATTAAAATTAAAATTTCAAACTTAAGGATAAAGAACGTTCAAGAAAGTGATAATCAACTTAGACAACATTGTTCCAGCCTTCCACACCTTACCCAGACTTTGAAGAAACATTCTACGCTGAAAACGAGGGTATAGCATGTCCACAAATAAAAAATGGTATACCTGCAGGTATCATTCAGTGCCTCACTTTAAACATATATGTTCCTGAAAATACCGCTGTTCCTAGTCTCCCTTTACCTGTCATGGTTTGGATACACGGAGGAGCCTTTGTGGGTGGCAGTGCTGAAGACGAAGCCAATAACCCTACCGCACTACTAAGACATGACATCATAGTAGTAGCTGTCAACTACAGACTCGGTATCTACGGCTTTATGTGCCTGGATACGCCTGAGGTGCCTGGCAACCAAGGACTAAAAGACCAGACACTAGCTCTTAGGTGGATACGTGATAACATTGCAGCATTTGGGGGAGATGAAAACAAAATTACTGTTGTGGGACAAAGCGCTGGTGGTATGTCCGTAAATATGCATCTATTTTCAATGAACGAAAAGCTATTTGATCAAGCGATTATACAAAGCGGTCCAGCTCTAAGTTACTGGATGATGGTAGAATCAAACAATACTATACCTTTAGCTATCGCTAAACAATTTGGCTATGAAACTACAGACGTACATAAAGCTCTGAATTACCTTTCATCAATTGATACACATTCTCTAGTAAGGGCAGCTAATGATTTGAAAATTACTAATGCATATGATACTGAGCAACCATTAACAAAACCATGTGTTGAGAAACAGTTTGAAGGTGTAGATAATTTTATAACAGAGCATCCTATGAATATGATTTCTAAAAAAGCAAAAGATATTCCAATAATAATTGGGCATAACGCAAATGAATATTATTTCCAATGCCATGGTCAGGATGATATATTTTTTGAATCATACGATTTAAGAAACGTATTTGAACTGGGATTTAATACAGGTACTGATTTCAATGAAGCGTTAAATGCAGTCAAACACTTTTATTTTGGGGATGGACATATTGAAAAGAACGCTGCAACAAAGCTTATTGATTTTGGAACAGATTTTATTTTTGCTCATCCAACGCAGAGAATGGCTGAGAAACTCTTGGAAAGCGGTGCAAAAAATGTGTACCGTTATGTTTTCTCATTCTTTGAAGCAAGTCATGGGGACGAGCTTCCATATTTATTTGACTCACTGGTTTCGGAACTAAATAAGACGGACGGTGGATTATTCTGGAAGGAACGATTGCAAGTCAAGCATCGCATGGTCAAGCTTTGGACTAACTTTGTTAAGCATGGGTAAGTCTTTAATCATTTGAAAAAATCTAAATTAATCCATCAGAGTATGACAAGTTAGTATTCTTTGCGAGTCAAAATCATTGTGGTAAGTTTATTTTAAAAACACCATGTTGATAGTTTTGTTTTTTCAGGAACCCCACTCCAGAACCTATGGTATTTCTACCATTTGTTTGGACCCCAATATCGAACACTACCCACCCATACCTGGAAATTGACATTGATTTAAAAATGAAAAGTAGACGAGAGCACAGGGCTATGGCATTTTGGGATTTATTTTACAAGCTGTATGGGAAATTTCAGAAGTGGTACATAAAAGAAGATAAAGAACAGCAGCTCGTTTTAACCAAGGATTTTATGAGGAACCTAAATTTAAATTCGAATGTTCAGTTTAATACAATTCAAATATTCAATATGGCCGGTTAGATTCAATGTCTTTACATATGTTTCAAAATAATATTATAAATATATTTTTAAAAAATGAATTGCCTTTTTAATCAAATTGATAGAGATATATGTATTTATGTTCGAGATTGAGGAGGGAAAAACGAGGGATCTGCAGTATGCAATCTGCGTCAGCCATGGAGCAACAGAGTAATCACGACCTTACTGCTTTCTCTGAGGATAAGAAGTCTCCTAAGATTGCTACACGCTTGTATAGGGTGCTGAGATTAACCTGACTCACACGGCCAAACACAATGCAATCCTTTTTGTGCGGCTTAACTATAGGTGACAAAAAGTGCTGGTACAACAATCTACACTTTAAACTCTATTACAAAAGCAAAAAAGTTAAAATTCTATCATCAAAATGCATAGTCAGAAGTCATCTTTACTCACTGATATTTACACAAAAACCCCGATCCGCGTAACACTACAAAACGTCATTGATGGCATATTTATCTATTATCTTAACTCTAGCGACGGGAAAACCAACTTGTGCTCTTGAATAAAAAGCAAAGTTTTCTTTACTTACGAACTAGTGTTAAAAACTCTCTAGGCATGTGGTCTGTGGTGTGGTTTATTTCGTTATATGGTCTGGCGTATGGAGCGTCCCGACTGGATCCTTTAGTGTCTACCAAAGGAGGATTGATAAGAGGACTCCAGTTCGGTGATGGATACGCTAAGTTTTTAGGAGTCCCGTATGCTGTCGTTGATGCTAACAATCCGTTTGGGGTAAGTTCTATTTTCGAATTATTGCTATTTTATGAATTTAAAGTAAGACTCAGAGATTTATTGATATATTAGATTATTTTACACAAATATAACACAGTATTACTAGTATACTATAATGCTATAGTCTACTTAGTCATTTAAGTTATTTATTCTACTTTTACCTTGAATATAACATTATTACTACAAGTAATAATATTTTTTTGTAATCTTTTTGTATATTCAATTAAAAGAAAGTTATTTCATTCATCAAATATCTTATTACTATTTTGATTATCTCATACTTATTATTATGTTTTCGCAGCCTTCTGTACCTCATCAAGGTTTTGATGACACATTCGAAGCATACGAGTCAAAAGCGTGTCCACACACACAATTCAATAGTAATACCGCTGTGGGTACTCTAGACTGTCTCACTGTTGATATATACGTACCAAGTACTGCTAATTCAAGAAATCGTTTACCTGTAATGGTATGGATACATGGCGGAGCTTTCATTGGAGGCAGCAACAGAGATGAAGCTAATGAACCTGTGTCATTACTCAAACACGATGTCATAGTTGTAGCTGTAAACTACAGACTTGGTATCTACGGTTTCATGTGTCTCGATATACCTGAAGTGCCTGGCAACCAAGGACTCAAAGACCAGACTCTAGCACTCAGATGGGTGCGTGATAATATAGCTGCCTTTGGAGGAGATGAAAACAAAATCACCATATTTGGTGAAAGTGCTGGTGGTATGTCGGTTAATATGCACTTATTTTCTTTTAATGAAAAGCTATTTGACCAAGCTATTATACAAAGCGGTCCAGCTCTGAGTTACTGGATGATGGTAGAATCCAATAATACTATACCTTCAAGACTTGCCGAAGAATTAGGTTTTGTTACTTCTGATATAAATGAGGCTCTTAAATATCTTGCTACAGTTGACCCACATTTGTTAGTGCAAGTAGCAAGAGACTTAAAAATTTCTAGTGGGTCTGGCACTGACCAACCGCTAACGAAACCATGCGTTGAAAAAGAGTTTGAAGGAGTTGAGAATTTTATAACAGAGCATCCTATGAATATGAAGGCCACAAAAGTAAGTAGGACTCCAATAATCATTGGGAACACAGCGCGGGAATTCTTTTTTCAATACGCTTATCAAGATGAGAAATTTTTTGAATCGTTCGATATAAACACTTTATTTGAAATGGGTTTTAATGTCGACAGTGATTTCGAAGAAGCTATAGATGAAGTTAGACACTTTTATTTTGGTGACGAAAAAATACATAAGAATCTTGTTGAAGAACTCATTGATTTTGGAACAGATTTAATATTTGGCCATTCAACGCAGAGGATGGCTGAAAAACTATTAGAAAGTGGTGCAGACAAAGTTTACAGGTTCATCTTTTCTTACCGTGAAGCAAGTCATGGAGATGACTTAGGTTATGTGTTCGACTCGACATTTGGCAGGTCAGAAGATGAACCAGATAGCGAAAAAGAGTCAGTTAAAACTCGACTTATTAAGCTTTGGACCAATTTCGCAAAATATGGGTGAGTATATTTTTTCTTTTATTCATTTGTATCTTTTCAGGGTTACCAAGCATCTCACTGAAATGAATGAGGCATATAACTGAAACGAATGGTTGTACTAATAAATAAGTAATCCCTAATTAAGAAAAATCATTTATATTTCACGGGGAATACGGGACTGTCAGATTCTTATTGACTAAAAACAATTTCGTTCCATCTTCTGCGTTTAGCTAGCGCTAAATAATGTACCGCAGCCCGCAATCCTGGTCAATAATTTTAAGTTGGATTGATTTTGGACTCCTTATGTGGTTATACTTCTTTTCACTTATATTTATATACTTCTTACTTTAGTAATAGTATTGTCATCTTTGCAAAGACTTTCCGAAAAGATTTAGAGCTCAGTGAATTTTCACGTTCAACCAGACAAATAAACAAACTCTAATGCTTATCAGATAAGTATAAATGATTGTGAAATCATTCATGCCACACTGAAGTGTCTACGTGAAAAATAACTTCTGTGCTGGTGTTCGATAACGTGACGGGTTTATCTGATAGGGAGTACATGTCGAGAAGGGCTTTATCTTAGAATCATTGAACACAGTATCACGCCTATAATTCAGGGATGGGTTAAGAAAAATTGCTAGGTACTTAAAAATATATTATCTGACTTAGTTTTTATAAGATCGGCAAATCAAGATATGGAACACCTAGGTGGTTAGCAATAGGCGCCGCTCATAAAAACACTCAACACTAGAGGATTCCGTGCAAATGTATTGCTCTGTTGGTGGCTAGGGGATTTGGAGGTTTTTTTTTTGTGAGGGGAAATTCATCACATGACTTCTCCCGCCCAGGACCGAGCGGGAGGGAATGTTAGACTTTTACTGACTAAAAACCCCCCTGTTCCTTCTCCTGCCGCCTGCCTGCTCCGCCGAGGTCGCGGTGCCTCATTGCGCTTATCCCGCAACCCCGGCTGAACATCAGTCATAAAGGGCCCCATCTGAGGGGATTTGGAGGTTGGGAATGAGAGTAAGCCTCCGATAGCCTCACTATGGCGGAACACAATGCAAGCGTTGTTGCACGCTCGTTTTCTATCAGGCCGTAGTATTACTCCTATCGAGTCAGCCTATTTTGGATGTAGGTCTACCACAGTTAAATAACTAAATAACGTAAAATCATTTATTTACTCTTTCAAATTTCATACTGTCTCCTGTAATCGAGTCACATCTATAACAACATATGAGAATACTACCAACAAAATACTTTAACTAAATTTGTCTTTTTTAACTTACCGCAATACCCAAGTATAAACTATTTATACGAAGGAGATATTCAATGACTTCACAGCTGGCGCAGTGGCTGGGTAACTGGCTGCTGTGCAATATGTTGCAGGTTCGATTCCCGTACGTAACAGCACTTTGTGTGATCCACTAATTGTTGTTTCGGATTTAGGTGTGATTTGTATGTTTGTAAACGCATCCACAACACAGGAGATAATCCTAGTGTGCGGCAAGGTTTTAAAAAACGAAAAGTAAGGAAAAAAAATAATACTGATAATTGTTTGATTTTCACCATATTTCTTTCAGAAATCCGACACCAACCTCCACGGAACTTTTACCATTCATTTGGACACCAATTACAAAGACGTCACAACCTTACCTGGACATGGATTCAGAATTCACCATCAAGAACAGACCAGCTCATGACAGAATGGCATTCTGGGATCTTTTCTACAAACTATATGGAAAACAACAGAAATGGTACAAAGCGCAATAAGGAAACAACTAATAAAATTAACGTTTTAAAAATTAAGAAAAAAGATGAACCAATAACTTTAATGGCATTTTTTTGTATATTTTTTCATAGCAATAAGTTAGCTATACACAGATACACGTAAGGGCCTATCTAATATAGAAAAAATATTGTATTCTCAACTACTTAGCAACCCACAATGTTCAAATGACTTTCTCCCGCCCAGTGTAGGGCGAGAGAGAGCATCCGACTCGTAATAACTAAAACCCCCGTTCCTTCTTCGGCCGAGGCTGGGGCGTAAAGAGGAGGATAGCCAGAGCATGTGAGGGATCACATGCTCTGGCTCCTTCTTTGCGTGTATAACTTCGTACCATGGCCTCGACTAAGGCCGGGCGCGAGAGGTCGTCGCCACCGATCACTTCCTGAGAACACGGCGGTGCTCAGCCCAAGCAGGGCACACCGCCCCCGTATGCTCCACCGTGTACTAAGAGTGGTCCTTACAATGGTGACATTCAGGCGTTTCCTCCCATCGGATCCGAAACAGGAATCTACCGAAGTTGCCTTGCCCGGTAAGCTCTAGCGTCAGGCGGAAGGTGAGGATGCCGGAGCGTCTCTCAAGCCACTTCCCACAGAGGGTTCCTACCACTGCTACAACAGTGTGCCCACAAAAGGCTGGCAAATGCACTTTTAACTTCTATGGCGTCACGAGTGTCCGGTGTCCACGAGCGGGCCAAATTGCTTAAATGCCTAGGGTGACCTATCTATACGTTTGCTGAAATAACGTACGAAATAACACCTTTCTTTCTGCTCATATTGAACTCGTTGGCTAACGAAGGCTCGTTGCAATATAAAGTATAAAAAAGCAATTGGAATACAAAGTTGTTATTTATGAGGGTTTAACTTCCTCTCGGTCAGTAGTCGTGGTTGATGATGGATTTATTTTATTTTCTATTGATATGTGTTCTTTTTAAGATTATTTAAAAACCGTGAAGGAAATATCGTGGAACCCTATATTTATGATTTCAAATCGCTAATTCGCCTTGACCAAGAGTATAATATGATTAATGATCAAATTATCTCTGTGTGAGAAGAGGTTCCGCAATGAGCGCTTATACGCTGATGATGATGATGATAATGATGATGATGATGATGATGATGATGATGATGATGATGATGATGACGGATGTAAATCCAACAAATACGACACAGAAAAATGGGCAAAAGAACCAATGTTTGAATGTGACGTAATGTTAAGTTAAATGTACGTAATACTCGTATAGATAATAAGTGCGGGAGAGCCATGCTTTGGCACGAATAGATTGGACGGAGCGGCCAAATCTCTGCTTCGCATCATTAAATATTTTACAGAGGTAGACTAAACGAAGAGGTGTTAATCTACCAGTCATATCCGTAAGTGAATTACGTAAACGCAATTTTAACGACTACAACAAAGTCATTTAAAATAATTTTATAAGATTGTCATGCAATCCCATCAAGTCAGACTTTTAGCGCACATTAAGGTTCGTAATATCGGAGTTCTGACATAAGGCTTTCAGACACTTGACAACAAGGCAGACAATAGTTGCCCAATCGATTGACATACAAATTGTATTCAGTGTTGTAGTGCGACCTTGTAAACTTACAAAAAATATACACAACACTAATCACATGTGAGTCACACGGTAGATTATGGGTCTGTTGAGTTCCGTATCAATAAAAAATAAAATTTTCATTTACCTATAAATATGATCGTAAAATATCACAAATTTATCTTTTTCTACGAATTAATATAGAAATTCCAAGAAGGCAATTTTATCCTCAAAGCTTGCATGCTACTATTCTTATTGTGCTTTGTTATTAAATTAAGGCAATTGTGGTAAAATAGGAACAATCAATGATTTCCGATGATAGCTCTCAGATATACTTAATTAAAAACTTACATTACCTCATCAAACGGAACTCTAACAATCAAAAATTAAGCACTAGACTCGCGCAAAAAATCACAAACACGAAGTAATATTACGCTGTCTTTGTCTAACCTATCAATAGAAACAGAGATAGCTATATCAAGATAAAGATAACCTCTATTTTATACACATGCCGACAAAATATTTACTAGTAGCGCATAAACGGCTGTCTCTGACAACATATAACTTAAAGTCGGTTTCAAAGTCCCGGATAAGTGTCTGATTAACTTACGGCTAACATAAAATTACTAATATAGGTACAATATATAATTTATAATTTTATTGGTGAATACGAACTGTGTGACTAAACACTGCACTGATTATTTCATATCTTCTATCGTACTACTTCTCCTGTTTTAAAATACTGAGCAATTCATTTAAATAGTGTGAAATTTTACAAATTAAAACATGTGGCTTATAGTAATGTTGTTAACACTATGTGGTGTAGTCCAAGGGGTCTCTAAGGTTCCATTAGTGTCAACAAAAATTGGTCAGATACAAGGATTGCAGTTTGGGGACGGACACAACAAGTTTCTGGGAGTACCTTACGCAGTCGTGAACAAAAATAATCCATTTGGGGTAAGTATGACTTAAAAGTACCAATAAGTCTATTTCAACCTTGCACTGGGAACGCATTTCCGTATTTCTGACTTACATAAAGTATATCATTGCGCAATATTTATTAACTTTTTATTGCACAATGCAATTAAATAAAGGCGCCGGTTAGGCCAGATATGGAATACCAACTGGGGCACCCCATTTATACCTTCTTCCTCTAAGCCACATCCAGCGACAAACGATTCGGTTCGTCTACTGCCGGATTGTTTCAAACCTTGCTATATTTTCTATCGCTTATAAGTACTCCGAGTAATCGGTTGGTTTGATATCTGTAGCAATTTTTCCTGAAACGGCTGTTTCATTCCTGCAGTACTCTATTTAAAAAAAAAGCCGGCAGCGTATTTGTGATTCCTTTTGTTTTCCTTAACGGGCGTCCGTTGGTGACGCTGATCACTTAAGATCCGATGAACAGTTCATTTGCCTTCTATTCCATAAAAAAATGTCATGCCTATCGCTATAATAGTATAAAATTCCTATCCAAACCCGAATCTTTAAACTCTAAGTCTAAACCAAACATCAAAGCGTAATTTATGCAGATAAATATCATTGTGATCCTTGATACACAACATTCTTATTTACAGCCATCAACGCCGCATCCTGGTTTCAATGAAACCTTTCAAGCCTACGAGTCAAAAATGTGTCCCCAAATACAAGATAATGTCGCAGTTGGAACACTTGACAGCCTCATCTTGAACATCTACGTGCCAAAATCAGCTAGCTCTCAAAATCTTTTACCAGTCATGGTATGGATACACGGAGGAGGCTTTATTGATGGTAGCGCTGACGATAAAGGCAAGAGTTCTCCAGAAGAATTCATGAAACATGACGTCATAGTTGTAGGAGTCAACTACAGACTTGGTGTGTACGGCTTCTTGTGTCTGGACATCCCTGAAGTACCAGGAAACCAAGGCCTAAAGGACCAAGTGCTTGCGTTCAGATGGATCAGGGATAACATAGAAGCCTTTGGTGGAAATCCTAATAATGTGACCGCGTTTGGTTGCAGTGCTGGTGGCATTTCCGTCAATCTACATCTTCTTTCACCATATGAGAAATTATTTGAAAAAGCGATAATTCAAAGTGGTACTGTTTATGCAAGATTTTGGTTAAGTGAAGAAGATTATAGTGTGCCCATTAAAATAGCTAAAGAATTAGGCTTTAATACAACTGATAAACTTGAAGCTGTGAAATATCTTTCAACTGTTGATCCTCTTGTAGTTATGAAAGCAGTTAAAGATTTGAACAACGCTGGAGCTAATATTAATTCAAAAACAGTGCCATGTGTTGAAAAAGAGTTTGAAGGAATTAAAAACTTTGTAACAAAACGCGTAAAAAATATTGTATCATCAACCAAAGTAGAAACGACTCCTATTTTACTAGGTGACAATAGCAACGAAGCTGCAGTTGTCGTGCATTCAGTTAATGATGAATTTTATAAATCATTCGATTTCGGAACGCATTTACCATTAGGATTTCATTTTGATGAAGCTGTTGCTGAAGATGCTAAGAATAGCGTAAAGGATTTCTATGCAAAAGATGGCAATTTGGATAAGGTTAAAGAAGGTGTATTAAAATTCATGTCAGATTTTTATTTTTCACATCCAACGCAAAGAACTCAGGACTTGTTGTTGGATATTGGAGCTAGCCCATTGTATCGATATATTTTCTCATATAGCGGCGGAAGGAATATGGTCAAAGTGACACAACATTTTAATGCAACGGGAGCTACGCATGGCGATGATCTTGGATACTTATTTTATTATGAAGAATTTGGAAAAACGAATGCTCAAGATCAAATCATGGTTGATAGAATGACCACATTGTGGAGCAATTTCGCAAAGTATGGGTAAGTTTAAAAAATATGTTATATTATTAATTAATATACATGTCTTGTTTCATATACCTATAACATCAGTCTGTCTGTCAGTGTAATCGATCCATCTATAACACAATGTAATTAAGCTTTTTTTATCAAATGGGTGGACAACTCCCGGAACTAAATACTTTTCAACCCCCATATTACAAATCAAGATTTATCTTTAGTATAGTTTTAAACATTTGAGTCAGGATTTGAATTTTGAATTTTATTCTCACCTACCTTCAATTCGAAATACAAAAACTGGCTCAATGGTTTAGACTACACTTTAGACCTACACTAAAGAAAAACCTTATTTTGTAAAAAGGCCATTTAAGGAATTTTTTATGGATTTAGTGTTCAATAGAGTACTCTTGTTGGTATTAAAACACCCGTTTCAGCTGGACTATTTATTTTTTCAAGTGTTTAACTTACGTCGGGTTACACACACTAATGTCAAGACTATCTCAAGTTAGTGGAAAATCAGTTTAGGCAAAGTTTAGCAAAAATTCCCTTTTTAAAAGGCAGAAGAGCATATAGAAACCCATTTATCAGTTATGTTATGAATCCTTTTTAATGTAATCCCATGTACTAAGGGTGACAAAAATGCATGGAGAGCTTAAGGTCGACTATTGACTGACAGGTTTTGCATAACGCTACCATTGACAACTAGATGGCGCTGCTTTTAAATGAAAATAACCCTGCAAAGCTTGAATACTTTACACTGCAGAAACACACAATAAGGTTTTTAATGGTTAAAATAATAATTAAGAAACAAAAATATATATATATTCAAATACACATAAATTATGTTAATTTTCTCATTACCGAGGACTTAATATACATCATACGCCATCTAAGTCAAGTAATGCAAACCAATAAAAAGATGGCGTCAATAATTAATAATAGACAATAATAAAAGTTATAAACTAACCCGCATTTTCGACATCATAAAAAATGCGATCGGTAGCTCGGATGAATAAGAATGATAGAATAATGAAGTCGAAGGGCACCGGTTCAATTCCGGGTTATCAATTTTATATTCAGGTTTTTTAACAATGGTTTTTTTATATTTTTTATATAAAATCAATAATAATAATATATAAATAAAATATTTGACGTTTAATATTTATAAAAGATAACAAAAATATATATATATATATTATTTTAGAATAAAATTATATTAATAACTTTTAAAATATGTGCTAACTATTAATGTAAAAGTAACATATTTTTCTTACAGATTAAGACTTATACTTACTAAGTTTAATTCTCATAAAGGATAACAAATAAAACTGTTTCAGTGACATTATAATTTCAGACATTTATTTCTTAAAACATAATATTTATTTCTTTCTTATATAGTGTATACCCTGACCTAATAACTTTTCAGCTAACTGACACATTACTTAATACACTTTTTATAAGATTAATAAGTATTTTAAATCAAAATTGTGTTGTGCTACTCATTTATTATTTAGTTTTAAACACAATGTTATAATACGATTCTATAAAATATCCAACCTTACTTCTGCAACTATTTTACCTCCCCATAAAATTTTAAATTTAGATTTAATTAAAGTATTGACTAAAGTGATTCATTTTGTGCATCATGTTATGACAAAGGCCCATAGCTTAAGTATTCGTTCCAGAACAAGGAAGAAATTGAAGCTAGACCTTAAATCAATAACATTTCTAAGACCGGGATATATATAGCATTCATTAGATATGGGACGAATTGTTTATAGTAATAATAAATAAATAATTTATTATTTTGCAATCAATAGCATCTGTAGATATTAATATTGCTTTTATTTTTATTTCTCATATTTAGTAAAACATTAAAATCATTACTGTAAATAACAGTTGCTGGTTATAAAGTAGTCAATAAATTTATCCTACTAACACTAAGCTTGAACATTTATCCATTAAATAAATTATAGCTACCCCGGTCTTGTAATTGCATAATCCTATAGTCAACAATATCTTTTCTTCTAAGAACTAGTGTAGCCGCCATTTTTATCGATCCTATTTCTCCTATCTTGCTGGATAAGGAATAATCCGTATGTCTGATTGCTGACTAAACACTTGCACAATTATGGAACATTACACATAGGACAATTGTCCTGCACGAACGTTATCACTAGCACATCTTCATGACGTCTTTCAGCACATCTATGTAGATTTCACTGTTTGCATCACTGAAGATGACAATGCTCCAGTAATTTTCCTCATAACCTTGCCCCATAAGTTGAAGCTGGTCTGAGTCAATATCACGTCTTCTGCCAGATCCACTTCGGTGCTCCAATGAACCCTCTTCTTGAAACAGCTTTAGATATCCATAAAGTGGCAGTCTTTACCTGTAAGGGACGTGTGTATTTATTATTTTCATGTATCGATAACCATGGATAATAAAATAAATAACGAACGGTCATTTTAAAAGAATACTTACGTTTAAGCCAGTTTGTCTCGAAATTTCAGTATAATTTGATTATGCAATGCTATTTTTTGGGCCTTCGTAGCCATATCAATATTTGAACGCAAACTCATAATAAAAATAAATATTAGAAACTTGTTAAACTAATCGTAACTGAACTCGCTCAAATATAGTAAAGAATGTTATGATTGAACAAAAAGGTTTAATTTTTATGCAGTTAATATTAAATTACCCTCAACTGTTTTGAGATTTATGATCGGGTTATAGTTGCTAAACAACTTCAATATAATAAGAGTAGGATAATTTCAATACATTTCAAGGTTACGCAATGGCCTAACGGCTAGTGGCTTCGGTAAATTTTATGCTACCGAGTTCGAACCCTGGTTATTGCGTGCTTTGCTTTAAAAAGGTTTGGAATATCGTAGGATTAATTTGTGTAAAAATTTATTAAGTTAATAACTTTGATTCTGATAAAAACTATAAATGTATATTTTTTTAATACCACTAGTATACTAGCGCCATCTATGTCATCCATGGTATATTATAAAGGCGATGAAACGCCGTACAAACGATTTTGATTTGGAATCCTCCATGCACTTATGACACTGATAGTACAATCACAAAGTCGAGTGCGAAGCAAACACATCTACATATTATCTAGACTTTAAAACCTCTAGATTACATTGTCATATATTTTTTGTCGTCTATAAATATTATAGCTATAATTACTCATTTGAAATCCAATAATGTAAGTCTAGCACGTCGATTCTATAAAATTTGTTTGATTTAGAATCTTGTTTGAGTGTGAAGTGAGTGACAAAGTGACGGGGAAATTACATTATAGAATGCCACTTTTAACGTCATCTCATACTTTATCTATCAAAATGTTGCGGTCCATTTAGTTCAACTCGCAAGTGTAGCGCGGCGGATTCAGATTCGAAGTTTAGAATGAAGTCTTACAGGATCACACTGCACTGCTGATCATATTTTATAGACGAATTTATCTCAATCACTAAGTAATTGGTGATTAGTATTTTCCATTAGCATCCAGATCTGGAATTAGGTACAGAAATTAGGTTTAAAGCCTATTATAAAGAAATACATGTATTTTACAAACTTTTTTTTAACTTTACAGGGATCCAACCCCTAACAAAACGGACTTGCTTCCAATCAAATGGGAACCTACAACTCAAGCTAGCCCTAAATATTTAAATATTGATTTAGATCTAAGCTTAGGAGCTACGCCTTTTCCTGACAGAATGGAGTTCTGGAATAAATTCTACAATCTTTATGAAGAATACCAAATATGAATATAAGTAAACGTCACAAATATAGAATCTGCGCTACACAACATAAAAAAGCCATCTTCAACAAAAACATTTTAGGTATGGCACCTAAAATCTTTAATAAGTTACCTAAAGACATAGTTGAAATTGATAATATTAATATATTTAAAAAACGTCTACATGAATTCTTGGCAACTAAGTGCTATTATAAAATTAATGACTATTTAGATGAAAGATGCTAGGCCTACTATATCCGATTTGCTTGTATATGTGATTGGTTTCTCAAAAATGCAACCAACACTGACTATATTGAGTGATTTTATTCAAAATAACTATGGATTTACCTATGACATTCTTTATTTTTATTCTATTTTCATCCTTGAATTTGACCATTTAATTTTTGATATATACTAACATTAGATATTGTTTGTAATTTTGTGCTTATCATGACATTCCATATTATTATTATATTATTTAACCAAATCTTTGACATTCTGCATTAGGGATTAAAGCTCATGATGTGACTGATGGTGATGGTTCAGTGGTTAAACTTCCATTATGAAACGTTTGTACCTGTGTAGATACTTAAATGACTGAATGTATTCTTATTACCTCAATTTATATACTTAATTCTACTTATAAATTTGTATGCTTCAAGGCAAAACATAGACGGTCTCGCTGTATTGCACTGTATGTCAATCATTCAAACAACTTTATATAACCTATGTTTACGAATAAACGATTTCATTTCATTTCATTTCATTTGATTTGGAATTGTAGAGTTGGATCTGAAAAATGAAACGCATCATGGACAAAAGTTTAGATAAAAATATGAGATTGTATTTCATAAATAATTGTTAGCTTTCTTTAATAACTGGTCGGTATAAATTAAAATAAATTATTTTGGTAAGACGTTTATTTTATTTCTTTCGTCCAACAGAGCGGTTCGATTCTTTCTTTGAATTTTTAAGCAGTTTTACAATAGTTTTTATACATCGACGCATTTTAAACTCTTTCTGTCAAACCCTAGTTCTGTCAAACAATTTCAAAATACCGCTCAGAGATTTCCTTGGTCTCTCTTCTCTATCTTGTTCGTCTGCCACAGTAATTCCTGCTATAAGACACACACAAAGTTCATACCATAAAAAGTTCTTCTTCTAAATTGTTTGTCTCTTGACAGGTAGGTTGTAGTTACGTAGTTTTCACGACGTTATTCTTCTTGGACTGCAGTCTTTTTAGTACAATTTTTGCCGGCCTTTTAGGGGGATAAGGGTTTCGGATATTTTAAGGATTGGGAAGGGATGGGGAGGGTATAGGGATTAGGCGTACAGTAAACTCTCTCACACGGCGAAAGACAACGCTGAGTCGATGGATGATGGATGCTAAACTCATGGGTGGAGTTTGAAGCCGCATTGTTTGATCAACAAGTATTTTATAATTGTGAAAATAATAGTATAAGTTGTAATTACCTTGCATTATATAAATACCTAAAAGTTAAGTATTGAAATTACTGTGGCTTATTATAAACAATATTTTGTAGAAAGTTATCAATAAAATTTATCAATAAATTTAAATTTATTATCAGTTCATCACACCAAAAACCTACTGCTTACTTGAAAAAGAGCCCTAAGATAACTTACCTCTGTAGTGTTTAAAGATTTCAGTGAAATGAAAAACTTTCTATAAATATCTAAAAAGCCATCAGGTTCACTGAAAAAGCACAAAGCTTCTCCCACTAATGGAAACGAAATTGCGAACAAACTGTTTGCTGAAACTTCACCTGAAAACGGCCTTTTTCAGTTATAAATAAAGATGAAACGATCTAGTTTGTTTTTGTGAAAGTATCTTTGAATTCCTTTTTGATTTTTTTTCTGTAAAAGGTACGGGGTAAGATTATAAAGTCAATTGAAATATTGAATACGCTATGTTCCTTATGTATAATTTTTAATTAAATATTTTTTATAAGATTTCGGCTTCTTTCACTCGAAGAGTATTTTGATATTTTTTATGTGATCCGCAAACGAGCGAACGGATTACCTGATGGTAAGCAATCAGCGCTGCCCATGGACACCCGCAACGACTGAGGATTAACGAGTGCGTTAGCGACCTTTTGGGGATTAGGGATTCGGAGATTTTGGGGATTAGGAGGGATTGGGGGAGCAGAAGGCGAAACACAACAATGTGGTTGCTTCACGCCGGTTTTCTGTGATGCCGTTTTGGTTGAACCGACCCATTCGTACCGGAGCATGGCACTCTCACACTTTTTGATACCTACATTAATTTATACAAGCTGTTTTGTTGCTCCAATTTTAAATGTTAGGTACATTATGTTGTTTACTTACATTTGGTGCATCGTGAGCCGCTTATTGCCATATGAATGACTTTTCTTTCTTTCTTTCATCATTATTATTACGAGTATATGTACGACTGAACTCCAACTTTGCAAAAAAACCACATACATGACATTTTGAAATAAAAAAATTAAATGACCCAGTTTTGAAAAGACAAAATTAAATACTTCACCGCTTAATATCGTTTAAGGGTGTTATTTTTTACTACCATTCTACCTCAGGGTAGACACCAGGTGTACTTCCATGGGATTATCTATAATCCCAACGAAATCAGACAGAAAGCCACGGGTAGGCAATTTATGCGTGTGATTTATGACGCTTACAACAACTTTACATTATTTTTTGAACAGCCTGTGTACAGGCTTAAGTCTTTAGGCCTGCTAATAAGAAAGTATAATTTATCTTTTTAACCAATTAAATATCCTAATTTAATCATTTATTTTATTTTATGATAACAATGATTTGATCCAGTTATAAATAAATACAACTACATTAATTTGCAAATTGTGATTAATGCTCAAACCCTTACCGTGTAAGAAAAGGCCTTTGTTCAGCAGTGGGCAACTTATAGGCAGATCATGTTGATGTTGTCTAGGGATTTGCTGGGTTAAATTCCTCTTTTGCTTTCCTTAGGGGTTCCTTTTCCTTGAGTTCTACCTCTGCTGGTTGATGGCTTAGGGGTTGAGTGAAACACGGCGTTCGGATACCCGACATATTTTGCAAAAACCCCCAAAGAGAACTGTCCACTCGGACCAGTGCGCAGTAACTGTCCATTCTTTGCTCTCATACGTTTTAGCTTACCTTGCACTTCTGCTCACACTGCTCATACATACTTACGTGAGTCCCCACTGCAAGTGTTTTTCAAACTGTCGTTACTGCACGGTAAAGCTACGTTTGATGACGTGAATACATTTCTGTGATTCGTTTGTGAGTTACCCTGGTTTTGCTCGATTGCACCCCTCGTTCATTTATCCCGCTGCCAATTTTATTTCGAACGTGAATAAATAGAATCAGTCAAATTGATCGAGCTGAAACAGCAGCGGCGTGCGTTCCATTGTGATTTTTATGGCGTGAAAATAAATTGAATGATATATTAATGAATTCTGATTGCATTGCATAGGTATATAAATATTAGGAGACAAAAAAACGTTGCTCCACACTAGGATTTTCTCCTCTGACTAATATTATATTTTAAGTTTATCTATATTAATATTATATAAAAGTAAGTTCGTATGAAGGGGGTAATCTTGAGAACAACTGGTCGGATTTCCAAATTCTTTCACCGTTAGAAAGCTACGATGTTCTTGTGTGCTGAAGGCTACAAATTATATTCGTAGGCTATACAAACCCGTTAGTTAGCAGTGAATATAAATCAGATCCTATTAAGCTGTGAATTTAGATCCACCTGATAAACGGACATTATACTTTTATTACTTTATTACGATTATAGTTCAATAACAGATTGATATTATTATGAATTGTTTTAAAAATTAAATAAAAATATTGAACAAAAGAAATTGCTATGCGTCACGCCCTGTAGTTTATAAAAAAGGTACTATTTTATCAAAGTGACCTACAGTTTGTGAACCAAGAATGACTCGCGAACCACGCCTCACGACCCGCCATCCGTCCCCATAAATATTCCTACTTGCTGAAAACATTGAAATTATATGTAGGTAGCTGTTTTTCTGTATTTTATGTTTTTTGAAAAGAACAAAGTCATCATCATCATGAACTTATAAGTGCCCATTGCTGAGCAAAGGCCTCTTCGCATACGGAGAAGGTTTGAGCATTAATCACCACTCTTGCTCAAGGCGGATTGGCGATTTCAAACAAATAATTAGAAATTCTAAGTAAAGGTTTCCTCAGGATTTTTGCGTTCACCGTATGTCTATTAAAACTAACAAAAGTCTAAAAATCGGACGGAAGATTCGGAAAGGAGAAGGATCAGTGTCGTTATTAGTCAGTCATTCACTATGGCCTAAGGGCGAGAAAGCCAGTTGATGACCTCCCCCAATCGAAAAAAGGCCTCCGCCTGGCGAAGGAGTGCGTAAAGAATTGAACTTAAAACGCTTTCCTTAAAACTATTTACTAGATACTTCATAAGTCTCTTCTCCAATTAAAACTATTTAAAATGCACACAACACGATGAAATACAAATACTTTTTACTTGAAAAACAAAACTAAACTACAGATGTTCGCTGGAATTTCCGCGTTAATTTATGAGTTGAAGTAGCCACTCCAAACTGCTGCAGCGAAACGACATGAAATGCTGTGGAGAGCCACGAGCCACGCTTTTACAATTATCGAACAATCCAGAATTAAGTTTAGATACCTGTTTTTATTTTATAAAAGTTTTTACATCGTGAATATTCACAGATGTTTTCGACTTTATCCTGAATTAGGATACATACTACACGTGCCGTAGGTACGGTCACAAGCATATAGATTAAAACACAAATTGAACAGACTCGAAAAAACAATTTAGGGATCACAGAAAGTGTTGTTGATATTGAACAGCAGCCAGTTGCCCAGCTCTTTCGTCAATGTTGGAAAAAATATGGCGTTAGTTGCAAATTTTAGTAACCTGAGATAAGACTCGAATACTAGCATCCTCAACTAGCATCACTGAGTAAAACCTCAAGCGAACGCCGACATTTGCTCATCTTTTGTCATAATATTGTGTCTCGAATCACCACGATTGAAAAGTTATCAGCTTTTAAATTAGAAGACTTGAAACTTTTTACTATCTAACAAAAAAAAAAAAAAAACATTATCAATTTAAAAAAACATAGGTTTTCCTGCATGTCTTGGGTACATATATATCACAACCAAACTCGAAGCAAAATATTGTGGATCACATTCAGCGTTGCATAGCTGCCGGTTCCCCAGCTACGATGCCAACCAAGGAGACTTTTGAACTAATGATGCTACATTAAAAAAAAAGATATTATTGAAAAACCTTAGTTTTTACTCATTAGCCACTAACAGCTGTTCTTCCATTTAACTTGCAGATGCAGAAAATAAAATTAAAAATAGGTAAGTTTAGTTTCATTTTGCGCTTGGACGCTGAAATTTTCAGAGACTTACTAAGAAGTTTTACTTCAGTGTTCTTTAATTTTTGTAAATTAGTTCTATGATTTATTGTTTGTTTACAAGGCTTATTATGAGTTACTACAAAATAACCTGATTGTACTGCAGAGACCGAATGCAAAGCATACGATTCGACTTAACATATAATTTAGGGATTACGACATACTGGCGTACGCAGACTTATTTAATGGTAACGACATCAATTGTTTTCGGTCCGAGGTAATCGGTTCGGTAAGCGTAATAATGTACGATCTGGAGCAGGAATGAGATTTTAGTCAGTTAAAACCTGGCACTTCGTCCCTCCTCGACCAAGCTGAGAAAAGCCAGATTTTCCCTTTTAAAAAAACTTCACAGAAAACCAATATGAACGAATGCTGTAGTGTGTTTCTCTGGATGAGTAAGTTTACCAGACTGAATCCTCCAGCATACCCAAAAAATTCAGGTCAGCAAAACCTATGTAACTCCAAAGGTACGGTATGGCCAATTGCTTAACTTTCAGATACCTCTCTTCGATTGCCGACACTATGAAAAAGGAAGGAACCCAAGTTGCAACTGTAATACCGGTCCTAATTTTAGTATTTACCCAAATCTAAAACTGGTCTAACAATTAGTAGGTTCACATGAACATAATAATACTATCCTTATTTCCTTGGTTTGCATGAAATCGATTACAGTGCAACAATAGACGCTGAATGCGGATAATTCCGCAGGCGAATGTAAACGCATAATATATCAGATTGCTGGCCGGGAATCGATAAATAGATAGGTAACAGGGACGGATTCGGGATACTGAGTTATAGAAATACTCCTGACTTGAAGTGAAATTGCCAATTACAAATGGTAGCTCGAAGTTCGCTAGAAGGACTGACGGCTGATTGGTCCAAAAAGTGTTTGATGACCACGAACCGGAGGACGTAGCGGGGTAAACATGTTAGGTGAGTCAGAAATGCGAATAGCCAATGGATGCGAGAGATGACTTTTCGGTCGGCTTGGAGAACTAAAGGAGAGGCCTTCGTCCAGCACTGGACGTCTTCCGGCTCATGATGATGATGATGACAAATGGAAGACTGATAATCAGTAATTCTTATAGTAGAACCATTCTTAGAGTAGAACCATTTGTACTACGAATGTATAACTTAGAAACTACTTAGACGCAACTTAAAAAATATCCCTAAGTACTTTTCAAGCTTATTTACAAGTCAATGACTCTAGCTTTTTAAGATTTAGTCCCCGCAGACAAACGGTGACAGAAAAAGATCGGGAGAAACCTGGACTTATGACTTCTAATCAATCTCCAACTCGCCTAGGGCAAGCGTGGTGATTAATGCTCAAATCTTTTCCGTGTGAGAAGAGGCCTTTGCTCAATAGTGGGCTCTTATTGATGTGACATACGGAATAGGTAAATGTTGTGAAGAAACTTCGATTTCAAATAGTAAATTTGAAATCCCACCTTTAGATATTGTTGTGACTATGTTAATTCTATCTACGAGATACGAGATCTGTGCCTAACACAGATGAGAAAAACAACTATAATCACGTCTTCATATAAACACTTACTAAAATTCCAAGTTCGTCTCTGGGTGCTAGTGGAAAACGTTCAGGGCAGATGGCGAGGGCCGCTAGTGGCATCATTTCCGGTGTCGGGAGCTAACAAAAGTAACATGGTAACTTACTGCCATAATTTCCGAATATTTTTTGCTTACGCTGACCTACTTTACTTACATCAACTCTTTTTAATTAGAAACTAGCACAGGAAACTAGCGACTCGCCCCGGCTTCGCACAGGTTCAATGCCAATATAATATTTTCTCATAATTTAATACTTGTTATTATATCTACTTACATATAAATCTTCCGCTTCAATCACTCTGTGTACTAAAAAAACAGCAAAATCCGTTGCGCAGGTTTGAAGATTTAATTATAAGTAGGGATTGGGACAGAGAATGCGACTTAGCTTCATATTAAGCAGTGATGGTGCAGTTAGCTGTATTAGAAGGAAATTATTTGATTATTGACTGCACGGTTGGCGCGGTGGCTGGGCAACTGGCTGCCGCGCAACGTGTTGTGGATTCGATTCCCGCACGGAACAACTCTTTGTGTGATCCACAGATTGTTGTTCCGGGTCTGGGTGTGATGTGCATGTGAAATTGTATGTTTGTAAACGCACCCACGACACAGGAGAAAATCCTAGTTTAAATTTTAAAATAAAAAAAGTAAAAAAAAATTATCATCATGTTCTTCAAAAGTGACTACTGGTAAAATAGCCTTTCAGCTTAAACATACGGGTATTACATGCAGTCCAGATTTAGACTACATAAACATGATATTTATTCTATAGAAAAAGTACAAAATACATTCAAATAAAAAAAAAATCTAGTGCGTGATGACTGAGCTTTTACACCAAATTCTTTGACCACCCAAAAACAACTCAAGGAATTAGTTGAGAATAATATTAGCGGCACTGTAAGTTACCATGTACCGTTCTAGAGGCCGCTGCGCCAAGATTTACGAGTACGCACGCTAGTACCACTTACGGCTCTTGTACAAACTCTTTAAATGTTGCGACGAAAGTTGTTCCTGAGGTCTGTGTTTTTGTGACGAATTATTTTTTGATACCAAAATGAATAAGCTGGGTACATTTTACAATAGAAGCCTTAATAATAAAAAGTAAAAAACTTAAACTTTACTACGACAAAAACGACCCTGAAAAAGTATAGAACAAGATTTTCAGAATACTGAAAGGCGTAGTCAGACATTGTCAAAGTGTTACGGTACGTACGTGTGACTCTCCTGTATCTCCCTTGCTTTATCATAGTCGGATAAAGAACGACGATTTTGGATAGAGTCTCTAAATGTATCAATATCATAAACTAATGTAGTGAAAATTTTGGGCGATCCATGCTTTGGCATGAATGTGCTCGCTCGACCGGAGTGTTATCACCTCACAGAACACCGATGTAAAACAATACATGCGTTGTGTTTTGATGAGTGAGTGAGGTTACCGAAAGCCTGCTGCCCCTTTTGTCCCCACTATTATTAATATCTAATACTTAAACACGAATCTCTCATACTCTACCAACAAAAGACTAGCAAAGTATTTGTATCTTTTTTAGTGTTGCTGTTTGAAATTTCAAATTCACCTTCAGTAAGCGTCTCTTCCACCAGAGAAAAGGCCTTGCTCAGCAGTGGGCACTTAAAGGTGGATGATAAAGAGTCTGATACTCCCTCTCGTCTCACCGGAGAAGAAAATAAAATGTTTGGTAACCATAAAATGTGATTAGTCGGCAAACGAACAAACTGATTACCTGTTTGTAAAAAATCAACGCCGCCCATGGACACCCATTTGGGGATTTAGGGATTGGAGGAGGGAAAGGATTGGGCGTCCGGTAACCTTACTCATATGGCGAAACACGACGTTTTGTTACAGATCGGGTTTCTGTGGGGCCGCGTTATTACTCCGTTCGAGCCGACCCAGTCATACCGAAGCATGGCCCTCCCACGCTTACAATGATTTAATGTCAGGTTATTTTATTTATGACCATCATCATCCGAAGAGCTACCATCGGAGTGATATCACGGCTCCACGGAAATCAGAGGTACGTTTGTATGATTGCGTTAAGTTTCGCATTCCATTTGCCGCCCTATCTCGTAAAAACCCTTAATCTGTGACAGTAAATATTATGTTAGTAAAATAAAAGAAAACATAATTTATGTGTTTATCGTGGAATATGGTGATCAAGCATATTCCACGATAAACACAAATTAATATTATTTGAATGTACAGTTATTTAAGCAGAAATTAAAGTTTTATTGCTCTCAAATTCTACAACCAATTTTAAATATCTTTCAGGTTCCTCATTATCCAGAAACATTACATTTTTGTTGGTTTCTGTATAGTTTATAGAAAAGGTCCCAAAACGCCATCCTGTCGTGGAACGGTCTGGATGCAAGAGTAAGGTCTGAATCCAAGTTCAGGTAAGGCTGGTTGGTCTTCGTGATGGGCTGCCATTTTACTGGTAGTAGCTCCGACGTTGCCGGTGTTGGATCCCTGAGGATTAAAGAAGAAGTGGTAAAGATTACAAGCGTGTTCTTTAAGAAAATCAACTCAAAGTCATAAAAGGGGCTGGCGTATTTGGTATCATATTATATTATAAGGGGATATTCCATAGCTATAGAAGATGAATATTTTCAAAATATTTCATTAATTAAAAAAAATATATAAAAAAGACAACAACAAACTTTGTCAAACATAAAAATAATGGCATCTTTGTGTTTAAAATAATGGAATGCCATTATTTTAAACACAAAGATTTTAAACTGCCGATTAGTTTCTAAGTGAATTTAGCTTTCGAGCACTGAGTCGAAGATTTTAAATAGAATCTTAAAAGGTTGAAACTATAACATAAAAAGCTCTAAACAACAATAAGTAAGATTACACATAATGTGCACATACGAGTGAAGAGAGATAACGATAAAAAAGCGATAAGGACCATTTGTGCATTTTACGAATGAAAGATTTTATTTTTAAATTTTTTTCTTTGTTTTATGATAAGCCTCTTACACAAAAAATATGCATTATATCCACTAAAACATTATTCACTTACCCATATTTGGCAAAGTTAGTCCAAAGCGTTGTTATCCTGTCAATCATAAGCTGATCTTCAGCTGTTATTTGTTCTCCAAACCATTCAACATTATCAAACAAATATCCAATTTCATCACCATGGACAGCTCCGGTAGCATTCAAGTTATATAAAATTTTTAAAAAGTTTCTATCACCACTGTATGAGAAAACGTATCGGTAAACTGTTTTAGCACCAATGCCCAAAAGCCTTTCAGCCATTCTTTGCGTTGGATGATTAAATACGAAATCTGACGCAAAATCTGTTATTTTATCGGCTACATTCTCATTGGGTTGCTCATCTCCAATATAAAAGTGTCTTACATCATTTACAGCATCATCCCAATCGTCCCCCAAATCAAAAGCTTTGGATAGTAAATCAAAATCATAGTTTGCGAAAAAATCTGCATCAGCATTTCCATATTGGAAAGGTAGTTCGTTGCTTGTGTGCCCAATAATCACAGGAGTATTGCGGACCTTAGGAGAGTTTATATTCATTGGATGATCAGTTATAAAAGATTTTACGCCCTCGATTTCCTTCTCTATGCAAGGCAAAGTGCCAGGATTATCAGTTCCAGTAGAGCTTGTTATTTGCAAATCATGAGCTTTTTTAACCAATGTATGAACATCTATCGATGCAAGGTATTGTAGAGCTTCAAGTGTATCGTCGGTTTCAAAATCTAAAGAATTTGCTAATTTGATTGGTACTGTATTATTTGGTTCCACCATTAACCACGGACTTGAAGCGGGCCCACTTTGGATTATAGCTTTTTGAAACAAATTCTCATACGAGGATAACAAATGAAGGTTCACAGACATTCCACCAGCACTTTCACCAAATACAGTAACTTGTGAAGCGTCACCTCCAAATGCTTCAATGTTTTCGTTGACCCATCTCAAGGCCAGCACTTGGTCCTTAAGACCTTGATTACCAGAGACTTCTGGAAGATCTAGGCACATGAAGCCGTAAGCACCTAGTCTGTAATTAATTACCACTACAATGACGTCATTCTTCAATAAAAAGCTAGGATTTCCTTCAGCTTGAGCGCTACCAGTTACAAAGGCACCTCCATGGATCCATACCATTACTGGGAAGCGGTTTTGAGTAGTAGCAGCACTTGGTACGTAGATATTCAGGGTGAGGCAATCAATGGTACCAATAGCTAGATTATTAGATACTTGAGGACATGCATTTGACTCGTATGCTTCGAAAATATCATTAAAACCTGGGTGCGGCAGTGATGGCTGTAATTTAAAACATTTAATTCGATTTTTTTTATAGATTTAAATTCAATTCAGGTTATTATTAAGAAGTTATGCAAAAACTTACCCCAAAAGGATTAGTTTTATCCACGACTGCATAAGGGACTCCCAAAAACTCAGCATAACCCTGCTCAGAGCGAATACCTCGGATAAGACCCTTGTTTGTAGCCACGAGCGGATCTACTCGGTATAATCCTTGGATGAGATCACATAATGATATTAACAACACCACCGACCACATGTCTAGGACTCGCGACATGGTTGCAACAACTGAGATGATTTATCGCATCGATAACTTGAAGAGTTTAAGATAAATAACATCTTTTTGGTATCGATATTTGAAATCTTATGATAAATAGTCAACTAACAACTAACAATGAGTATCAAGGGTTTACTTTTGGCCTCGTTGATAGTCGGCTTTTACTATTTTTAGGGTAATACCACTGACATTTCTCTGCAGGGTCACTATATACCGCAGCTCCTGTATCGTGTAGGATTTCGATTGTGGTGGTTTTTGTATCGTTTTATTTTTATGTAATAGATCGGTAAACGAGCAGACGGATTACCTGATGGTAAGCAATCTGCGCCGCCCATGGATACCCGCAACGGATGACTTACACGTGAGTTGCCGACCTTTTCGGGATTTGGAGATTTAGGGATTGAGGAGGGATTGGGGGAAGGGAAGGATTGGGCTTCCGGTAACCTCAATCACACGGCAAAACTCAACGCAGTGGTTGTTTCACGCCGGTTTTCTGTGAGGCCGTGGTATCACTCCGGTCGAGCCGACCCATACGTGCCGAAGCATGGCTCCCCCACACTTTGTTTCGTTCTGACACATTCTTGTCATTCGTCCTTTGTTTTTATTAGTTGTTGGTCAAAAAGTACCTATTTTTTATGTATGATTAAAGAAAGAAAATTACCATTTATATTTAACAGATTTTACGCTTCAAGGTAAATGATGTTAAAATAATGCAATCGGTAAATAACTAATCTTTTATTTCAGTCAAACCCAAAAGGGCATAATGATAATTTTTCAAAGACATTTTTTTTCTATTGTTTAGAAACTTCATATTTATGGTGATTTCTGTACAGTTTATAGAAGAGATCCCAGAACGCCATCCTGTCGTGTAAAGGCCTGGATTCAAATGTGAGGTTTGCGTCGATGTTCAAGTAAGGCTGGCTTGTCTTCGTAATAGGCTCCCATTTTATTGGAAGTAGCTCCGACGTGGTAGGTGTTGGATCTCTGAAGAAGATAAAAGATGTTGTTTTTATCGAAAATGCAAGGTAGCACTATTCAGTGGTCTGATAACAAGAATCCAAAAAGATTGGAGAGACATTATCTTAAGTAAATAAAAACACCTTATCAGTAAATATGTCACAATTGATATTTGAAAGATGAAAGCCTAGTCATACTACGAGTATAATACGATTTAAAAATATTTGATAATAGTGAAGTCATTGTTTCCCGAAGATTCTAATTATTTTAGCACAGTAACAACTTATTTCCTAATTTAAACTTCCAGAAAGTAAAGGTATATTTTTGCCATATTTATGTCAAAATCGTCTTCATTAAAATATGAACCCATATTTTATATCTAAAACAAAAAAGAAAAACTTCTACCTACCCGTATTTGACGAAATTGATCCAAAGCGTCGTCAGCCTATCTATCATCAGCTGGTCTTCCGGAGCAACATCTTTGCTAAATATTTCAAGATCAAATAAGTATCCAAGTTCATCCGCATGTATGGCTCCTGTTGAATTCAAGTTGGATAGAACTTTAAGCAAATTCCTGCCACCACTGTACGAGAAAAGGTATCGGTAGACAGGCCTGGCGCCAATATCTAATAGTCTCTCAGCCATTCTTTGTGTCGGGTGATTAAATATGATGTCTGAAGCAAAATCAGTTATTTTATCTGCTACAATTTCACTAAGTGGCTCATCTCCGATGTAAAAGTGTTTCACGTCATTTACAGCACCTTCCCAATTGTCTTGTAAATCGAAAGCGTTAGAAATTAAACTAAAATCATAGTTTGAGAAAAATTCTGCTTTAGCAAGTCCATACAGGAAAGGTAGTTCGTTGTTTGTGTGCCCAATAATAACAGGAGTATTACGATTTTTGGAGGTATTTATATTCATTGGATAATCAGTCATAAATGGTTCGATGCCTTCAAACTCCTTCTCAATACAGGGCAGAGTGATGGGTATATTATTTTCTGTAAAGCTAGTTATTTCTAAATCATGAGCAAGTTTAGTTAATGTATGAACATCCACAGACGCAAGATAGTCCAGAGCTTCCAAAGTATCTTCAGTTTCAAAGTCTAAGGCTTCAGCCAATTTAATTGGTACTGTCTTGTCTGAGTTCATTATTAACCAAGCACTGGAAGCGGGCCCGCTCTGGATTATGGCTCTCTGAAACAAACTCTCACACGAAGATAGCAGATGAAGGTTCACTGACATTCCACCAGCACTTTCACCAAATATGGTTATTTGTCCAGCATCACCTCCGAAAGCTTCAATGTTCTCTTTGATCCACCTCAGAGCCAATGCTTGATCTTTAAGACCTTGATTGCCAGGAACTTCTGGAATGTCTAGGCACATGAAACCGTAAGCGCCAAGTCTATAATTAATTTTAACTACGATAACATCATGTTTCAATAAAAATCTAGGGCTTCCTTCATTTTCAGCACTCCCTATAACAAAAGCTCCTCCGTGTATCCATACCATTACTGGCAAACGGTTTTGGGAGGTAGCAGCACTTGGTACATAGATATTCATCGTGAGACAATCAATAGTACCAATAGCTACATCATTCGACATCTGAGGACACACATTTGTTTCGTATGCTTCGAAGATACCATCGAAGCCTGGATGTGGGATTGAAGGCTGCAAATAAAAGCAATCTTAAATATGGTTCATATGAGTAAAGTGAAATGAATGGAGAAAATTAACTAGATTAGGAATGGGAACAATTTATAATTGAATTGAATTGAATTGAATTTGAATTTGAATTGAATTTAGAAAAACATTGCCCCACACTAGGATTTTCTCCTGTGTCGTGGGTGCGTTTACAAACATACAATTTCACATGCACATCACACCCAGACCCGGAACAACAATCTGTGGATCACACAAAGAGTTGTTCCGTGCGGGAATCGAACCCGCGGCACGTTGCGCGGTAGCCAGTTGCCCAGCCACCGCGCCAACCGTGCAGTCAATTGTGGACTAGTTACACTATATAGAACACAAATAATTAATAAATATTGTTCCATTTTTATATTTCATTATGTACTTCAGATAAAAACGAATGACTTAAACTTTTTTATTGTTCATAATTTAGATAATAAATTTACATACCCCAAAAGGATTTTTCTTATCTACTACAGCATAAGGAATACCCATGAATTGGGCGTATCCCTCATCAGAGCGAAGACCTCGGATGAGGCCCTTGTTCGTTGAAACGAGGGGGTCCACTCGGTATAATCCTTCGACCAGACCACAAAATACCATAAACAGCACACACACAGACCACATGTTGTCCAAGCTTTGTGACATGGTTGCAGCGACTGTGATGATTTATTAAGAAAAAAGATTGGAGATAATGCAGTATCTTATTGACACCGATATCTGAAGGCTATTGATAAGCAGTGATCTAATGAAGCAATACCTAAAAATAAACCCAAGGTCCCAAGACCATCCATGGATATACTCTGTATAGATAGAAAAGATTTTTAATCCTCTTAAAATATGTTTGATTGAAAAATAATTTGGTAAATTGCTGTTTTGAAGACGTTTCAAGGACATTATAATTAATATAGTGCCAATTCATGAAAACTACAGCTTACATTTTATTCTAAAACATATTTTGTTTTTAATCTGATGGGTCGGCAAACGAGCATTTGTTACCCGCTGGTTTTCTGTGAGGTCGTGGTATCACTTTGGTCGAGCCATGCTTCGGCACGAAAGGGTCGCGGTCGGCTTATTCGTGCTTCGTGCGTGCATGGCTCTTCCACACTTATATTTTTAATTTCTAAGACACATTCATGTTATTTTCTTTAAATAATAAAGTAGCCAGACAACGCGATTCTCGCAGGGTTTATGTTTGTAGTGGCGAGTCGTGTGATACATACCTAATAAATGTTTCATATAAGTAGTTAATACTGTGTCAGAAAACGCTTAATATTTTGTGTATATTAAATCAAAAATATTCAGTATCATTCAGTCGATAAAATAAAAAACGAAACAATGATGAATAATAACAATTATTGACTTTAAACTTAAGTGAAAATAAAATAAAATAAATATCAATATAACATATAATTTAAACTACATAATTGTCGACTATTTGTAAATAATTACTATGTGGAAGAGGGTCCCTACATGACGAATATGCAATAAAACGCAAAGTATTGCTATATCACTTTACGATATTACTCGGAGAGGGTAGCGATATTATAGTCGACAAAAAACCCAATCAACTTAATGTTTAGTTTCTTTATCTTCGCCATTTATATAAACCATGTGAAATAGATCCCAGAAAACCATTCTATTATAGAATGGTCTACTTTCAAGTGTGAGGTCTGAATCCAAATTCAGGTAAGGATGTGTGTTCTTCGTTATTGGTTCCCATTTGGCAGGGATTAACTCTGACGTTGATGGCGTTGGATCTCTGTAAGAAAACAAATGAGTATTAGACATTTCCTGTAAAACTTATAAGTGGACAAATTTACTACTGATGTTGGATGCTATCAAAGAAAAATGTAAATCGTGAATTGTTTTTTATGAAAGGTTATTTTTACCTTTTTTAAAAGGATTAAAAACTTAATGACATTCCAATCAACCTTTTGTAGAAAGTAGGAAGAAACATTAAAAAAATATATAGGTAAAAATAAAACAGTGACCACACTCGTGAATTCAAACTGTTTTGAAGCACACATTCACAGCATGTTTTACAGAAATCTAGCTTCACTGACGGAAGGACTGACGAAATATTCAAATTTGATGCTGCAAAAGTACCGTTTATAGAATTAGTTGAAAGAAATACTTTGACTTTTTTACCACAGAATAATATTTTATTTTTGAATGTTTTGATTTGAATTTAATTCGATTTTAGGGTTGACCAGAGCTTTAAAGTATGTCTATGTATTATTTTAAATGTTGCCATATCGATACCCAAACATTTTAAAATATTCTTACCCATACTTAGCGAAGTTGGTCCACATTGTTGTCATTCTATCTATCATGAGCTGATCTTCAGGAGAAATATCACCAGTCAGTTCACCACTATCAAACAAATATCCAAGTTCATCAGCATGCACAGCTCCAGTGCCGTTCAGGTTCAATCTTATCTTAATAACATTTCTCCCACCACTGTAGGAGAAAATGTACCTAAATACAGATTTTGCACCAAGTTCTAAAAGTCTTTTGGACATTTTTTCTGTGGGATGATTAAATAAAACATCTGAAGAGAAATTTGTAATTTCATCTTTAAATTTTTCACTAGTGTCTTCATCGCCTATATAGAAATGTCTGACATCTTCTACTGCTTCTTCGAATTTCTCGCCTAAATCTAGTGCTGTATTTAATACAGTAAAATCAAAATCTCTAAAAAAATCATCATCAGCAGTGCCATATCCCATAAACATTTCATTACTTGTTACACCAAGTATCACTGATACATTTCTAAGCTTAGTCGATTCTATGCCCATTGTATAATCTGTTAAAAACTGTTCAAAGCCTTCCATTTTCTTTTCAACACACGGTATAGTAGATGGACTGTCTTCTAGACTCATAAAAAATGTTAATTTTAAATCATAGGCCAGTTTTACTAATGTATGAACTTCTATTGTTGAAAGGAAAGCTATAGCTTCAGATACATCATCAGTGGGAAAATTCAATGCTTCAGCTAGTTTTATAGGTACATTGTTATCAGTTTCTTTCATTACCCATGGACTTACAGCAGGACCGCTCTGAATAATAGCTTTTTGAAATAATGGTTCGTAATTCGATAATAAGTGTAGATTTACTGACATTCCACCAGCGCTTTCGCCGAACGCCGTGATTTGTCTAGCATCTCCTCCAAAAGCCTCTATGTTTTCATTAATCCACCTCAAAGCTAACACTTGATCTTTAAGCCCTTGATTTCCAGATACCTCTGGAATATCTAAACACATGAAGCCGTAAGCGCCGAGCCTATAGTTAATTGTTACGACAATGACGTCATTTCTTAACAAGTATTCTGGAATGCGGACAGCGTCTCCACTGCCGACGATGAAGTAGCCTCCATGTATCCATACCATGACTGGTAATCGGTTTTTAGAGCTAGCAGTACTTGGTACATAAATGTTCAAGGTGAGACAGTCAATAGTTCCAACCACAGCATCATAAGACATTTGAGGACATACATTTGATTCATACGCTTCAAAGATATCGTCGAAGCCTGGATGTGGAGTTGCTGGCTGCAAATAAATATTGACGAATATAGAAACTACTGTTTTTCACAAAGTGTGGGAGGGCCATGCTTCGGCACGAATGGGTCGGCTCGACCGGAGTGGTACCACGGCCTCACAGAAAACCGGCGTGAAATAACCACAGCGTGTTACGCCGTGTGAATGAGGTTACCGGAGGCCCAATCCTTCCCCTCCCCCAATCCCTCCTCAATCCCTAAATCTCCAAATCCCTAATCCCTAAAAGGTCGGCAACGCGCTCGTAACTACTCCGTTGCGAGTGTCCATGGGCGGCGCTGATTGCTTACCACCAGGTAATCCGTCTGCTCGTTTGCCGATCGCATACATAAAAAAAAACAGAATCAGTACAAGAACATTTGACTTTATTTATTAAAAAATTGTACAGAACTCTATAATTTAATAAATCTTTAAGACATAAAACATTATACTTACTCCAAATGGATTGGTTTTATTCACTTCTGCATAAGGTACACCAAGAAATTGCGCGTATCCACTGTTGGTCCGAAGTCCGCGAATAAGACCGCTTTTGGTTGAGACAAGAGGGTCAACCCGAGAATGACCTTGGGCTAACTCAAATAACGATATCACCAATGCTACTGACCACATGTCTAAGTTTTCAGATAAATATTCTACGACTGAATAGAATTCACTTGGAATTTGAGAGATATAAAATTAAAGATAAGAATATTGAAAGATTGTTATTATTGATTACAGAGATGTAAACAATAATAACAATCCGCTTATAAAAAAGGCCAGTGTAAAAATTAATTAACACATTTTTTTTTTTGATGTTGTAACAGCAACTGTAATATTGACCAATACTTTAGTTGATACCAGTATCAATTCTTAAACGCAGTGTTTTATTTTTGCCATAAGTATTATCATTTTTCGTGAACTTCCTCTTCGGTTCATCTTCGTAGTTATAGTTTATGGAAAACTAGCTCTTACCCGCGGCGTCGTTCCCGTCATTTGTCTACCTACCCTACTCAACGTACCCTACTCTGCCTACCCTACTCTTTCTACCATACTCTACCTACCTTACTCTACCTAACCTACACTACCTACTCTATCCTATGTCCTTCTCCCAGTCCTTAGCTACCTGCATACCAATTTTTAACCAAATTGGTTCAACCATTCTTGAGTTATAAATTGTGTAACGAACACGACTTTCTTTTATATATAGACTAGCTACTATCGCGCGGTTTCACCCGCTTCTCGGCTCCATTCAATAGTAGCGTAGTAGCCTATAACACTCAGGAACATTGTATCTATCTATCAGTGACAGAATTTTGCCAATCCGACCAGCGGTTTCCAAAATTCAATTCCCAAGTATTACCCCCTACATACAAACTTACAAATTTTACCTCTTTATAATTAGTACAAATAAATCAGAATGTGAATGAGCTTGGCTTGAGTCTAGACTTAAACTTATTGAAATTTCACTATATGAAGCTCTGAAGTCGATGGAGTCGTCTCTGAGAACAACAAAAAGATAAAAAAAATATTTAGGTAAAAACATTTTTATGGGCATTATAAAAATGTTTTTTGCCTAAGGTATGAAGAAAATACGCAATACATTACGAATACGAAACTACAAGTTGTATTAGGATGAGACTCAAAAAAAATTAGTTCGTTTATAAGCTGCATAAAATTTACATAATTTACCAAACTTTTATGTAATTACGTAATTATGTAAGTACGTAATTCCTCCAGGTTTTCTTTCTTTACTTTTTATCATTCACAAATTGTTGTTTGAATCTTACTGCGATGTACGCGAAATCATGTAATGTAAACACAGCAATTACTGAACTGACAACGTAGAAAACTGACAACGTTTTTCAACACGTGCAATATTCTCATTATTCTCATTATTTTTAACATTAATTTATATTTAGGATTGATATCACCTCTAAGTTTGTTACTATCGAAGAAATGTCCAAGTTCATCAGTATAAACAGCTTCAATAGTATATTTAGGTTCAACATTAACTTTATTTTAAACATAATTGGCACAGAGTCTTAATAGTTGTTCAGCGATTTTTGGTGATAAAATAAAACATCTGATAAAACAATATTTATTTTATTAAATAATAAATCATTTAAAATGTAAACTAAGCAAAACTAAATATTATCTCAAAAGGCTTACTTTTATCCACTTCTGCATTGGGAATATACCAAGAAAACTTAATGTTCGTTAAATTTTAATTGGTATGAAATCCATGACTGATCTTTGTTGAGACAAAAGGATCCAAGAATAAATAAACATTTTATAGTTATAACCCTTATTATAATTGTTTTTTATTAAGTTGATGCCATTGCCCTATAAGCATTACATCCCAGAAATTTGGTTCCATCTGTGTTGGTTTCTATGTAGTTTACGGAAAATGTCCCAGAAAGCCATTCTGTCATGGAAAGGTCTGGCTGCAAGGGTAAGGTCAGAATCTAGATTGAGATAGGGCTGGGTGGTTCTCGTTATAGGTTCCCATTTACCTGGCAGTAGCTCTGAAGTCGTGGGTGTTGGGTTTCTGAAAACAATAGGCAAAATTTATAAAATAATGTCTAACATGACCGATAATAATTGTCGTAGGAATTCATTGAAGAAGAGAAAATTTGATATTTTGTGATAATAAAACTGAGATAAGCTGTTTTGAAGATTAGTACACAAATCCTGTTAGATAATATCACGTGAATCTTTTTCACTGTAGTTAAATATTTATCTACGTATGAATAACAACAACATGAGATTTCTGCAAATTTAAAAAATTGAATGCATTTTGTTGTAACACTCAAAACATTTTTTTAAATGTTTGATTGTGAACACGAACAAACAAAAGAAGCCTTACCCGTATTTAGCAAAATTAGTCCATAACATTGTTATTCTATCAATCATGATCTGATCTTCAGGAGTAATATCACCAGTAAGTTCATCACTATCAAACAGATATCCAAGCTCATCAGCTCGAACAGCTCCAGTCGCATTCACGTTCAGTCTTATTTTTATCACATTTCTGTCTCCGCTGTATGAAAAAATATATCTGTACACAGATCTAGCACCAATTTCCAAAAGTCTGTCTGCCATTTTCTCTGTAGGATGATTAAATAAAACATCTGATGCAAAGTTAGTTATTTCGATCTTTGTACTTTCACCTGCCTCTTCATCTCCTATATAGAAATGTTTGATATCATCCAAGTCTTCTTCTTCGGTATCACCCAAGTCATATACTGTCCGAATTACATTTAAGCTATAATCTAAAAATCCCTCTACTTCATTAAGAGTGTATCCCATGTGCATTTCATTGGCAGAGTTACCAAATATTACTTGTACAGTTCTAAGTTTAGTTGATCTTATGTTCATAGGATATTCTGTTATGAAATGTTCAACACCTTGAGTATTCTTTTCAACACAAGGCAATGTTGCAGGCGTGCTCTCCAGTGTCATAAAGTTTGTTAACTTTAATCCATGAGCTAATTTCACCAATTTATGGTGATCAACAGATGAAAGAAAATCAATAGCTTCTGATATATCTTCGGTAAAGAAACCCAAACCTCTTGCAAGTTTTATAGGTACTGTATTATCAGGTTCTCCTAACACCCATGGACTAACAGCAGGACCACTTTGAATGATTGCTTTCTGGAATAGGGGTTCGTATGACGATAACAAATGTAGATTTATTGACATGCCACCAGAACTTTCCCCAAATACTGTAATTTGTGTGGGATCTCCTCCGAAAGCTTCAATATTTTCATTGATCCATCTCAGGGCTAACACTTGGTCTTTAAGACCTTGATTTCCAGAAATTTCTGGATGATCTAAGCACATAAAACCGAAAACACCAAGTCTAAAGTTGATTGTTACTACAATGACGTCATTTCTCAATAAAAATTCAGGACTACCAACAGAATCTCCACTGCCGAGGATGAAATAACCTCCATGTATCCACACCATCACAGGTAAGGGGTGTTGAGACGTCGCAACACTCGGCACGTAGACGTTTAAAGTAAGGCAGTCAATGGTTCCAACTGGAGACCCCGTTTTACCCTCAAAAGACATTTGAGGACATGCGTTAGACTCGTATGCTTCAAAGATTCCATCGAAGCCTGGATGTGGAACTGATGGCTGAAAACAAAAGTATTTGTCACTACTTTTATCTATTCAGTTCAATTGTTTGTTAGATAAAATGTTTATAAGTCTACTCAAATATATATGTATATCGCTGCTAGCGCATAAGTACTTGCGTACTGTAATAAAAAATGTTTGGTAAAATAATCATGCATTATTAAAGGGTTGTTAAGGGATAACTTCGTTTGGTCGAATGGACACAGAGGAATTAATTAGGGGAATATTGGTGTAATTAATAAAATATTATTATTATTTAATATTGTGTACCTTGGCCTATCCCACTAAAAAAAGGGGGAGTTTACCATATTCTACGTTCATGAACAGGAATAAAAATTAATAATTATTACAACAGTCAAAAATACACATTTATCTTACCCCAAAAGGGTTGTTGTTATCCACCACTGCATAAGGTATACCCAGGAACTTAGCGTACCCCTCAGTGGAGAGCAAACCCCGAATCAGACCCCTGTTCGTTGAAACTAGAGGGTCAACTCGGTATTGTCCTAAAACTACGCCACAAATGGACAACAACAATAGCACAGGCAACATGTCTAACTTTTTCAGCATGTTTGTGACGACTGAAATATTTTTCACAGAGTTTGACAGATAGATATGCTAAGATAAAAACTTTATATTGATAAATTTTAATATTTACGTAATACTGGATCTGGATGTCAAATAGTTACCACGCAAACTTAGGAAGCATGTACACATTGAAAAAGTCGCTTAGTATTCGTTAAGTTGAGAAGTTTTTCCGATCTCTATTATCCAACCGGGTGGTGAATTCTGATCGCATAATGAGCTTCCCTAACGGTGACTAGATTTTCGTATCATCATATCTCCTGCAGTGGCTGCAACGTAATTACTAGCGTTACAAGTGTATTTTATTATGACAACTAGTCGACCCTTTTTATGATAATAATATCATTATGAAACTTGACCAAATAAGTTATTTTAATGAATGGAATTAGAAGGTCACTGAATCCAGGAAAATATTATTTGAAAATAATTTCAATAATCTTACATGGATCATTATTTATCAGATGATTGATAATGCTTATCTGAGATGTATGTTGAAAAGAATTTTTCAAGATTTACTCATCTGTCATAAGACTGTCTGGTGATACATAATCGTGACTTGGATTATTTTTTGTTTATGATGTTACCTATAGATAAGTATATAAAGAAGGGTGGAAATTTTCAGAACATAGCAAAACATTTTTTTGACTTTGTTGTTGGTCTGATTACTTTACAATATTATTTGTTTTATGTAAAATGTGAGCAAGCGAGCACACCGATTGCCTGATGGTAAGCAATCAGCGCCGCTCATGAACCTCCCGCAACAAAGGAGGAGTAACGAGTGCGTTGCCGACCTTTTGGAAATTAGGGATTTGGTGATTTCGAGATTGGGCAAGGGAAGGATTGAGCTTCCGGTAACCTCACTCACGCCGTCGTTGGTTTTCTGTGAGACCGTGGTATCACACCGGTTGAGCCGACCCATTCGTGCTAAAGCATGACTTAGGCTCAAAAATAAAAGATTAAACAATTCGTCTAGCGACAAATTAATTATTATCTTGACAAAAGAATCCTAAACCAAATTCAAATAATAATATTATTATTTTCATAACAAAACATCACGTAAAACTGAACTAAACTTTTCCATTGTTCCCGTCAGTATAATGTCGTTCGATAGCAAACTTTCCACATTTATCGGATAATTTAATTGAATAGAAATTCTCTTTTGTTCTTTGCGTGAAGTCCATAAATTAATGGAGGCTATGGAGATTCGTCGCTTCAGACAAAAGCCTTTGAATTCTGCAGGTAATTCAGGGAACTTTATTTGTTGCAGTGGTATTTTATGAGCGTTTCTTTCAGTAGTTTATTGAGGAACTTGAGTAGTATTTATAGTACACATAAATTCTATGTTACCTGTATGATGAATCAGTTGCCATATACTTGTGAGACATTCCAATTTTTAGACTCCATACATGTATTTTTCTTTACAGATCAAAATCTTCAACTTCCTTAACTAATCTCGTTTTGAATAATATAATAAAGAAGTATAATTATATTTACCTTAGAGAATCTTTTATTATATCAACCTCAAAAGAATACACAAAATATACAGGAAGCTTTCTACAAAATTTAATAAACCTAAACACACTCGTAGCAGGCGTAGTACGTAGCGCTACGCCGTAGCTCATAAACCGGGTAACGTCGAGAGAGCAATGCGCAAGTATTGGTGCAAAATTTAAATTAATTCAGAAGATATATTATAATGTTCTTCTACGTTGAATATTTAAGATGGATGTTGAATTTTACATGTATAATTCTTCTTGAGAGACAGGTAAAATTATACGAAGACTGTACACTTGTGTCACGGTTTTGCTCGAGAGTGCTGGCAATGTTTTATATATTTACTTAAGTTATATTAAGTTTGTATCAAGCTCTGTAAAAACACATACATACATACATAAAATTGTTATTGGTTGTTTTATTCCATGTACCCATTGATTTATATACATAATACACTTATAAATTATCTGAAATCTGTAATGGGTTCCAAAACTATTGAAATAAATTGAACGTTAAGTTTTCTATAAAAATGTCGACTTGATGTTTTCAAAATATTGATGGTGACAATCTTATTTTTCTGGTAATCTTGAAATGTAAGCTTTAATATCTACCATACCATCTAGAGGTCCCATACCAGTATCAGTTTCAAACGATATTAGGAAGCTTATTTATATTTCCGCACCATAAAAACACAGACAAATTATGGAATTTACTAAATAAAACCTCGTTATCACAGTCAAATGAGAGAAAGGGGGGATCACCCCCTTTCACTCACCACTAATGGGATAATCACACAAAACGAGATGCTCCATTAAATATAAAATGTAAATGAAGTTTTTCGCTGTGTGCAGACATTTGGCCAGCCATTTTGATTATATTGTTGTTTCAATGGAGTGGAAATTTCACGACTTGATTTATTGAGGTTTTATACTGAAGCAGAATCATAATATAGCAAGTCCGTTGACTGTGTCTTTTATTTTCAAACGTTGCCCCACAAAAACTTTTCCTGTATCACGGGTGTCGTTTAAAATCATAATTTTAAAATATGAACCTAGGTTTAGTATTTAATTTTTAGGGTCTAGACCTAAGTAATAACTTGTGAATCACTCAAAAAAGTATTTCGTGTAGGTATACCATGATGCCTTGCATTGTGGCCAGTACTACAACTCGTTGGAAGTAGGATCTTCGCCTCCCTCAAATCTGAAATGCCTCAACCCTCAAATCCCTGACCTACCCCAAAAGGCCGGCAACGCAATCGTATCTCCTCTAGAGATACGAGTGTCCTTCGACGGCACTGGTTACTTACCATCAGGTGTTATTATGGCTCGTTTTCCGTTCTGTCACTTCAAAATCGCGTATGTGTGTTATATCTAGAATTTTCTACTAACATGATGGTATAATACTGTTATGTGCCTGACGTCACGTTCCTGACTATGCGGGCTTGGGTTACGGGATTGGATGAAATGAAACACTAATACCAGATTTCAGACTTTCTATTACACTTAAGTTACAGCGTCCACGGAGTTAAGTTATCGGCGTTCCTCTCCAGCAGAGTCCGGCCGACTGACACAACTTTGCCGTTCACGCTGACTTAACTCACTTAACTGACTGCACTTCACTATTTCACTGCACTTCACTATTTCACTCACTTTTCTTCTTTTTCACTTCCACCTTTTCTTCCGAATCGCTTTAGACTTAGAACTCAACTGCCAGCGGTGAGCCGCAGTTCCGCTTATATACCCCCGCTTATATTCTTTTTGATCGTCATGACTCCAGAACCTTCCAATAATTTCGTTACTCATTTTTATTTATTCTCCTTCTCGCTCTTTAATTTTTTATTTCTTTCACACAAATAGTTCCAGAAAGTTCCACAAAACTTCTATCAACTAAAAAACTACATGTTTACGGCGGGACTCGAACTCGGGGTCTCTGTGGTGTAATCCACACGCCTTACCGATTACACCAACTTGTGTTGACAATTCACGACGAAATTTACAATCTCTAGGCAACGTTTGACAACCATCCATTGACGTCATGATGTCAAAGAGTTTGAACCACTTTTCCGTCACACTTAACTCGCTTATGTAATCGCTAAACTCGGTGCGAGAGTCGCCAGGTGGACAGCCCGATACAAGATCTGCCGGTAATCTCAATTCCCTTCCAAAATTTGCAAATGCAGGCGTCTTTGCGGTACTTTCATGTACAGCAGTCCGATAGGCAAGCAAGAAGAGAGGTATGTAAGTGTCCCAATCTCTCTGATGGCTGTCAACCACCTTTGCTAAGTGTCGCTCCAATGTTTGGTTGAAGCGTTCGACCATTCCATCTGACTGTGGATGATAAGGGGTCGTTCGAGTCTTATGGATTCCCAAAAGTTTACAAGTTTCCTGAAAAACTTGGGATTCAAAGTTCCGTCCTTGATCACTGTGCATCTCCAAGGGTACTCCAAATCGGGTGAATACTTCGTTTACCAACTTCGTCGCTACAGTTACTGCCTCTTGATTCGGTATGGCAAAGACCTCCGGCCATTTTGTAAAATAATCCATAACCACTAAAACGTAGCGATTGCCCGAATCAGTGATTGGAAATGGTCCAGCGATGTCTAAGGCTATCCTCTCCCAAGGCATACCAACATTGTAGATTTTCATCGCCCCCCTGCTCCTTGTTTGTGGACCCTTGACAGCTGCACAACTAGTGCATTTCCGGCACCAATCTTCGACGTCATATTTGCAATGCAACCAATAAAACCTCTCCTTGATCTTCACCAAAGTCCTCCTAATTCCCAAATGTCCTCCAGAAGATCCATCATGGAACGCTTTTAATACATCCCTTATTTTTGAACGAGGCACCACCAATTGCAAATGCTCGTCCTTGCCGTTTGTTGATTCCCATTTCCTGCACAGAAGTCCGTTATGCAGCGTAAGGCTTTTCCACTGTGTCCATAAACCTTTCGTTACCGCACTATATTGGGCGACGTCACTCCAACTTGGCTTGTTACCACTTCGTAGCCACTCCAGTATTGGTTTAATATCTGCATCTCTTTCCTGTTCTAATTTCATCGCATCATTTCCCCATGCCTCGTCAACAGTATCAGTCCTTATCACCTTAAGAAAAGCAGTTTCCTTCTTAGCACAATGTTTGCAATCTTCCACGCATGGGCGTCTCGATAATGCATCTCCGTTGCCATGAATTCTTCCGCCGCGATGTTCGATTTCTTGGTCCAGCGATGTCTAAGGCTATCCTCTCCCAAGGCATACCAACATTGTAGATTTTCATCGCCCCCCTGCTCCTTGTTTGTGGACCCTTGACAGCTGCACAACTAGTGCATTTCCGGCACCAATCTTCGACGTCATATTTGCAATGCAACCAATAAAACCTCTCCTTGATCTTCACCAAAGTCCTCCTAATTCCCAAATGTCCTCCAGAAGATCCATCATGGAACGCTTTTAATACATCCCTTATTTTTGAACGAGGCACCACCAATTGCAAATGCTCGTCCTTGCCGTTTGTTGATTCCCATTTCCTGCACAGAAGTCCGTTATGCAGCGTAAGGCTTTTCCACTGTGTCCATAAACCTTTCGTTACCGCACTATATTGGGCGACGTCACTCCAACTTGGCTTGTTACCACTTCGTAGCCACTCCAGTATTGGTTTAATATCTGCATCTCTTTCCTGTTCTAATTTCATCGCATCATTTCCCCATGCCTCGTCAACAGTATCAGTCCTTATCACCTTAAGAAAAGCAGTTTCCTTCTTAGCACAATGTTTGCAATCTTCCACGCATGGGCGTCTCGATAATGCATCTCCGTTGCCATGAATTCTTCCGCCGCGATGTTCGATTTCAAAGTCAAATTCCTGAAGTTGTTCCAGCCATCTGGCTACTTGGCCTTCGGGATCCTTAAACTGAAGCAGCCATTTCAAAGCAGCGTGATCAGTTCTGATCAAAAATTTCCGTCCCAGTAAATACTTCTTGAAATGGTGCAGGGTTTTGACTACAGCCAGCAATTCCCTCTTGGTCACGCAATAATTCCTCTCCGGCTTGGATAGTGACTTGCTGAAGTAAGCAATAACCTTCTCCTGCTCACCATCGCGTTGTGAAAGGACACCTCTTATTCCAATATTGCTGGCATCCGTATCAACTACGAATATTCCTTTCGCGCTGGGATATCCGAGAATTGGTGTGTTACAAAGCCGTTCTTTTAGTTCTCGAAAGGCTTGCTCACAATCCTCGTCCCAAACAAAGGCACGTTTCTCCTCTGTCAATCGATGCAATGGCTTGGCAATGTCCGAGAATCCTTTCACAAACCGCCGATAATACGAGCACAATCCAAGAAATGCCCGAACTTGCGTTTTGTCTTTAGGTGTTGGCCATTCCTTGACAGCGACAGTCTTGGCTGGATCAGTCTCAATTCCTCTCTCAGAAATAACATGTCCTAGATAATTCACTTCGCGCTTGAAGAAAGAGCATTTCTTTGGACTCAACTTTAAATTTGCTCCACGCAGCTTGTCGAGTACCTTTTCCAATTTCCTTAGATGATCGTCAAAATCCCGTCCAACAATGATGATGTCATCGAGGTAAACTAGGCAGGTTTCGCCCAGCAGACCCGCCAGCACCTGTTCCATCAAACGCTCAAAGGTTGCCGGTGCATTGCATAATCCAAATGGCATCACCTTAAATTGCCAGAGTCCCTTCCCAGTTGAGAATGCGGTCTTTTCCTTGTCCTTGGGATCCAAATCCACCTGCCAATAGCCGCTTTTCAGATCGAGCGTTGAAAACCATTTCATGCCACTCAGTGTGTCAAGTGTGTCATCGATTCTTGGTAACGGGTAGCTATCCTTCTTGGTTACATCATTCAATCGTCGATAGTCTACGCAAAACCTCGTTGAACCATCTTTCTTCTTGTCAAGCACGACAGGTGAACACCAAGGGCTAGAAGAGGGCTCTATCACGTCATTTTTCCTCATATCGTCAATCATTTGTTCAACCTCTTTCTCACGAGCGAATGGTATGCGTCTGGGCCTTTGACGAATTGGCATTGTATCACCTGTGTTTATTTTATGCTTCACCACACCAGTTCGGCCAATATCACCATCGCTTCTTGAAAACACATCAGAGAATCGAAGAAGTAAATTTCTAGCTTTCATAGTCGCCACTTTTGTCAGACTTTTGTTTTCGTCTAAGATTTTCGTTACAAAGTCTATTCCCGTACTGTCCTTTTTCACAAGATTCTCTGAGCATTTTCTTATCCAGGCTACTTCTTCCAACACGCCCACAGGCTCTCCTTCTTCAATCGTAATTTTTGAATCACTGAAGTTGAATACCGGAATGCGGTTGACATCAGATGACCCCACGACAGTTCTTGCCGGTAGCCATGAGTTTACGTGTTCCGATTTATCAATCACAGCGCACCTTCGAGGTAAACTTCCTTCCCTCCTCCTAGGTAATGCGATTGGTACGAGAGTCTGTGATTTTGGTGCAAGAACAGTTCTTCTTAAACAGCAAACTTTTCCTAGGGTTCCACCCTTCATCGGAATTTCCTCAGTTCCACATAGTAATACTCCAGATTTTAAGTCGATATTACACTGGTGCCCTCGCAGGAAGTCAAGTCCCAGGATGCAGTCATCCAGAATTTTGGCCACAATAACCTCATGTCGATAAACACGTTCCCCAATTTTTATTGTTTGCAATTTTCCACTTATCGGTATGCACTGGCCGGTAGCTGATTTCATTTGTAGGCCAACAATTGGTTTAAGTTGTTTCCTGATGTTTTGCTCGAGCAGCCGAACATTTATCACCGTCCTTGAAGCTCCAGTATCTAATGTTAGCTGACTGTTTTTCCCATTTACTTGACCGTCTATCACCAGATTATTTCCATCGTTGGTTTGCTTGATGTAGATTGTTGGGGTTGTTCCACTACCAGCCAGCGCCCACCCCGCAGCCCTGGCTGGATTTAAGTTTCCCTGCGGGTCAGAAGTTGAGACCGCCGCGTCCTGGCGGTACATCTTCTTCGGGCAGTCGCTCCGTATGTGCCCACGTTCTCCACATCCATAGCACATGAAGTTCCGACGGCGTGGAGGTACCTGCTCCGTTGTCGTCATTTCCTGCAGACGTAAGGTACGGGAGTTACCACGCACGGCTTCCACTTCCAATGCATGGGCCAGAGCTTCTTTCATGTTCTTGCGATGGCCCAGATGAACAGCAGCTCGTACTTCGGGGTCCCGAACACCGTCAATGAATGCTTGGAGAAGAGTGCCTTCAATCATTGACGGAGTCGACCGGAAAGCTCGACGCACAAGTTTCTCGATTTCCACGGACCATTGCTGTAGACTCTCATTAGCACGCTGAGTACGCTCTTTTAATTGCGCTCTGTACACGTGCTCGAGGTGGCTGTCTCCAAAACGTGCTTCAAGTGCGTCGAGGAGGGCACTAAAGCTGAGATCCCCACTTGCGCCGATAGCTTCCAGCACTGAGAGCGCTTGATCACGGAGGGCCAGGGTAAGGGCTGACTGTGCTTCCTTCTGAGTCCAACCATAAGCCTCCATAAGTGTCTCAAACTGTAGCTTGAACGCGGTCCAGGATGTTGTTCCGTCGTAATGGGGAATCTTAAGCCCTTTCGTTGCACTTAAAACCGCATTTGGGGCTTCAAAAACGGCTGCAAGACGGCTTCGGCTCTTCAAAGGGCTTGGGCTTGCCACTTCCTGCTTGATTTTGGAGATCTCTTCTTCCACTCTCTCCTCTATCGCCTTGACGCGATGTTCCAACTTGCCTAACCCTTCCTCCACTTCTTGTACCCGTTCGACAGCCTTTTGCAGTCCCTTCGTGAAATCCTTATGCATGTCTTCCAAGCGACGCGCTTGCTCCTCTTGGCGGCGAGCTTGATCCTCTTTCAGCTCCCGTAGCTGCTCCGCCCGACAGCGTGCATGCTCCTCTTGGCGACGAGCTTGCTCCTCTTGGCGACGAGCTTGCTCCTCTTGGCGACGAGCTTGATCTTCTTTCAGCTCCCGTAGCTGTTCTTCTTGGCGGCGCGCTTGCTCTACCATCATTTGCTGCAGCTGTAGCAGTAGATCCACCTGCACAGGCTTGGCTTCTGCATCGCTGGTTTGAGCTGCAGCACTCTCTTCCCTCACACGCTGCGCTTCTGCCATTGCACGGGTACTCACTCCTCTTACGTCCTGCGGCACTAGCGGCATTTTTCTCCAATCCCACTTCTGACACCAAATGTTACGTGCCTGACGTCACGTTCCTGACTATGCGGGCTTGGGTTACGGGATTGGATGAAATGAAACACTAATACCAGATTTCAGACTTTCTATTGCACTTAAGTTACAGCGTCCACGGAGTTAAGTTATCGGCGTTCCTCTCCAGCAGAGTCCGGCCGACTGACACAACTTTGCCGTTCACGCTGACTTAACTCACTTAACTGACTGCACTTCACTATTTCACTGCACTTCACTATTTCACTCACTTTTCTTCTTTTTCACTTCCTCCTTTTCTTCCGAATCGCTTTAGACTTAGAACTCAACTGCCAGCGGTGAGCCGCAGTTCCGCTTATATACCCCCGCTTATATTCTTTTTGATCGTCATGACTCCAGAACCTTCCAATAATTTCGTTACTCATTTTTATTTATTCTCCTTCTCGCTCTTTAATTTTTTATTTCTTTCACACAAATAGTTCCAGAAAGTTCCACAAAACTTCTATCAACTAAAAAACTACATGTTTACGGCGGGACTCGAACTCGGGGTCTCTGTGGTGTAATCCACACGCCTTACCGATTACACCAACTCGTGTTGACAATTCACGACGAAATTTACAATCTCTAGGCAACGTTTGACAACCATCCATTGACGTCATGATGTCAAAGAGTTTGAACCACTTTTCCGTCACAATACTAACGCATGTGTTACACAAGAATCATAAATATGTATATCTCATCATCATTATCAACCTACAAGTGCTCACTGCTGTGCAAAGGCGATTTAAAACGTGTGAACTAAACTGAGAAAGTACATGAAATAAATCTCGGAAAAAGTCACATTTATTTCAAACTCGCACCCTTATGCAAAAGGAGCGGGTGCCTTAACCTCGCGGGCCACCGTGACATACAGTATACTAACTCGTACAAAATTATTATAAACTGAATGTAAATTCATGGCTAAATAATGCCCACTTTTTCCATCTTAGTAAGATCGACCTTCTGAAGACAAATCGAAATTCCCCATCATTTACTTATCTACAAAATGGGTGTTTCTGCGTCATAAATGATGACGTTTTAAACTTAAACAAGCTTGTCATCAAGACTACATCAATATATCATTGTCTGTCTGACTCACCACCGCCATCTATCGGGAATTTTGCAAAAACAACAGCAGACCTCATTAATCACTTGCGGCCGTTGACGGTCATCGGTGAGCCGTTTTTTAACGTGTTTATTAATTTTGTTTCAAATTTTTGTTTTAAAAACTTTTTGTAATTTATTTTAATTTCTTTGATGTATACTTTTTCTTTTGATTTTTTTTTCGTCTTGAAAGTGATCTTTGGTGACAAAGTTGATGGACCTCGTTAGTTGATTTTGTTTTCTTTTTTGTTTAAGAGAAATTATGCGGAATAATTATTATGTTCTTTGACGGAGTTTATAAAGTGTATAAAGAAATTATATTTTTTGATATTAAAAATTGTCAAAAATTCTACGGACTCATTATCGGCGCCCTTGCCGTTTCGCTAATTAGTAAAATATATATCTAGTATATTTTTGAATGGTTAAATATCGTGATTTATACTTAATTTATTGAAAATAATGGATTACTTACGTGAATTAATTGAGAAAAGCTCTAGTTTCAAGCCACAACGGGACTCTTACTCATGAGAAACGTGCACAACGTGGCAACGTGGTTGTGTTCGTGATTTTCTCAGTTAATCTGCGTGAATAAGTCGTTATTTGCAATTAATTTACACAAATTATAAATATTAAGAGTTTGTTTCATTGTTTATTTGTTTAAATGTGCTTATCACCAGGACTGGAGGTGCTCTAGAGTGGAGAGCACGTCTAGCCAATCGGGCGCCCTCCAGCTACGTGGACTCATGATATCCGCAGGGTGGTTCGAAGTGGTTGGATGGGAAGAGCTGAACATCGAGCTCAGTGGCATGCAATTGGGGAGGCCTATGTCCAGCAGTGTACGGAATCAAGCTGGTGATGATGATGATGATGAATCTCTGGAATTACTAGTTCGATCTGAACAATCGATCCTGTAGAGTTCTTTTATGTAAAGAACCACACCAGTTTTAGTGGACCCTTTCTAAGGGCACACCTGAATTTAATAGAACATGCGGGAAGGTCGGTACCTAATTGTAAAATTATCATTTACTAGCTTTTTTCCGCGACTCGTTTGTGTGTTATAGTGACTTCCTGTAGATTTTTGGTTTAAAAAACTATCCTATGTCCTTTTTCCGAATTCCAAACTATGTTCCATACTACTGCAAAATTTCACACAAATCAGTTTAGTAGTTTAGGCGTGAAGAAAAGATAGACAGGCCAAATTACTTTCGCATTTACAATTTGGGTTTGGATTTACAATTGGTAAGGCTGTTAAGGCTAACTAAGCTAGTTTCCTGTGACATATATAATTTAAGAAAGATTGAATTAATTTTATGCTCTGCATTCTTGTCATATTTAATAGTTTAAGCAATACACAAAGCTTCCAGTGAAAGTGTAACATCGTTAACCAAACTAAAATTCCAATAATTGAAAACAAGCCAGAAATTATCTTAATCCGTTTTAAATCTCACTAATTAAATTAACAAACCCTTTTTTCAAAAATGAAAATTCAAAAATCTTAAAGTAAATACCAAAAATATCGCGGATGAAAAATTTCTGACAAAATAAAGCAACAAATCATTATTGGAAGAACCGGGAAAGATTAAGAGATTATTAGCTTTAAGGGAATAGATAACAAAATTGACAGAGAAAGTAAATTTTAAGAGTAAAATTTGTTCCCAAACTCAACGACCTGAAAAGATAAGAAAATGTTCAGTAATGTACACCCTACTATTGTATTCAATTGTGTCTTTGTATTTTGCGATTAGCCAGTATATCTATTTGTTTTCAGATAGTGAATATCGTGAGATGTTTTTCATTTAATCAAAATAACGACTAACTCTCTTCTTGTTCGGGTCTGCGGTCGGCGAGTAAGGGTAGCTCGCCGCACGACCAGAACCAGACCCTAGCGTACGCCGCGTAGCGTTCCACGCGCGCCTCAAAGAGCCAATAGACCACCACAGATGGGGCCCTATAGAGTTGATGTTCAGCCGGGGTTGCGGGGTAAGGGCAATAGCTCAATGAGGCACCGCGACCTCGGCCCAGAGCAGGAGCAGGGGCAGGGGAGTTTTTAGTCAGTAAGAATCTGACACTCCCTCCCGCCCGTCCCTGGGCGGGAGAAGTCATTTGATGAATTTCCCCTCACAAAAAACTCTCTTGTTGGTTTCAAGTCACAACGGAGCTCTCGTTTGAGAGCGTTGTGCACGCTGTGGCAACGTCACACCCGACTGGACTTAGTACAGGTGAATATAAAAAATGTTATCTATTTTATTAATAGATTTTGTGTTACAGTAAAAAATCAGCTATGAGAAATGAGGATGGAAGGGGATTGGGACTCCGGTTGCCATTACTCACATGGCAAAATAAAATGCTCTTGTGAGTTATCTTACACCAATTATCTGTGAAGCTATGATATAAATCCAGTTCAGCCGGCCCGTTCATGCCAAAACATAGCTCCCTACGCTTAAACAAAGTTTTTTACAAAAAGGTATGAGTGAACTATATAAGTAACAATAATTTATTTCGATATTGTCTATTCACTTAACAGTCAGGCAATACTTTACTCTCAATTCTCATACTTCTCAAAACTTGACATACGGAGCCTCCACAACAAAAAGTAAAGAGCAACCAATTATCAAGATAATTGGTCCACTGCGGTTACAGAATTACAAAGACACTTGGGACCTCAAACAGAACCGCTACATCATCTTTCAAGTTAAGGGGACTAATTTTGTCCCCATTATACATTTTCACCTCCCTAACTTTTTGGAAATTCGGTCAAGGATCATCTCAGTAAAGTTAACAATGTCTTTTAGTGAAATCATTTCGTATAATGAAGAATTTTGGAACGAACAGTTTGAATTTTCAAAAGCTTATTTTTTATTATAATCCCTGCACCATGGACTAAAATGGATTTGAAGATGTTCAGGGATTAAAACTTCACTCTTTACTCATACGCCGAAACTAAACGTAAGCTTTGCTTCACGCCGGTAAGTACTATAAGTACATATGAGGCCGTGGTATTGCTCCGGTAGAGCCGGCCCATTGGCGCTGAAGCATGGATAGCATTCTAATACATATATGTCCAAACATAGACCATTGTTTTATTGCCTTGCCATGGTGACTCATAAAATAACAATAATTAATATATGCTCTATTACAATTGAGTAAAAAAAATAAAACGTTACATTAATCAATTTTCTTCACCAAAACCAATCAGTCCCTAAAACTCGCGTTTTCCAAACTGCAAATTGTAAAACGAAATTGTGTCCCCAAACAAAACTAAAAGCCAGTCTGAATACAAAATCGATACTTTTAGAAAACGAGTTTCCAATCGAGAAAGCCTAGTAAAAACATTCCCTGGCCTAAAAATACCCTCGATTCTCTTTTTTACCTTTGACTGTCCACCATGCGTCATTTTTAAAATGTCATCGAATTCAAATAGGTTCTTATTGAAGAATAAAAAAATGGACAAGAAATACCAATTTCGTTTCTTTTGTTTTTTTTTTCATCTCGAACAATGGCCGTTCTTAAGCTCGGTTCCAATTTCAAATATTGTGGACATGGTGGTTAGTATGCGTAAATAAATACTGTTTAATTATTTGTTAAGAACAAAAGAAGACGGGAAAAAGAAAAACACTAATAGAGAAAATTTAAATTACAAATAGCTGTCTTTGCAACGCAGAGAATTTCACAGAGACATCGTTCCGATTGCTATAATGGGCATTTTTAATTAGAAAAAACCTCTCTGTGAACATTGAAAGAAAAATGATTAATTGTTTGGTTTTACTGTTGTTATTTAGTGTGGGAGTGTGCCATGTTTTGAAACGATTGGACCGGCTCGATCGGAGTGATCCTAGCCTTAGAGAAAACTATAA